ACATATATAGATGTGGCAAAAGCAAAAGTGCCGTCATCTGGGAAATATACGTCATGTCAAAAAATATGTCACGTAAATATATACAAATGGTACAAAAGTATGTGTTTCAATATTTCCTCGCCGATTAACTAAAAATCAGTTGCTGCTGCTCGCTCAGAGCCTCGGGAAATTCTGCGATACTGACGTGCATACATATATCCCTACATAGGTGTCTACGAGTTTGTATGTATGTACTACTACATTTAAATAAAAATATTCATACACAAAATCTACGATTGAATTATAGTCTAGACAGTTGCGTAAATCATCAAATATTCATATAGTATACGTGTGTACGAGTATATATTTATGTATTTTTCGACGAGGTTCATTCAAGAACGAATGCCCGAAACATTCTTCGGGAAGAGGATGAGTATAAAAAGTTATTTATTGTTCCATTTACTTGAAATTAGGCAGACAGGTAGCTTTTGGCCTAAATGACGGCAAGGATCGCTTTTTCTTCCGGGAATTGAGATCGGGATCGATATATCCCGAAAAATCTCATAAATGATACGAACGTAACTGTAATGCGGACCATGACCTAATAAAAAATAATAATATTTATCGTTCGAGGTTAAAGAAATTTGGTGCATATACAGTTTTTTGCTTAGAAGAAATAATAATAAAAATAATAATAATAATAATTTATTTTGGAGGTTAATTTTGAATGCGTTCATTTATACAGTTTACAGCATTTTCCTAAGTGTTTTAATAAAATTTTTGTGCCATTTTTAAGTTATTAATTGTATTTCAACAGTGATGAAATTCTATTTGCTTTATAGCAATTCTATATGCTTTATCCAACGATAAAGATATCTCAATATGTTCTTTCTAATAGTCCCCTAAAATGACGAAGATTGATGTAGAACTTGCTTTGCAACAATTCGTCGCTTAGATTTTCAGTAAGAATGAATAAAATATGAAAATGAAATTGAAATTCTTTTTCCGTATAAGCCGACCATATTAACACAACATTATTATAGAGTTTCTTCGATTATGTTGAATAGAATCCAAGCAAGAGCTTTATTTTTTAAACACGACCAATATTTCATGTTGTACATCGTTGAATCCGTTATCGTCATTGTGACCGTTGCAACAACCTTTCTTTGCAAGGTTTTGCTGCTAATTTGTTCGATAACTCTAGTAAATTATTCAATCTTGCGCAGCTCAAAAAATAATAATTAATTCTAATTCTAAGCATTCCAAGCTCCTAACTTCTCAACGTAAGCTGGGTGGCGTGCGGGCGCTGATTCTACTACCACTTATTTTGTTGGCTATCATTCATATTAAAGAATCAAAATTATTTTAATTTTAAATCAATTTTGTTTTGTTGACAAAAATTCAATCATTTGATCACCATCAGCTGTTTTTCATACTTGCAAGTTTTACAAAAATTTCCCAGCACGAAATTGCATCTTTCTCCCACGTTTTTGGCTCAACGAACGCGATCCAGTAAAGTTTGGTAAAAGTTTTTACTGTCCATCTGATCCACGAACAAAACTAATATTTGAGCAACGTCTTGCCTTTGCAATAACTATGAACAAAGCAGAATTGAAAAATTCAAGTTCTTCACATGGCCAAGTATACATAGCATGTTCAAGTCTAGGAACACCAAAACAATTATAATTCAAACGCTTCAATATATACTAGGTTTGTCACGCTAAAATTCGAGAGTGCGTGCACCGATTTGGCTAATTTTGATTATTGAAATATTAAATCAGGTACGTAAGTACTACCATTTCTTCCTGGAATTCAACCAGGGACCAATTTCGATTTGTTTGATATTTAGCACCATGGAATACTATTCCAAGGTTAACATATGACTACTAACTTTTCGAGAGGATGCCACAGAAAAAGGGAGTGTTTTGAACTTGACGATGGTGTCGTTTTGTTCTTGTTTAAGCTTGAGCAACGAAAAAGAGAATAATCTCTGACTATACCTAATATGTACCTCCATCAGTAGATAAAAATTAACTCAGTCGCTGTGAGATTTTAGTCATTTTTATATACACAGGAATGACATGGACATGGTTCGACCAACATAATTAATTTTAATCAAATATTGATAAATACTGCGGAATGTCAACCATTCCAGGTTGTTTTACGACATCAAATAAAGGCTCCTCATAAACTGTAGATACCTCCATTTGTAGGAAAAACATCAGGACACACACCACGAATTGGAGGATGAGTTTGGCCGAAAAGAGCCGGTTACAAAGTGTCGCTTATACATATTATATATATATATACATACAATTACGTAGCTAGATCAATAGTATGTAATCCATTTGTGTTATATATGCACAGTTTTGTCATTTTGAAAATAATGTCATTATGCTTTAGACAGGAACAGATGGTAATCATTCCGGTCCGGACTACAAGGCGGATGTAACCAAGCTCTGAGCTTCTGGAGAGTCACTATCAATGTGCGTGGTCTGACGTTGTCCCGATGATACATAAATCCCCTCCTGTTTTCCCAAGCTGGGCGCTTTTTTCCGATTGCTTAAGAACCCCCTCCTAGACGTCAATATTGAAGACCATATTTCCATTAAATTTTTTTCTCGTTAACTCATGTTAACTCCGGGACAATCGAAATAATACATGACGGTCAGACTCGACGATTTCAAATACTTTATCGTAATCCAATCGCACTTAAAAAAGCGAGATATATTGCAAAAAATAATAGATTACTTTTTCGTATTTTTAAGTATCACCGCCTTTACATTATCTATTATAACATAAACTGGATAAAATTCTGAAATCCACAACAATATTTGACCGCGTCTTTTACTTATTTATTAGGGTTAAAACAACTGATTTATTCCATTATTGACATGGGCTTAAATCAGCTTCTTAAACACATGACCAGCATCGTTCAAAAGACGCGAGCTATCCAATTATACTGGGAAAATGAACTCCAAATTTACTATAAATAGTAAAATATGTGGCCCAATTAGCACTACGTTGTCCGTGGCATGTCTTATACTCGTATGGTTGTGATTAACTTTAGAGCAAATTTATATGCAGGAAATCTCGCCCTGTTAAAGGGAATGTTTACAAGGTACGTGTGTGTTACCTATACATCCATATGTAGGTGGATGATGTTTTTTGCATTCTTAGTTTATACATACATTTATGTATGTATGTACATGGTTATGTAATTAGAAAATATTGACTTATACCGCTATGTTCCAAATGGTAAATTATTTATTATATGATTTTGCCAAGCAAAGTTTTAACGCCAAACTTCGAATCTTCAGATTCTTTTGCACTTTGTACTAGATATACATACATACCTCGTATGTCACACACATACAGTATGTCAATGAATAGTTTGCAAACTGAAAAAAATCAAAAAAATTTTTTTTCAACTTGATTTTTATTAGCTAAAACAATTTTCTTGAACTTCTTTCTTCTTTAAAATAATGTAAGCCTGAGTAAGACATAAAGTAAAAGTGATATGAAAATTCAAAAGACAGTAAATATTATGGTGCAAATTAATTGTTTGCATTTTGCAAACATACACTTTACTTCAATGATTGTATATAGTCCTGCACAGTAATGATTTATGTTTGGGATCGTTGTCCTGGTACAGTTTGTACCTTAATTTATTAGGGTTTTCTTGGTCAATGAATCCAGATCTTATCGCACTCCTTGGCAATTCGTTCTTTAAAATGTCCAAGTAAAACTCCTTCGTTATCACGTCTTTGAAAATTCGGAGCTCACCAACACCTTTCAACGAAATGCAACCCCAAACCATTACAGAAAGCTTACCAAATTTTACTGTTGGAATAATATTTTTCTGTTGCAAAGCTGTGTTGGGATTTCTCCAAACTTTACTGGGTCCATCATGATAGTATAACATTATTTTTGTCTCATTGCAAAAAATATCGTCATCTCAGTATTCTGCAGTCCTGTAAACGTTGATATGGTTGCTTTCCAGCTATTTGCGAGGAGTACTTGTGTATTTTTAAGAGTTTTCGGATTGTCTCGTGACATACTGTTTTATGGCAATCATTTTTAATATCTAACGCCATTTTCCACTGGGCGGTTTGAGGATTATCATTGATCTGCTTTAAAATTTTCGAATGATCGCGTCTAGAAAGCTTCGGTGGTATACCTGTAGAGTGCTTTAAATCCAACCTGTTTTCTTTTTCTGCGCGTTTAAAAATATTATAAATCGTTCTAAGCTTGATGGAAAATATTTCCGCTGATTCCTTCCCTTTGTGGTAGTTAAAAAAATATAATTGAATAAGACTTTCATTAGTTCGCTTGCCAGGCATTGTTAAAAGCGCTAAATTAACGATTTGTGGTACCGTTATGTTATCTACGTTTTATTTTGAATTGTGTGGGCATTTTGTAAAGAATTAATTGACAATGCGATATTAATATTTAGATTCGATTAACAGTACCAATTAATAAAAAACGGAAAATAAAATACTTTCTTTTATAAAATAAAATTTGAAAATATATTTTTGTGATTTATTCATTTTGCAAACAATTAATTGACATACTGTATGTATATTTATGCAGCATTTCAGAAACAGCATGATTTAATAATTTGCGTTAGTTTAATGCTGTTTTTTGTTTTTACTAAAAACTTCTAGTAGTACAAAAATAAATTTTGGCTCTGTTGACGATTGCGGCAGTCGGTTCTCTCTTTTTTACGACAATGTTTCTTCGTATTTGCTAAAACTATTGGACTCTAGATGCTTGGAATCACATTTGAAAATTTTCGGCATTTAGTATTTACCGACTACTTCATTGTGATCATCAGAAAATCTGTTCGGACAAGAGAGACCGAATTGGAAAACTCACAACAGTTTGCTGCGGGAGAATTGAATGAATTTATTTTTGGTGCAAATTTAAATAGGCTAGAGAGTGTAGGAATTCCAAATCGATACAAAATAGAAAAAATAAAAGAATCTCATAAAACACTTGTATTGCTTCAATTATTTCAGTTAATTTTTACAAAACACTGCAATGTATCCTAACCAAGGTAACGTCAATATGGGCGGAGGGCCAAGTGCAAGTCCAAATGGAGAGGAGATACAGCATCCATCTCCGCAGCACCAACAACAACAAAATATAAATTACAATGGTGCCCAAACGAAGCAGCAACATACGGACTCACAATCTTCGTCTCAGCAACAGACGAGTGCAAATAAGAAAATTGCGAAAAAGGCGTACGTTAAAATTGTAGAGCAACCCGCTAGTAAAGCTTTAAGATTTCGATATGAATGTGAAGGCCGTTCAGCTGGTTCGATACCTGGCGTGAACTCGACACCGGAAATGAAAACCTTTCCCACTATCGAAATTGTTGGCTATAAGGGGCGAGCGGTAGTTGTAGTCTCCTGTGTAACCAAGGATGCACCGTACCGGTAAGCACATACATATACTAGTATATTGCATACAAAATTCGTAAAACACTTGTAAACAATTATCCGATCATTTTCCATTGCTTTCAGTCCGCATCCTCACAACCTAGTGGGTAAGGAGGGCTGCAAGAAAGGCGTTTGCACATTGGAAATCAACAGTGAAACAATGCGTGCTGTATTCAGTAATTTGGGAATACAATGTGTTAAAAAGAAAGATATTGAAAGCGCCTTAAAAGCTCGTGAAGACATACGCGTCGATCCCTTTAAAAGTTAGTGCAAAATTAATTTTTTTTATCATCTTCAAAAATTGTATATGTATATATACAAATGTATGTATTTCCTTGTTTGTAATGCGTATATTAACGTATATTATTGTGTGTGTATTATTTTTTTTCAGCGGGATTCTCACACCGATTTCAACCAACAAGTATAGATCTGAATTCTGTGAGATTGTGCTTTCAAGTATTTCTTAAAGGTGATCTAGGGCGTTTCACAGTACCCCTTCCCCCAGTCGTCTCCGAACCAATATATGACAAAAAGGCCATGTCAGATCTCGCAATTGTTCGGATATGTAGTTGTTCGGCAAGTGTGCTAGGCAACACTGCAATTATTTTACTCTGTGAGAAAGTAGCTAAGGAAGACATTGCCGTACGATTTTTTGAAGAGAAAGATGGTGTCATAGTTTGGCAGGGGTATGGAGAATTCGAGCACAATGATGTTCATAAACAGACCGCAATTGCATTTAGGACGCCCAAATATCACAAGACGAATATAACAGAACCAGTCGAGGTGAGCAAACTATAAACAAATATCTCTTTATAAAATTGCATGTACTTCCGAATTTATATATATATATATATATATGTTTATACAATATGTAAGTTATAGAATTGCAATAACTAATTTTCTTGAAGGTTTAATAGGCGAATTCCAGATTACATCTTATATAAAGTATTAAATATCACAATTAAAACTTTCTTGTTTTTGTACATGCCTCTACAATGATTAAGGTCATTATATAAGCACGAAATTTCAAATTTTGTCCATTCGTCAATGGAATTGTGATCATTCGGTTGAAATAACTAAAAAAAATTGTGTCCTCGATGGATTGCTTTTTTTGCTGAACATGTATTGTATAATACATATACATATCTGTATGTATGCTTGTATTATATTACTTTATATTGAGTGAACACTCCAGTCATATAATATATACAATTCGCTTATTTTCTTAGGTATCATTGTCAGGTCAAGATGATCGCATATTTGAAAAAACACAACGTTATCATTATTTTCAAAAAAAAAAAAAAAAAAGTTAAACCAACTTAGTATTTGATGCTGGGTTCTCCTCGAACTCAGTTTTATTATTATTGTTATTAAATATTAAATTTCATAATTTTTTGTGTGTTCGTAGGTTTTCGTTCAACTACAAAGGCCGTCAGACGGAGCAGTTAGTGATTCTGTGCGATTTGAATATGTGCCGGCTGAGTCGGGTAGGTATTCTTTAGAAAATTTACGTCGTTTGCTCAAACGGAAGCCCGACGAGAGCGTATTTCAAGCAATTTTAGACACAGCCGGGGAGAAAAAGTTAAATTTTGTAGATGTGGTTGATTTGGATACACTAGTCGTGGATTCACAGCGAGAAGTTGAAGAGGACGAAGCAGATAAGCGTCGTAAGGAGAATGAAATTGATGCTATAATTGACGAGAAAGTAAGAGAGTTGGAACAGCAAGAACATCTGAAACTGCTGCAATTGAAGCCAGAACAACAAAAAACGCAATTGCTGGAAGTAAATATGGAAAATGTAGAGCATAAAGTGGAAGAAGTTTTGAGTTCGCAAATGGATCAGATAAAGTTTCCAGTACTTGAAGAGCAGAAACCGCTAACCGTTAACGATAAAATTAACGAATGGATGAAAAGCAATGATTTGCAAGAAACAGAGGGGTCTCCACCCCCAGACGGAGCGGCATCTATTGCTTCTATCGACGAAGATAAGGTACTGACTGCCCTCTTGGATGAAGCTGCTGAGCTGGACGAGATTTACACACGTCATGTATATCAACGCGACTCATACAACGCTAAACTTAGTGAGTTGAATGGGTTTAAATCCAAGACCGATGATCATAAGACACCCATGGAGCTGGACGAGAGTTTTGATGACGCAGCTACTTACAGTAGCTTGCAGAGAGCGTTTAAGAATCCAATAGATATACCTTTGGCTGAATTAATGCCACCAACTCCACCAGCCTCTCAGCTTGCACCAGAGGATGCACAGTCATATGATCGCAATGATATTTTCACAATAAGTGCCGATGTTGCGCTTGAGGCATTAGAACAGCTTTCAATACCGCCTTTACAACAGCAAGAACAAAAAAAACCTCAACAAACCTTACCACCACGCCCAATGCCACCGAAATATTTATCACCACATATGCATGTGACGGCTGCGGAAGAGGAGAAATTACCACCTCTTCCTCCGAAACGTATTCGTAAGCAGGATAATGGCATTGAAGTAAATATTAATGATGTAATGGAAAGTAGATCGCGTTCTCCAGCACCGATAATAATAAAAAAGACACCCGATCAATCACCGCTTTCGAAACCGGCTAACGAATGTAATTCGAATACTTTGCCAAGGCAAAAAAAGCAAGGCTTCTTCTCGAAAATTTTCTCCCGCCGCAAGAGTAGGCAGGACCTCAGTCAAAATGGAGGCGTTGCTTCGAACTCTAAAGGCACTACACCAAATTTAAGCCGAGAGCCAAGCATTGCTCAATTCCGAATGAACGATCCAAATCGTGGTTCTGTAAAATCATTACAACCTTTGTCTCTACCAACAAGTCCTTCCAAAAACGAATTTAATAAAACAACTAAAACAAATCGCCCAGTGGGCCGTAGTGTTAGTAGCGTTTCCGGAAAGCGACCCACACGATTGACCGCAGACGTTATACACATCCCATTGAAAGGCGACAGCGTTAATAGTTTACCACAAAATGAGGCGTATTCACACGCCAGCACTGTAACTTTGAGCAATACACTCGACCGCAAAACCGTTTCTGCATTGCAACTTGCCGATATACCGATTTGTGAGGGTAATATGGAGCTTGTGGCGATAGCTGATCGTCAAAGTCTGCGTAACTTGTGCGAAGGGGCTTTTAATGTCCAGCTCGATCCTGATGTAGATTTAACAGAAGCGGAACATTTCGCTCTGTATACTAGCATACCGCCACAGGCGACAGCTAGCGAATTCGACGAAGCCTCTGCATACTACGCAGCAGTCGACGCGGGGGAAATTTTAACTCCAGATGAAATCGCCAGGCGCTTGGCAGCCGCTAACTGCATCAATTGAAATGAATAAATGCAGTTAACTCTTCCAAGGGTTGGGAATTTTTATAACACATGTACTTACCTATACCTATATATGTAATAATAGTTGACTTTATAAAAATCGATTATTGTTCGTGCTTCAATCCAGATGTGCTTGTATCAAATAATAATGGAAGTGAGAGAATAACTTGTATTACTTCCTCCTTCCTTTCACTAAATCGAGATGTATTAAAAAACGAATACAATATTTAGGTCATTTGATATTTTTAATTGAAAAAAAAAATTTTTGAAATGATCCAAAAATATTTTTTGCAACGAGTTGCAACAAAAGAAACCCCAATTTATATGTCGGCATTTGTACTTGTTAATTAGACGAAAAGAAATTTTTTGAAATGGCTTTTATAATATATGAGTAGTCATACATGACGTAATGTATTGACTATGTAGACAAATTTTTTATTATTGAACGAAAACTTTAAGAATCGAAGAAATATTCTATGGAGCAACAAAAAAAATAATGCGCGTTCTTATAACACTTTTTGTAAACATATTTGAAAACAAACCATACTTGCTATTAATGCAGTGGGCTTAAACGATTTAACAACTCTTTTTTTTGTCAACGAGGGAAATTGAGAATAGAAAAAGTGCGTCAAACTATTCATCCTTCTCATGTACTCACCTTGGAATTGTAGAATTAGAATTTGGAAATATATTTAGCTTTAAGTTAAATATGTAGATTAAATTTTCAATACTGTTTATCTATGTATGTAGAATGTAACAGAGGAGAACATTTTATAAGCAAATACACATACATTTACATATGTATGTATTTGCATTGGAGTTTATACGATTGTTTGTATGAAAGACAAATAAATGAAGAAACAACTCTTTTGATTATAGGACCGGAGGAGTTAAGACGAAAACGTCAAAGGATAGAAGGTGACTCATTGCATACGTCCTTGCAACAACCACAAAAGAAGATCCAAAGTGATCACGCAGGGGGTCGTAAGTTAATTTTTTTTACTATTTTATCTAAGAAAGCTACTTTTCAGAGTTTATACATACATATACATATGTATACTAATATGAACAGTTGTGTTAGTTAGTTTTCCATGGTGGTGGGAGAAAGTGTATTTTTCTCATCGTTTGTATGTAATTGGTAGCGAATAATTCAGTCGTGGTGGTGGAAGGTATACCCACATATGTTCATTTTACTTGATTAATGTATGTTACCTTAGTCATGTGTATTTAGGAATGCCGTTTTAATCACAAATTCGCACCCACATATATAATGATGCATTGCTCATACCATAATTTCTATTTGCCAGCCTTGTAAGAAGTAATAAGAGTTTGGTCATATTCTGCAAAATATCATATAATATTTGGTATAAACACATAGTCAACCATGGGCACTTACCACAGTGGCATGGAAATGAGTGGCTTAACATTCATTTATTCACAAATCAGTTACATACCTATAGAGGCCGCAATGACCTCCAAAACTTTTTGTAAATCTCCTTTTGTAAAATAAAAATATCGGCGGTTACCAAACAGTGTCACGCCCATTAAAAAATGTTAAAATTTGTTGCCTGGGGGGGTTTTCAGGTGAAAATCAAATTTAAGAACTTAAGTTGTATTTATATTGTCTATGACAAATAGTCATGCCAAATAAATAGATTTATGAATAATCAAATTTTTAAAAAATATTATATGAAATAGAATTGTTGTATTTTTTTGAGAAACAATATTAATTATATAACAGCATACACACATATTTCTTCGGAAATCAATAAATTGTGTTACCTAGAAAAGAAATACATATATACTCGCACAGGGTGTGGCCAATAAAAACGAAGCCTGCGGTAAATTGCATAAATATTTTGGAAATATCATGCTTGAAAACAAATATTGTAAATTTCATAATTTGAAATAAAATCGTTTACAACCCTTTTGGCAAAACTAATGAAGTTTCTTTAATACCTTCGATTCCAACAAAGGTAACTGCAATGTAATATTTGACTTTTAAAATCTATTTCAGAATTTCGTTTTGCTTATGCGTTTTTTCATTGCTGAACTTTTTTTTTTTTTTTTGAAAATTCTGCACTAAAAATAAATGTTTGGCTTTACTTATTTCGCTTTTGTTATTTCTGTTTATGGTTTTTGCGAAAAAAAAACACAAATTAGTTCTGTTTGCTTTGCTGCTAACTTATACATATGTCTAGCTACGTACGTATGTATGTATGTATGTATTTTTGTCCAAGCCAGAGCATCTTCATACAAATCATAATCTCTTCATCTCATATATAAATAACGAAATATTCCTAAGGTTTGGCATCTTATTATTGGGATCTCAATTTATGTTTCTTCAATTTTTATTTAATTCATTTACGCATGTATGTATATATGTATATTTCTAATCTATTCTTTTCGCTTGCCAACAAATGTTAGGTATGACAAGTTGGAATACACCAAATGCACCAGCCATTAAGTCGGAACCAAGAGGTAATTCAGTTTCTAACTTATAAATAAACTTATAAAATATGTTATAGACTCATATGCATGTGTGTATGTTAAAATACTGGTTGAATAAATTTGTGTGCATAAATAAATTGCTATTGCTATTTGCGCGTAGAAGGGGAATTATATGCAAGTAAATATTTACACTCATGTATGTCCTGAACTGAAGTAGCTACCAGCAACATACTAGTACATATTGGTCTAGTATGAAATCCATTAATTTTGTAATAGATGGCTTTAGTGATCTGTATCTATAAGTGAGATTGGATTATTTGACACCAGCATAGAGAAAATCCCTATATTCTACAATTTTTCATCGGTAGAGGCAAAAACGTGAAACAGGCCGCATGAAAATTTATCATGCACAATTTTGGTTTCATCGAATTTGTTTCGTTTGTTTTGGTAAAAAAAAGATACTCAACGGAGTAGAAGGCCAATTGTCTATAAACGGTAAAAACAGTTTCAACTCACCTCCCTCACTTCAAACAAGGATTAACGGCCAGGGATGCTTGGTTGAATTTTTGGTGGATTTATTGCACATCCACTATGAGCTGTTCTGAAGGTATATCGCCAACAGGAGGAGAATCGTGTTTAATCAGGGAAAAACCAGACCACACACATAGATAGTGACTCGCCAGAAGCTCCGAGAGTCCGGTAGTCCAGACCTCACACCAAGTGATTACTATCTATTCCTGTCCATGGCGAATGATTTGGCTGGTGGAGAATAGGCCATAAAAAAGTCTGTGAACATCGATTGTCCCAATTTTTTGCCAATAGAGCAAGGACTCTTATGGGAGAAGCATAATGGAATTGCCTTCAAAATAGATAAAAAGTTATCGAGCACATTGGATATAAATTGGATAATTCTGACAGTGGTAAATTTAATGTAAAAATAATGGACTTCTTTTGCTAGACCTAACATGTAGACACTTTTAAATAGCAAGAATTTTCATACATTTAGTTCATGGATATTTGCTGCCGAAATGCTTTGAATTTTAATTTTTGATATCATATTTCGTATACATATACATACATATAGTATATGTTTTAAACCCCGGCAGTTTCATTTTGAAAATCAATTGCAATTTGTGTGGCTTCGCTGTATTCGCCTTGCCGTTTTTTAGATATAGTAGAGTAGTACAAGTGTATAGCTGCAAGCTCAGAGTAATTACATATGTACATATGCAAAATGGCATACGAAAAGATAAAGTTGTAGGCGTTGTATGCTTACGGTTATTCCGGGATTATGTGTACACACCCACACATACACTTTATTCGTATGAAATAATTAATGTTAAGCCTCCCACTTATTCCCTACAGATGCATCGCCTAAACCTTTGCCCTTTGCATCATATCGTGCGCCATCTGAGATGACTCCATCGCCGCAGCCTTTATCGCCGCTGAATTACAATTATCCAAACACGCCATCGCCCTACAACATGACATTAGCTGGAAATGCGCCACTTATGTCACCTAACCAGCAGTATCGTGGGACCACTGGTGGGGGCGGAGCTGTAGGAAGCATTGATCGCATACCCACACCTTTAGAGATTCATAATGAGTTTAATGCCTACACAGGTGATCACCAGCAGCAACAACAACAGCCACAACCACATCATTCACGCCACTTCGTGCGCCAAAATCAATTATCTCACCAACATGAGTCACATCCACGGCCACATCAACATCAAACACAATATCCAAACTTAGTGTATGGCAATACGGATGTGACGAATTGGGAAGAAAAATATTCGAATGTCCTGCCGAATGTAACCAACACGAATGCGGGAGCTGTAGCTATGAACAATCTTAATCCCAACGAAATCCAATTTAATTTGCAAAATTTGTTGATGGCCACAGCTAGTGGAACGTCAGATGGAACTCAGCTTTCACATTGGAATTTTCCTCCAACCCACGAGGTGAATTTCGGCTGCTATTATTTTCCAAATTCATAAAATAATTAATAGTTTTTGACCTTAACAGGGCGCCCACCTACATCATCAGCATAATTTACAAGCTCAGCAACAGCAACCAACCCAATCAACATTCCAAGAACAACACCAGCAACAACAGCACCAACAACCAAGCAGCAATGACACGACAATGACAGATGTAAACAGAGCAAACATTGAAGTCGCCGCAGATGCCGAACAGGGTCCAACGATAAGCACCTTAATGAACTTTGATAGCGAGCAATTGGTGCACATAAACTCAGAAGAACAGCAAATGCTTCGACTAACTTCCGAAGAACTGAGGCTTTCTAACCTATCCATATCGTCGTGATGGAAAGATGACTCGTCATCACACATCTTTCCAACATTTAGTTGCGTGTACAAATAAAATTTAAGCTATAAAATCGCATGCACCTACAATCATACATATATATACGACAGCATTTAATACGGACATGGTACATACGTTTGCTCATACAATTGCTCCGATAATTGTAGGAAACAAAGGAAATATATATTCTTAATTTTATATAATAAAGTCAGTGCTGCTGAGCTTGCACTTGTACAATGAAATCGCTAACAAAAAATACTTGTATAAATGTTTTAAGAATTCCTATAAAACTAGGAGTTTTGTATTAAGGTTTTGCTGTAATTTTGTAAATTATGTAAATGTTAGTGGCTCGTTAGTCTTTGGTTATGTTAAATTTCTGATTTATATAATAATAAATTAAACATATTGAAGTTGCCATTGCTTCCTCTATGCCATTAATATTACTTCGAAGTTTAAAAAAAAAAAAACAATACAGCGCCTTTCTCACGGAAAATCATATCTTAGCACTGCGAAAAGGTCAAAAGAAAAACAATGGGTTTAAAATACAACAAATGGTTCATAAGAATTGGTCAATATAACCATAATTTATTGGATACGTCTCATTATTAGCATTATTAGTATGTACATATTCATCTTGATAACATATCATACATAGAGCGTATATTAAGCCACCACGCGATAACTCAAAATCGAAGATATAAAATATGGAAATAAATTAAATAATTACAATTAAAAGAAAGCAAGTAGCTGTGATCAACTCGGTATGCGTTACGTGAGGAAAGCGCTAACGTTTAACTATACTCAAAGCCTTCTCAAGGGTTAGACCAAACGGGAATGCAGAGATTTTTGGTGCTGGTGTGGCAGGGAGCGTACAATAAGCAATCCAATGCACCAGCTGCATTGTGGCACGCTGATACGCAATCGAGTTGTTCCAGCAGGTGCGCAAGCGGTTGCCCAATGTAGCAGCTAAGCATTGTTGCAGAGTTTCCACCTCATGCGATAAATTAGAGACTTCTTTTCGCAAATTCGATTCCACTGCCAAGCAATTATCCAAAATTAATGTTTTCCTTAAAAACCAAAAAGATAATGACGAATTATTATACAATAATCATATGATTTGCATATATCTACATACATATTTGTTTACTTGTGTATGGATGAAGTTAACTAATATAAGTTTTGTTTATTGAACTGCTCCCTGCTGGAGGTTACGCCTAAATTTCACAAAATTGTGTTTCATGAAAATTTTTCTTATTATAGGGAGACAGGCTACAAGTATTATCAGCATAAGTATGATATATATATATATTGCTTTATTTTGATATTGTTTAATAATTTAGGATCTTTAAAATAAGTAATTGTTTTTGCCGATAAAACAGCTGTTATTCGTTTTTATTTCTCCTTTCCATTTCGAGCTCAACATTTTTGTCAAAACAGCTGTGCATATGTGCTGTCTGTCACCGTAAAAATCAAATTTGCACTTGGGCCACATGTAACTTAACTTATCTGATCTGTTTTCCCACCTCTAAGCAGAATTATTGCAGAGTAACTCAGAGCAAGCGATACGATTTTTTTTGACAATGCAAAAAGTGGCTATGAAATGTTCATCTACACAACAAAAAACTTAAATACAAGTATGAAATCCATTGTATAAATACTAGGTTTGTTTATTGAGTTGCTCTAGGTTACGCTAGGTTTCCTTAGTAAGCAAAAATAGAGCAACTCCGAGTATAACTTTCTGCTTTGTCTTTTTTGGTAGAGAAACTTGGATCAAAAAACCTTACAAAGCTTATATTTTGTTTACTGTAGAAATGCCAAACATTCGCATTTAAAAATTGTTGGCCGAAAAGTGCTTCGTGACATTACTTGCTCTATTGTTTCGCGTATAAAAACTTCTCGTGCCACAGAGTTAGACACTTAACTCCTCCGAAACAGTTCGACCAATTTGAATAAAATTTTATGTGTATATTCAGTAAGTCTGATCTATTTGAAAATTTTGAATTTATAGTTCGATTTACTTGAAATTTGATACATAGGTCGCATTTTGCTTAGTTCAGCAGGAACATTATTTTTGTTTCCAGGACCGATTCATTCGAAAAAATCGCGATGGATGGCATCATTCATTGACTTAAGCAGAAGCTTTGTTGGAAGGCACGCCTGTGTATATATGGGAACTGTTTCCAATTATATAGTTTTTCCAATTTATAGTTTTTCCCGAATTGATAAAATTCAATTTTATTAAAAAAAATCTAGGGGACCGATCCGTGCGAGATAATCTTAGTTACTATTCGATTCACTTGGAATTTAATTTGTTGGTATGTAGATTACCGCTTAGATTAACATGCATAAACTTAATAATCTTATTTGTTATTCTTATTTATGAACTTTTCTTATCTGAAACCGATAGTTTAATTAAAGTAATTTTATTAGAATTGCCCACGTTCGCGTGTTGTTTGTTCTTGCTTGTCTACTACCATATTGCTTTCTGTTGATCGAGTTCACTCAAATAATTATCAGATTTGAACTATCTAAAATTATTTTATTATCTGAACGTTGAGGAGTTGTCGTTTGAATTGAAGCGAATAATTGATTTTATTATACATTTTCCTAATAATTTCTATATGGTTGGATCTCATATTTAAAAAAGGAACGAATTTGACCAAAATTTAATTCAAAGATTTGCTAATTTTCAGAACAATTACTCTTTATGAGGCTTTTCACTGAGATATTTTTTAAGCAAGTAGCACAGAAAATATTTCTTCAGACGATCCTTCTCAACTCAATGGCAGAAAAGCACTCTTTCAATTCTAGTGACAATACGCCAAAGCCCTTTTGGCTTTTACATTTGAACATTTAATAAATGTTATTTTTCCTTTTTATAGCTTTCCTCTTTTTTTTAAATAATAAAACTCTTAAAACAGATTTATTGCACATAAATTAATTGAATAAAATCATTTCAATACACTCCATTCGGATGAAATGACCTATTTTTTGAGTGATGGTCATGTATTTCATTGCTGTAAGTTCAGGTTTTCAAAAGAAGAGTAAATAAATATAAAAAGCGTAAAAGCCTTATAATTTGCATCGGGTCTTATATGAAATATTTTTGGTTTTAAATTATCTTTTATTCTATAAAGTTAAAAGTTAGATGGCGTGGCAAGAAAAAATACAACTTGGGAGAAAACGGACACGCGCATATAGACGGTTATTGTTGAGGTGTGGAATTTTTGGCTACAACTATACAAATTAGCAATTCAAGTTAAATACATTAACACAGTAGTTGTTTAATAGGTGATAACTATTGGGACTTACTGCTTTAACTCTTTGATTTCCCATTCGTATGACTCCAGTTTATTGAGCGCCTCGGTTAAAGCATTGTCTTTCGCCTTTATGTCATTGTTCAAAATTTCCTCCTTTAGCAAAGATGCACTATTTATCTCGCAAATCTAAAATACCAATATACTGTAATGAGTAAGCAAGTATGGAAGACCTTTAAAATATTTACTTCATTAATGAGCTCATTCTTTTGTGCTTCGAGTGTTTGCACCTTGCGCTGCTCGATTGACAAATTAGCTTGTAGTTCTCGCTGTTGAGCCATTGCTTTAAATAGGTCGGACTTTGTCTGGCTGAGAATAGTATTGAGACCGTCAAATTCTTGCTCTTTCATTTGAATCTGCTGTTCCAGAAGAGCTCTGTCAGCCTTCAAGCTGATAAGTGAAGTAGTTAGACTCTCGCAAGAGGATTTTGTGTTGTTGATATCCTCTAAGGAGCGTTTCAGTTGGACACTCAACTCGTTATTACGCTTTTGCTCGACTCGGAAAAGTGTATTGAATACATGCAGTTGATTTTTTGCTTTGACGGACTGTGAAATGAAAAACAAATAGAAATCCAAAAAACTAATATATATGCAAATAGCTGAAGCGGTTGACTTTACTTACACCACGCTTTAAATGGTTTACTTCCTCCATAAGGCGTTTCACCTCATCACGTCGCTTACGCCAGGCGTTAAGCATAATTGTTGCAAAAATACGCATTCCTGCAACCTTTGGATCGCGATCTTGGATTACATAGTAATAATTATTCTGGTCAAACATTTTATTTACTAATGACGATTGACTCGAGCCACCTAAAATGCCTGCTATACCCGTTTCTCTATTCGACAGCAATGCACTAGCTTCTCCTGACAATCCACTAAGTGACTGGGGCTGTGACGCAGTCAGCAATTCGAAGCTTTTGCTATTATCACGACGAGTACGTCGTAAATCCATTTGCGTAACAGATTTGCGTATTCGAAAGTTCAAAATAGCAGCTGTATTTCGTCCTTGGAAAGGATTTGGGCTTGAACGTAAATTCGATACTTTGACAACTTCCAGGTTTTGAAAAGTGGCATCTACGGCCTCTTGCGTTGCCCCTAATTCTACGTTAGTTAGTATTTGCCCATCAGTCGATTTTATGGTTTTACATTCGGTGCAGTTTGCTTTGGAATTTGGCTTCGGCGATAAGAAGCGAGAAACTTTTGTGATAAGCGAAGCCGGGGACGATGTTGGCGTAAATAACAAGGCACGTGGAATTTGAGATTTCAGATTGAGAGCAGCGGCGCACTTTTGTGGTGAACTGTGTAGAAGCGTTTGGATCGAGAGCGTGGTCAAAGAAAAATAAAAAAGACTATCAAATATGAGCCAAGCTGAGATGGAACCGTTTATTTTAAGTAAGTTTTTCTGGAACTAGTGTCTTTCTATGGCGATTACACACGCTAACTTCATGCGGTTAGCGGAACGATTCTCAATTTTTAATAAAATTCAGTTGCACAAAGAAAAACCGAAAATTTTTATATTTATCGCTAAGAAATTTTCAGTGTCGAAAAACTGATTAATAGAAAAAGTGACTGAAAACTCTAAACGTAAGTATTTAGTTAAATATGGATATACGAGTATGTAGAATGTATGTATGTATGTAACTTAAAACTTTACTTTTATAAACATTTCGGGCCGACAATAATTTCAAAAGACAACTTACTCAACTTTTGCCGAAACCCTTTTCTGGTACCGTCGGCCGATGGATCGACGAGACTTCTTGGTTTGTCCGCTTTTCATCTGCGGTGGCTTACATCTAGTCGAGTCATCATCAGTGGATCTAATACCACTGCTGCTATTAGGTGAAGCGAGATCTGATGTCGTTGAACGATCAGTAGAGAGAGCGTCCCCCTCGCTTAAATTTTCTACAGTGAATCCAAACGGTGGGACGGTGGTGATTATTTCTGGCATTTTGAAAAATATTTGCAAGTAATCGGTTTGAAACGATAGATAATAATGATTGTTGAGGATGATAATAAAGGCAATAAATAAACGGTTACAAATTGAATTCAGTTTGACTGAAAACTCATTTTTATACTTAAAGCTTCCCGGTATCTTGAAGAATCTAAATTCTAAGCGTATAGTATTTATTCTCAGAGTGTTTGCGTATGGGAATATTACGAATGCAAAAGTAAAAATTGTGTAGGTAGGATGAGACAAATCTCCTTAACAAAAGCTTTATTTTCTAATGAAGGACATCTTCGCAAAACTTATTTTTTCACAGATTCCTTATATTTCATTGGCTCACGTCAGTCGTGTCTTCTTTTCTCTGTCGAACGCCAACTGTATTTACTAAGCAAATCCAGGTCCTTCTCCACCTGGCCTAACACGAAGATTTTAGTCTTTGTTTGTGGAGAGAATACTTTTCTTTTCAATTTTCGACATAGTCCAAAACAGGAGTGATGCCCCCGTCACAATGTGAAAATTGGCCTTTATTTTATTGGCGATTTTAAAGCCAGGGTGGGTAAATAAAGTATCTTTGGCAGAACCTCCACCTTTAGCCTCCACAACGAAATATCCTCAAATGGATTGCGGCTGATCGACTTCGCCCTAGCCCGAAATATGGTTGCCTGTAGTACTAGATTCCACCAAAAGTAAATTCATTTAGCTACTCCCATCCGAACCCTTTGGCTAACACATTGGCCCATGTAACATCTTAAGCCCGCCTGTGAAGAAGAGACAAATCAGCCTCCCCAAAGAAGCTACTTGACTGTCTTGAAGCCGTACTAACATCCAAAAAGTTATAGAAAATCAATTTAAATAATAAATTAAGTTAAATTTTAAATTAAATAAATAGGTTCCTCCATTTGTTGGGAAAACACTAAGATGCAAAACCTCAAATTGGAGGAGGACCTCGCCCAAAGAATTAAAAAAAAAAACGATGTTTATATTATGCAACAATCAGTACATATAAGGGGTTTTCCAATAAGACGAGTTCATTTTGTTATTCGAAGAAACCTTCACTTAAAAGATCGATGGTTTCGTTGCTTGTGTGGTAAGTAGAGCCGTTCTGTGGAAAGTTAACGTTGTCCAGATCAATACCATCCAATTCCGGCCATAAAAAATCATTAAAATTCTCACGATAGCGCAACGCATTCATTTTCGAAAAAAATGGTCTAATAATCCCGCCGGACCATAAACCGAAACAAATAGTGACACATTGAGGACGGATAGGCTTTTCAACAGTAAATCTTGATTTACAGAGTTCCAGATGCGACAGTTTTTTTATTGACGTAGCCATCGAGGTGGAAATGCAGAAAGTTTTATAATTAATTTTGATATTTTCAATGCTTTGTTGAAGCGTGTATCGGTCTATTCTTACTACTGGCGTAGCTTTTACTTGTCAAATATCAAAACGATTACAGCTTCGAAAATGACATCTACTGGAATAGGAGGCTATTGATTTAGTAGTTAAATACCTTTTCCTGCTATTTATTATATTATATGTGTATTATGTAATTGACGCTTTGACCGCTGAAGCGATTTTTGACCAAATTTCTTGATATCATCGGCTACTGCGGTCGTTATTTATTAGCACGTGGGGAAAGAGTACTTTGAATGTTCATACCTTAATATACTTTAGAAATAGGTGGGATTTTATTGAACTCAGCTGACTCCACTGCGATATCTGGCGGAGGTCAATCCGATGTTATTACGGGTACTCTATGTATGGATATCCACACGTATACATATATACATCTTTTCGAAATTACTTACTCTGAAACAAGCATACATACATATGCATATACAACCCACTTATACGGGTGCATATGTACATGTGCTTTAATTGTAGTAAACAGCTCGCCAATCTGTCATATTGAATGGCATTATTCTTCTGAACATCAGAGCAGCCTTTCTTACACTTCATTAACGGTGCATAAATTGAATGAATTTCACAGTTAATAGCACAAGAATTATGTATGTATGTGCCCATATAAATATATATGTATTTGCGCATATATGTAAATATGTGTATGTATAGGTATGTACATATATACAACTTCTAAATATAACGAAGCCAACGACAGACTAATAGCTATTCATAAATATTAATTTCCATATTCTTCTTCTATATGTTTAGATTTAAAAAATTTGAATTTCTGTTGAGAATCTGAGTAAAGCACAAAGTATAAAAGTTCAACACGCATTCGAAGTTTTGACAATGGATCATCGTCCTAACTTAACAACCGCGCGATAGAAGGAGTTATCCATGTGGTCTATGTACCATTTTTATAGAGGAGGGGCATACCCGTACTCGTACATACATAAATGATTTCGTATGCGTTATTCACCATGGAAGTAATGCGTTTGCGCGGATCTACCTTTAAGTTGGATAGCTTTAGGAATCAGCTAGACTGACCATTGACGTAACCGATAATCGCTGAGGGGTGTTCATTGGTTGTGCGGCCACGGTGCCAATCGGTTGAATTGGAAAATCGAACGGAAAATCAATTACTGTAAACATTTGTAATAATGAAGAAGTGAAACAACTCTTACTCCTCTATTTTCTTTTTGGACAAAGGCGATGTGAGAAAATTACAATATAATGTGTGCATACGTACATATGCATACATGTTAGCTTAATATAAAAAAACACACTTACATATGTATGTGTATTATGAAATATTTCAGTTAGTTAAAATTTTTTGAACAAAAATTTAAATTAGAAACTGCTGGCTCTCCGAAGCAATGTAAAAGCGAAAAACTTTAATTTTCTATTAAGAACTACATATTTATATTAGTATATGCAAGTAAAAAAAGTGAAAACATATTTTCAAAATCTACATTTTGAGGTAAGATATTGGATAAATAAATATAAATTATATATTGAGTGTCTATTAATCTTTTAGTGCTGTACCAAGTAAATTTTTGATCGATAAACTATAAATAGGATATTGACGAGCAAAAGGAAGTGATAACCAAATACATAATAAATACATTTCAAAGGCAAATAAATAAAACATTTAATTTGCTTAGAAACTTTTTTTAAAAAAGACAAAATGATCATTATTCTTTGAATTTTTATTAGCAGCTGAATAATACTCTTTGCTTCTCCCTTTATATGTTACGAAATTAAATTGACATTTTTAAAAAACGATTTTCTAAATAATTTTGGATTGATGTTCAAACATTTATTTAAGCGTAAGAAGATGAAATTAGTGATGCTTTATTGTTGCAACTACTTTTGAATAAACCAACAACATGAGTCATGTCAAAAGTACACTTGGAAGGCTTGACACTGTCTTTAATTTAGGATGTTGTTATGGCCAGTATGTAATCCTGTTCTTCCGCATGTTAGTACGCAATGCTATACACTTAGTTATTGTGGCATATAAATGCCAGATTGTACGAAAGTTGGTAAGAAAAGTAAGGGCAATTCATTTACTCTCTGTTATAATTTTGCTCACTACAATAACAAAACATTTGTTAAGTATACGCAGCGTTGACCGTATCTAAGCATCTTCCATCTTCGAACAAAAGGCATTTATCGAAAAACAAACATAAACGTTTCAAAGGAGTTTAACCTGAGCATATGCACGCACACGTAGAGCCAAATTAATCTGAATATGCGTTTATGTATGTACGTACTCATACATTGTTTTGAATACAAAAATAGTCGGCTTAGTTTGTTTACAGGTCAACAGTATTACGCAGTTCAAGCGTTTCGCAACTTATAAACTGGTTTTATATTCGGCAAAATTATTGCGTCACATCGTCCAGTCGGGCGTTGCGACTGACAACCGAATTGACGATCGCCAAAAGCAACGAAGAACACAGCAACTACTTGGAATCAGTTAATATGAGGCTACTAAATACATAAATGGCAAAGACATGGAGAGACATTGTATAGTCTCCCTTCCTCTCAATGCGATATTTGCGTGTAAAATGAAAACAATATCAGTATTTACAATGAAACGGGCTTGAATTAAATTTAATGGTGCAAGAGCTTTTTGAAGCTCTGTACTAAACTTATCAACTAGAATTCTCATGACAATGCGAGCGCCCAAGCTGTGAGAAGTGTTTGAGAGAGCTAGTTTTATGGCTTGACTAAGTCAAATCACCGAACCCAGACCGTGAATTGCTAAATGTCCAGCATTTTGAAATGTTAATGTATTTATAAACATTTGTCTACATATGGATGTATGTATATGTGTACATGCATACAGCTACATCATATGTGGTGCGTCCGCATGTTCGCATGTTCGTAAGGTAGTTTCGAAAACGGTCGACAAAGTTCGTATGCAACGCTCACAGCTCACAGATGGAAGCTTATCCCAATTTGAACTCAGTTGAAGGCGTGATTCAGTGATCGACGGTCGGGCGTATATTAACGATTTCAAAGTCACTCAATTTGAAACGCAAATTATGGTGTATTCATTTACAAATGAATCTTCGTAATACTAATTTTATTTTATGCAGTAAAAGAAATAAGAAACAAATTGCGAATAAGAGTTTTAAACAATAGTTACATTTATCAGCGATTTTTACTTAAACACACACAGGCACACACAGATGCGTAGAATAATCTATTGCAAAAATATATCGAATGTATATAAAATACATACAAATATATAATACAAGCTATATTCGTGTGATGCATATTTGAATAAAATCATTGTGAAATTTAAAAGCGGTTGCGAAACAATATGAAACCGTATTTTTCAGCCTTAATGCAGTCAAAACAATAAACCAAACAATCAAAAGGGGCATACAACACATCAAGAAACTTTTATTATAAATAATCGTAGGTTTATTCCGCATTGGCGTACCAGCATACACTTTAACTTAAAAATATTTCAAATGTAAGTACGTACATACATATACATATATCTTGTACAAATATAAACGCTGTTTCCATGTGTGTATACAGTAAATATGTAGTGCAATGAATGCGGAAATCCATCTTTCAGATCATTTCAAGCGCCAACACACACATAGCAAGACATTTCGCACATGCTCACATAATATATGTATAGAAATATGTTCCATATATTTTATGTACATTAGAGTAATTTAAATACCTAAATAGCTACAAATTTAGGCCTTTTTTAATGCCCGTTGCAATATGTACTTACCCAGCTAATGATTTATTAGGAATGCGCAGTGAAGCTGTCAATATTGACCTGCAAATCATAACGTTCCACCTAAACACCGGAGTAACTAAAATTGCGTTCCATTCGACTCACAAAATTTTAGTTCCTTGTTTCGTGTTAACAACAAGTTTGCATTTCATTAAACATAATTGAAAAATGCAATATTTTTGATATTACTCACTCACCTGTAGGGTATTACTTAGAAATATCTATAACTTTTGTTACATACATATATATGTACACACATAAACTAAACAAACTATACAATTATAGTAGTCTCAATGCATACGTTTGTATTTGGCATTGTTAACTGAGATGCTCACGTCTAAACAACACTTTACTTCATGATATATTTTATGCACATATGTACCATTTAAATTAATATTTTTCTTACGTGAGATATACACTACTATATATACATATGTATATTTTTAAGCTGCTAATAAAGTGTGTTTTTTTAGTCTTGTGTATTTCAAGAAGAAATAAAGAGCATATAATTTACCGTTATGGTCAAGAACGTGGCTTTATTATACCAAGAAGTGTTCGCCGCAAATAGATTCCAGCCGAGAGACCCAATTTTCAACCGCTTTTTGCGGCAATTGGTCCGAATGTCAGCTATAAAGCGCCGAATATTTGTTTCCAAAGCGACAATCGTCTCGTGCTTATCTGCGTAGATAGGCGGAGTTAAATCGCTTCCTTTAAAACATTAAATGTCTCGTAGGCTGTATGGCATGTAGCGCTGTCTTGTTGGAACCAAAGGTTGCCACATCAACATTAAAGCCTCCTCGTTTCTAGCTCATTCACCGAACTTTCAATGCACTTGATGGGCGTTCGGCTTCAAGTCTTGTACGAGTTAGGTTTTGTAAGCGGACAAACCAAGATCCTTCCGCAAAACATCGACTATGGTCACAAACAGTTGAAATTTCATCCTATCCCGATGGCCGTAAGGTACCTGAGATAGCGCAGTCGTCAATCGCAACTGTTAAAAAAGTAGAGACGGGAAGACGAAAAAAAATGAGATCGTAAGTCTGCATCCATGAGAAGATAATTCCTTTGCACACAATAGGCACTTTACTCATATAACTTCGCTAATCACCTAATGATTGCATGTAAATGTATTGTATGTAAATACATATGCATGTTGATATTTATACGATTGTGTTATAATGCAAAACTTTAAATGGCGGATGGCAATTAGCCGGCGCCTAAAGTTGTGAAGGATTTACGCTCCTGGCGTAAACAGGTGATGTAAAAAAACTTCAACTTCGATGCGTAACCATTCTGCAACTTAATCTCAAATAATTGTATGTATTTATACCTTTAATAAATTGTTGTGATTTTAGTTAATTTCTTGAAATTGAAATACAATTTAATGCAATTTTTTAAGCTGCGTGTGCTCTTGAAATTAAGTTTCGACGTCTGACGGCATATGTATCCCTATTTTCTAATATACTGGTAAGTGTGAAAAATATCTAGTGACTCTATAGATATTATATTTGGGTTTGAATAAATGTGATTACTCTCCTATGAGCATCCAAATTTACAAAATGGAAGGAAAATTGGATTTCTTAGTTATTAGAAATACTATGAAGCGAGTTCTAAAAGATTCGAATACATGTTGATGGGTTAATGATCCGAGAATGTAGAATCAAATTTTCGATTTTTCCTTTTGCAAAATCATAATAAAAATATCATTATATTCATTAATCGACATTTGTATAAAATATACGTATATAAGTTGAAAACATCAGGGCATTGTTTCCTAAATGTTAAAGATTTCTATAGCTAAAAGGCAAGAAGCCGTCGGAGCTCCCCTGTCTCACCTGTATTTACCACTCCTTCACTAAAATCAACGTCAAATATCTATTAATTAGATATATATGGTGGCCGCGAAAGCTAAATGGTTAGCATAGACATTCTGAAAACCAGGTGCCAGTTCGACGAATGAACCGAATAATTTTCCTCCATCTGCTAACATCACCTGTTTCGTCGTTTGCTCAACATCAGCTTCCAGTTTACGTGATCTAAATAAATTTTAAGCTGCAGCATTGAAAGTTTCTCTGATGGTGGCAGAAAAACATTGAGGCTTTTTTCTGTTGTAAATTAGATGTTAAGTAAATAAAGATATTAAGTAGCTTGGGATCACTCGGCTTGGTTTCAAACTGCTTGTGAAGAAGACAACGTAACAAATGAAACACATATTTTTAGTGCACTTAAGAGTTAAAAATTAACGTAATTTTAGTTAAAGTGCAAAGGGTATTTTTAATTTAACATCTATAATCGATTTCACTTACAAACTTACATATATACACGCTACACCGTTTCAATCAATCCACATCACCAAACAAGTAGTATAAAATAAAAGCTTCTTTCAAACAGTTGAGGTAAGCAAATACGAATGTTGTGTAAGTGGGAAAAACCCAGGATTTGTCTCATTCATAAGAAAAATATTGCATTTTTAATTACCCAAGTTATTATCTGCAAACAATTACTTAGAAGCGACTAAGTTTATAGCTGCGCTTTGCACGAATTCCGCTCACTGGAATCAGCTAAACTTATACAAATACGTGTATTTAAAATTGTGTCGGTAGTTTTCCAATTCAGGCGCGCATCCGACTGCAGACACAGAGTTATTTAATATTATGCAACAATATCTATGAAGATCTTGGGACGGAAAAAATACATTTTGTACATGCCAGGCGCTAGTTTCCTTTAGTCCTGTTTTGATATTTTTGGTTGTGAATTGAATTCAAAAAAGTCTTTATACATTTTAAACACTAATAACTGCAATCGTTTGTATGCATGCACATAATTATGTACAATACATTTGTACATACATATTGAAAGTAAAACAATTCAAAAGTTGCTTTCGTTCTCGGAACTGGTTTTGATTTTCACGGCGATCAATTAATCAATTGCAAGTAGGTATGTAGAGACATACATACAAATACATTTATGTACATGTGTCCGAAAGTTCATTATGGATAACAAAAAACTCTACATGTACATTAGGGTGCACATTGTTTACCAAGTCTATTTTTTTCTTGGAGCTTACTTAGTTTGTAGCCTATGAATATCATCCGTTCATTAAATATTTTTTCCGCTACTTTAGTCATAATTTAGCATTTTATAACGGTTTTAATAAGATTTTTAATTTGTTTTGCAACCACACGGAGGTGCTTTCTTTGCTGAAAGGCGATCGCAATTTCAATAAAATATTTAATTGTATATAAATTTGGAGGTTGGTCAGACCAGCACTCAAACCGTGGCCTTCCGAATGGTAGTACGCACTGCTAACCACTCGGCTTTTGCTTCCGTTATATTATTATATATTATAACATAGATATTATTATTATAGCTCGTTTAAAGTTAACCTAAGTTTGAAAGTTTTCTTCAATCCAAACATCAAGGAAGTCAAAACAAAATCACAATTGCTTTGAATAGAACAATTCGGACTCCATTTGCCAGAAAAAAATTGATTCAGACAGAAAAGCTATCTACAATATATTCCGAATATCAGGCAAATCGAACCAAATATAAAATTTTTCGAATAGATCGATTTCTTGGTCCACTTCTTGGAATGAAAGTATACTAAAATTTAATGGAAATAAGAAGATAAATACAAATTATTTGAATAGGTCGTACCCAGGTCCAGTTCCCTTAAGAAAAAGTATTCCCCATATCAATCTAGACAAAGAGCTAATTCTGTACCGAATTTCATGTAAATCGACGATTTAAGAACGAATTAAATTTTCGAGTTGATCCATTTTATACTTATATGATTTTTTTATAAATAATTCGGCTGTGAAAAGTACAATAACGGCGGCGAGTGTTAGTGGTTGTTGCTGCACAAATAAAAAAAAAATTTAAAAAGTGAAAAATTTTCATCTGTTGTATTTTTCTGGAAGATGTGCTGTCTTAAAGTAAGGTTTAATATGAATATGAAAAACGTATTTGGTCTTATATTTACTTTTCATTTGTAGACTACAGAGTTAAAGGGTACTGCAAGAAATAATGAACACCCTAAGATGCTAGCTACATATTTATATGTTCCGTAAATTAATTCTTTCTTAAAAGCTCCAAACCTATTTATAAATTTATATTTGTTTCCATACATATATTAAGCAAAAATTGGATAATTATTTCAAAGGTATTTATCTTTTTTTCAGACAAAAATAATGTACTCGTATTTGCGTTCATATCAAACAGTGCCGTTGTAAAATATTCATGATCACCATGGAAGGAAAAATGTTTGGTAAGTGATGGTTCTTTGTAGATATTTATGCGTGTACAAATGATATGGGATAGCAAAAGAGGATATTCATTATGGAGCATCTAAAAAAAAAGTACATTCGAACATATTATTTAGTTTCGAATATAACATAATATTTGCGCATTTGTGCTGCTTACATTGGTATATGCGTGTATTGTGTTGGCTCAAACTTCTGCACGTCTTCTGTGCACCTTCAGAGCTCACCTACGAAACGAAACTGACTCAATTTCAGTTGTACACATTTTCTATTATTCACTACGTTAACTTGTCTTAAAACTTCAGAAAGGACACCATAAATTTGAGGAGAAGCCATATGTATATTTAGATTGTAATTTAGAGCAGTCCGGGCTGACTTATATTGGAAAAACTGTGCAAAAGTGCCACTTGGCACTAAAACTTTCTGGAAATTGGTTTATTTCCATAGATCATATCCGACAAGTTTTAAAATTTTTTCACAGTACTTTTGTGAAAGTAAAATTGGTAGTGCAGCACAAGCAGTTGGAATTAAAATTTTTATTAAAAATGACGCATTAAAGAGTAACACAAAACCACAACCTTATAACCGCAATAAATATTTAAGATTTCATTTATGCCAAGGAATACATTTTTTGTAACTCCGAAAAGCGAAAATTGTTATTTGGCGTTTAGTTCCTATGTACAAATGTACAATTGCTCACGTAAAACTGTATACAGCCGCTCACATGCATACATAAATACAGCTATAGACAGAGTTTTAGCTCATTAGTAATTATAGTTTGAAAAATTGCAGTTACTTTTCCGTGAGAAACACTCTCATGAATTTCTCAATAGTAGATCATTATTCCTCTTAAAATCTCAACAAATACCAAACAAAAAAAAACCGTTCTAATTTCTGCTGGGCTATTGTTGCTTCGGTTTTGTCAAATTGCATGGCAAATGTTTTGGACAATCATTTATCGCACTCATATGCCTTTTCTTATCATTTCTGATCGGATGTACAAAAAATTGGGTATTGTTGTGTATTTGAAAGAAATAAACATTATTTTTATGTATTTTAACAAAATGACAAGAGGAAGCTACCGTTCTGTTGGAAAAAGAGAGCTTATTTATGATCTTTACAAAAAAGGTACAAACCAAGTAGAAATTTAATTTCCAAAATATTAAATTGTACTAAGCAAATGGTGTACAATGCCATGAAGAATGTTGAACCCCCGCAGGGATAAAATAATTGTTAGGAAGAATAAATAAGATCCTTTGAAATCTTCACGTGCAATAATGGCCGAAGTCAACTCGGAATTGGGCTTAAATGTGTCAAATAGACTATTGCGAAAACGTCTGAATGAAAACAAGTGTGGTCGTGTTAGCAGATAAAAAACCTCTTCTGTAGAACAAGAAAGCATTAACGCACGTTCGTCACTTGCCCATATTCATAGATCGGAAGTGTATTGGACATGATGGTGAAACGTATTTACATCGTGAGAAAAATTAGGAAATCAATCCCAGATATACAAAAAACCCATGACGAAAGGTGGGCGAAATTGAAAAGTTTGGAGATATTTTCGTGGCAGGCCCCGGTTAAGATTAAAGGAAATATGGATAAATTTGCGTATCTTCAAATACTTGGGGGCCATATTCCTTCGAAATTATGCTACTTAACTGGATCAGATAAACAATAATATCAATGAATTTTACTCTATTCCTTATAAATATTTACTTTTTTTGCCAGATGGATGAAAGTGCGCTAAATGTTTGCCCAAAGTAAGTTGTAACCAAAGCAGCAATACTGACTCTCACCAAATATTTTCAAATTATAAATCGTCTAAATTAAGTTATTTCAAAGTGTAATGAATTAATAAAATTGGCAATTATATAGCATATTTAATTTATAAATTGTATTCAAAGCGTATTGTATTTCAAAAATGATAAAACTCGATATGCTTTAGAGCCGTCGAACGATAAATATGTTTTTTCTAATACTTCTCTAATAAGGCGAAAATTTATAAAAAATTGCTTTGCAACCATTTATCGCTAAGATTTTCAGTCAGGATGACTGAAAAAAAAAATGAGGTCAAAATTCTTTTTCCGTTTATAGAGTTTATCGGTTCTGTTTAAATAAAAAGAAGAGTTTTATTTTTTCTTCTAAATGTGACTAATATTTCATTTCGTGCATTATCGTCGCTTCAGGAAGTTTAAGTTTCCTCATTGTGGCCGTAGCAAGAACTTTGCTTCAAATTTGTTATGCGGATCCTTTGGTCGCCACTGCTTTCTGGTAAATTATCGAAATACAAAATCAACCGTTGTTCTAGAAATAATAATATATTTTAATTCTATGCCTTCCTAATTTCAAATTTCTCATATTAAAAAATTAAAATTATTTTAGTTTTGAATCAACTTTGTTTTGTTAAAAAAAATTAAATCATAAATCAGCACGAATTTGGAACTTTCTCACCAACGTGCTCTCTCGCTATCAATTTTTACTGAATTTTTGGCTCCACGAAGACGATTCAGTAAAGTTTGGTAAAAATTGTTACTGTCCATCTGATCAACGAAAAAAACTATAACCTTTATAAATCGAAATCAGCTGTAGTGCACATTCAGACTTATTTGTACAATAGATATATATTTGTTGGAAAAAGTAATACAAAATTCCAGAATTTTGCTTTTCAAATTAATTACGACGATCGCTCGGCTATAAAAAATTATTGTCTATAAAATTATATCACCAAGAATTATTTTCAATATTTTGTTTATTTCATTGTCGTAAAATTATTTTTTATTTGCCGAAGCTTTTCTTTTTTCATATCTGTATTGATGTAATATAATGATAGTAGTTCTGTTCGGTTTGCTGATGGGCAACAATTGTTACCAGTTTTTACATGAATCGAGTTCGGTAAGACAGCTCAATTTCGAAGGGAAGTTGCGCGTTCGTGGTGGGAAAGTTTCAGCCAGTATCCATTAGCAAGTATAAGAAACTTAAGATAGTTGCTTTTTGTCCACTAGGCAATAACTATCCGTCAATAAATTACAAATTTTTGTATCGATTCAACTAAAAGCCAGTAAATTTTTATTTATTTGGCTTGAAAATACATACATACATACATATGTATATACAGGCCTGTGTTATTCTTAATCCATTTAATATCCCTACGTTTTTATATGTATGTTTGTAGGTATTTATATATATATATATATATATATATACACCAAAAACATTATTGCTATGTTATCTGATACTTAAATTCCTAAATATAATTGTACATACACATATTGGACAATGTACATATTTTCGCGCTTCTGTGCTACAAGCAAGAACATCGCTACATTCGACATACGTGTATGTACGTCAAACGGGCATTTAATGCTCTGGAAGATCTTCTGTGAGGATGTGTGTCCGTTATTTCAACAGGTAGTAATATGTTAATTTTGCGATCGGACTGTTTCTATTTCAAAAAAGACAAAACATACATACATGCATACGTATGTATTTATATACATGTGTGTAACACTTACACTTATGTGTATATTTGTGCTTATACATACAGAATTATAATTACGCATGTGGTATGAAATAAAACAGATGCAATTAAATTTTCTAAAGCACAGAGTGGGGAGAATGGTGTGTAGACAGGTATAAGCGAATTTCATTCATATATTATATTATACATATAGATGCTTACATCTATTTATTTAAAAACATTTGAAGTTTAAATCCAGACATGAAATCTCTGTAAGAATATGCATTAGTATTTGAGCTGTCCCAACGAATGGGCATAATTTTCCAATCAATTTATATGTAGTATGTGTAAGTACACGGTCGCTATGAGTATTATTACTTTGAAGGCCATGGCTCGCGTGCTGACCCGACCCAGAATAAAGCAAAATCATAAAAAATTAATTTTTCTAATTGCGGAAGCCTCTCGACAGGAAATGCCGACTCCTCCGAGCGTATTTCTGGCATGAGAAAAAAGCTCCTCTTAAAAATCCAACGGCCGTTCGGAAGCGTTTACAATGCGTCAATTATGTATGTATGTAAATACACGTTCTTTAGCGGCGACCGATGATAATGTAATATGATTTAGAATCGATCTTATAACTGAAGAAATCTTTTCATATCCGTAAAGAACTCATTGCTATCTATAGGGTGTGCATGTTCAAAGCTTAAAATGGTAAATGGACTAACTTAAAACAATGATATACTCGGAAATGAGCCCTGATCTCTACAACAATTCCTACTTTAAAAAAAAAATCTTTATGTATGCATATGCAATGAGCAGCAAATAAATAATGCCCTCCAGTTCTTTACATTGAATTCAGTACTAAGTCTCTATTGTGTAAGAATTGTACGCATTTTCTTTTCAACAGATATTAATTGAAATCATGAACAACAAGAAAGAAGAGCTGACTGTCCCCATGCTAAAGTTTTATACCTTTCATGATCATATCAAATTTGGTATATCATACCTTTTTTTCGATTTTGATGATTTTTGATGTCAATATTTATTTAGACTTACGTGTGCAGAATACAAAATTTCCTGATCACAGATACCCTTTTGACGGATTTTTGACTCAAAACCTTATATTTTAATAAATCGGTTGTTTGGGACTATGTGATAGATTTGTCCGATTGCAATCCTAGGTGTCAATGCCTATTTGTAGGTATGCATGTATGATACCAAATTTCAAATCTGGGAAAATCGGTGGTTAAGCTGTAGGACCCTTCTTCTCGTAATTACATACTTCAGACTAAAGTTAATATACCATCAACTGTTCCAGAAAGATAAAAAACTAGAGATGCTCAACAAACGCAACGATGTCATTTGGTTGAGCTAATTTTTCTTGTTAGTGAAATCGTTTCGTTTCGGCGCCATGTTATCAAATCGAAATGAAATCGTTTAACCGTGCAACCGCACAAACTCATAGTTAAGTTAATTTTAAAATGTCCCCTTGCTATGATTTAACAGCGCACTTAAATTTTAACGATTAACATTATCTGTTAACGATTTAACATTAACAACAGCTTTCCGTTTCAGATAAAAACGAAATAATTTTTTTATAACTACCTTAACGATGAGATTTGCAACTGTTTTACCGGAACGATAAACATTTTTTGGTTAACGTGAAATATATCGTTGCGATGCAGCCTTGGTAAACCTCGAAAGCGCCGTAAACATTTTTGTTCTCTCAAATCGATTATACGAGTACAAATGTACGAGTACATAGTATGTATGTATATTTTAAACACACGATATGCTGTTGACTTTATACTTTCAATAAATTGCACACATTGATGTGTATGTATGTATGTACATATACATACATGCTATTTTCGAACAGATTACAAATTTTTATATAAATGGGAGTTTTGAAACGTGTATCATTGAATTTTTCTCCAAGCATTTGTTTTTAAGTATCAACATACTATTCTAACAAATGTATTTTCATATATATATACATACATATGTATATATAGAGGGTCTATAAACTTATTTTGAACGCTTTGCCTGTAGTGTGTAGTGTCTTAAATAAATATTTGCACAAAATTCTTCTTTTGTTATTAGCCTTGATTTTAATAAAAATTTATATACAGATACCGCAGCAGGCGAGTTCGATTTGTGCCGAATCAGTAAACGCCTGTGGTTTCATTGGATGCAGAACCAAATATATTACGCAAACTGAAATGGAAATATATATGTACATATACATATGTAACTACACAGATATGTTACTGTAGGGAACGATACTGATAGTTTACTACAGTGTTACTACAATAGTTTGCCTTCTTCCACAAACTAGTTAATCTTCTACAATTCCCCATGTTAGTGATTAGTATTTTTAACACGGTGATGCCCAACGAAATGTCCTTTGTGCATGGTAGTGTTATCTTGCCTTTCGATTCAGGGACCCTGCGACAGCTGTTTTTTGGGCATAGGTTTGTGCCGAAATAGGTTGCTTTTATACGGGTTATTGGAATAAATTTACATACATCCCTGTACTTTACGTAACTGACCCCGAATAAATATGGTTTGATTCTTTCTAATAATGTCTTTTTAATATTACAGATAACAGCCGCCTTGCGGATTCGAGAGAACATGAATTGAGTGATATTAGTAAGTTGCGCAGTTATAAAAGGTGTTTTTAGACATGTGGGTTGGAGAAAAAATAAAACGCATAAAATTAATTAATATGGCCAAGAATTTAGCTTTTTCAAAAAGATAAGCGTTTGCCATTACGTTTAAAAATTAATATTTACTTTTAGTTGAGATTATATCACCGGAATTGGAGGGTTCCACAGCCTCTTCGAAGCCATACCTTCGTGTTGTCGAACAGCCTACCCGAAAACCTATGCGATTCCGCTATAAATGTGAAGGTCGCACTGCTGGGACCATACCGGGTGAGAATTCGTTTCAGGACACGAAAACCTTCCCTACTGTTGAAATAGTTGGCTATAACGGTGAGGCACTAATACTTGTGTCTTGCGTTACAAAGGAAAAACCTTACCGACAACATCCGCATCAACTGGTTGGTAAAAATTGTAAAAGCGGTGTTTGCACCAAAAATGTTGGACCAGGGTCGCCACTGCGTGCAGAATTTAGTAATATAGGTATACAATGTGTCCGAAAAAAAGAGATTGCAGAATCGTTGGAAGAGAGGAAGAAGAAAAAAGTCGACCCTTTTAAGAGTAAGTACCCTACAATATTACCCGGTATCCCAAATACCCATACTGTTGAGTCATCTTTACAGCTGGTTTTGATCATATAACCGATCCGAATTCAATCGAGCTGAATTCATTACGCCTGTGCTTTCAAGGTTTCTTAAAGGGTGCGAATGGTTGGGAGTCTCTGCTTCCAGTGGTATCGGAGCCTTTGTATGATCGAAAAGCAAAAAGCGAGTTGGTCATTAGTCGACTATGTAGCTGTGCAGCAACCATCGATGGTGGAGATGAAATCATTTTGCTTTGTTCAAAAGTCAATAAGGATGATATTAGAATACGTTTCAAGGCAATTGATAACAATCGTGAAGTATGGTATTCCTACGCCGAGTTTGAGCCATCCAATGTGCATAAACAGACAGCAATTGTATTCCGTACGCCACGTTTCCCACAATCGGATTTGCCTAAAACTGTAAAGGTGGGTGCTAACAAATTTCATTTGTTTTAAAACTCATAACATTCTTTATTTTTAATTAACTTATTAATATTTATGTATGTTTAATTTAATATTTCATAGTCATACATTGAGCTAGAATGTCCCAGCCTGGAGAAAAAGAGTGACGCATTAGAGTTCGTATTTCATGATCCAGGTACGCTTTCCTTTGCTAGTATGCGTCGAAAACTTAAGCGAAGGCCAGACGTAGATATATTTCAACATATATTGTCCATGGACAGCGAAACTACAGCTACAAAATACTCTTGCCCGCCTGCTGATTTCGATTTCGATCTGGATGATAATGCTACCATATCGACAGAACGCACCGAAAGCACCGTTAGCAAACAGCATAGTTTAGATACGCTCAATGAAACCGAAAGTATAGCGCGTCGCAATAGAGAGAGTATCGCCGACGACGTTGATATTGAATATGAACGTCCTAATGGCATTGAACTCGAGTTAGATGTGCCAAATATTAAGTATACGGCTGCAGATGCCGATACCCAAACGTCGACTTCATTAGACGAGATAGTTAGGAATCCATCATTGACAGACTCGCATCCTTTGTCGGCGGTTGATAAGATCACTGAATGGATGCATTCCAGTGAATTCGAACGAACTGATAGTTTGACTGTTGAGAATGGTGATACAATATCGCTCAGTCCGATAACCGTATGCACCAACATAACCTTATCAACTAACCATACAACCATATCTACTGGTACTGATGAAGATAAAACTTTTACTGATTTTACAGAACAAGTGCCTGAATTGGATGATATGACGATGATATCCCAATCTCGACGGGGAACTTTCGACAATCCCATGATACAAAACTTGTCTCTTGGTGGGTCCCCAATTCTCGACAATAAGTCTATTGAAACAATGGTGGAAGTTGTTGCTACAATTCCCGCAAATATCCGTTCCAGGTCACCCCCTCCAATGGAGCTAAAGGAAAGTTTCGATGAGAACTCCACGTGTAACAGTTTACAAATCGCCTTCAAAAATCCTATTGCCACTCAATCCAGTAATGAGCCACGTTCTTCTTTACATATGTGTAACGAAAATGAGTTGGTCATATTAAAAAACCCCCCCGCCCCGAAAATACGTGTAAACGCTGTCCAAACACCACCATCACCGTCCTCTCCACCCTTGCCCTTACCACCAAGAACCCCTTCACCCGTTTCTGAGCAAAAACTCCCCCCTCTACCGCCAAAACGAAAGACTTCACAAGAGTTTGGTTCCAATTCACCAACTCCACATAGCTCCGTGGAACATTCACGCGCCAGCAGCATTTCTTCACGACCACCCTCCCAAATAATTATTATGCGAACTCCCGATCAAAGTCCCACGAAACGACAAACTACACCCGACCCATCAACGAAAAAGCGTCAAGGATTTTTTTCCCGCCTTTTTTCCCGTCGTAAAAGTAAGTGCGACATAACCCATGACGAAAAATCTGTTAAAAATCAAGTGCTAAAAGTAGCATCGCCAAATGGAAGCCGAGAGCCCAGCATTGGCAGCTTCTCGTTCAGTGATCCAAATCGCTCCTCCCTTCGTTCGAATAAGTCTTTGAAGGCTAACTCGGACACATTACAAGCTCAAAGCTACAGTTCCGAGCAAAAGGAGAGCACTAAAAACTCAAAACCCGTGGGGCGAAGTGTAAGTAGCGTTTCTGGCAAGAGGCCAGCACATTTAAATGCCGATGTGATTCATATACCACTAAAAGGAGATAACGCCACAAGCTTATCGTCTTACGAAGGCAGGGCTTTCACATTTGGCCAATACTTAGACCGGAAAACACTTAGTGCCCTCCATTTAGCCGAAATACCTATTTGTGATGGCAATATGGAGCTTGTTGCAATTGCCGATAGACAAAGTATTAAGAATTTATGCGAAGGCGAGTTCGGTGTCTTTCTTGATCCTGAGGTAGACTTGCAAGAAGCTGAACATTTCGCCCTATATACAAGTATACCGACAGAACATCAAGTTATCGCTCAGAATTCCGAATTTAATTTAAAGACCTGCGTGGCCACAAACGAAACACAAATACTGACAGCTGACGATATCGCAAAACGACTGATCGAAGCGAATACAATGCCGACCGATTAAATAGCAGTGTATGAAATAGATTTTGATCCTACTTCGGCTTTAGATATATTTTTAAAACATGAAAACTTTCAAAATGTCTCCTTACATGTTTTATTCAATTGTTTAACATATTTTTATTGTAGATTATTACAAGAAAGAAAGAAAACGCCCAAAGATTAGTGGACAAAGCCTCATAAATCAGATGAGCAAAGACTTGGGTTTTAAATTAAATTATCAAAGTATTTGTAAGTGTCATTTGTTTTTTATTATTTCAAAACAAATTTCAAAACAAATTGCGGGTATTATTGAAATATGGTTTTGAAAAATATTTACCATTCACAAGAATTATTCATATGGTGTAATATTAACAGTAGTAACATCTAATTAAATAACACAAGTCAAACTTCATTTCAAGCAAAATATTTGATAATGATTTGCAAAGTACAACGGTGCATAAATTTAATATACATATAATTTATTTAAAGTTTTGATAAACAAGAAGGTAAATGGGCGCTTGGAATGATATTAATGCATTTCGATTTATTAAATTTTTTGTAACTACATATACAAGTATGTTGACATGTGTGAATATTCATTTATGATTATGTATGAGTAATACATACATACATACATACATACATGCATACAAGATTCAAACATATGTAAATACATTTGAAAATTGGGATCAGTTGCATTCATTACTCTTTCATCACCAATAGTTTGTTTACATGAATACATACCTACATACCTATTATAAATAAACAATTACTTACAACAATGCATATAGAAAAATACATATGAACTCACAAAGGATATTCTTTGAGAGCAAACACATGAACGTATTTCATCTGTATTACTTACACTTTGCTCACCGAAAGCGCTCCAGTAAAAATTGGTAACAATTGTAACTGTCCTCCGTCATATTTAAAATTTCTGTATTTCTGGAGTTCATTATTGCTTCAAATTTATCAGCGTTCATCAAAGATCTGGCTTGTGGCTCTTTCAATTTTCCTACCATTTTTCTTGCAGATAATGTTGAACATTCTTTACACACATTCAAAGCAATACTTTTCTATATCCGACATTTAACAAATTATTTCATCACACCGTGCAATCCCTTAAGAATAAATGTGTTGCCAAAACTTATTAATTTCAATTACTTGTATGAAAACTGACGCGAATTTATTTCCCAAATCATATGGAAAATCCTTACGCAAAAACAAAAAACAAACTACACGCTAATTGTTTCACCTTCATGAAAATTATAGTTCTGAGTTGGAGTACGAGTATACCTTAGTTAAGTATGACACTAAAAAGATAAAGTGCACACTAAATTTATGTGTCTCGTAGGCAGTTTAGCGCCATTTACTAGCAAGAGTCTTACTTTAAGCAATCTTCTAAAACTTTTCCGAGGTATATTGCTTTTCGTTAATTCTTTATAATTTTCAAAATTTGTTGTTGATAAAAAGAAGCTTCAGCTAAGTAAGCTTAGACTGCTTCCAAAATCATCCAAAGGAAAATAGAAAAATGATTTTATCCTTATATATGTATATTGAATAATATTGTTAATTGCATATTATTAAATCCAGTTCTATATTGTATAATTGAATAAAGAATAAAACATAATAAATAAATTTAATATAATGTGATTTGACGGAATAAGAGTAGGTAAATAAATAAATCTCATAACATTTTACACTTACATTTTTCCCCGTTACATATCACAGTAAGTCAATTGCTATATATATATATATACATATATATGTATGTGTGTAAATTGTTTCTCATATTAGTTTTAACTGGGCAATCTAAAAATGTTTATTAACTTTGCTATGCAAACACCAACACGCAATTACTACTACTAACACATCAAATGCACCCACTCATGCACACATACTCACGTACATAAAATAAAATAAAAATACATATTCCTAAATATTTCTATGTACACTAATATCTACTATATGAGCATTCCCAATTTTTGAGAAAGAATGACAATAACGACATTCATATTATACGAAAAATCTCTTGTAAAAGTATCTTGCATGTACATATCTACATACCTACATATGTGAGTATGTAAGAATATATTTTGGTATATCAATTTTGATCATTTTGATTGTCAGCTATTTACTAATGATAGGTTTAGAGTTTAACTCTTGTGGGAATGGTCATATTCACGATTTTGTACATATTCATATACATATGTGTGTATGTACATACGTGTATGTATGTTTTTTTCAGTTTCGCTAGCAATAATTCAATAATATATTAAAATAAAGATTCTTAATTTCTCGCTTTTGCACAAATATGTATTTACATGAATGATTGTGATGTGATAGCTTTATCTAGCAAATGCATATATGTACATATATTTATGTATGTATATTTATTTTATACTAAATAACGGTATCTTTCGTTTGTTTCTCTAGCTATGGGCAATGCTTTCAATTTACCCATTATCTCGCCCACACCGCTGCAATCAAATATAAAAGATGAGCCAAGTTAGTGTCACACAAAATACCTACATAGTTAGTTTCGATACGCATATATACATATATATATATTTTATCTATATTTTCAAGATATGGGTTCAGAAATGCCAACTAATGCCGCAACATTGGGATCACATTTTGATACATATCGAAATGACTACCAAATGTCACCATCATCACAAATATCGCAAATATCGCCGCTATCACCACAAAATCGTAATGCTACACCGTCACCGATCTCGCCGGCTACCAACAATGCTTATACGGAGCAACTGTGCACTTTAATGCAGGATAGCTCGCTCCAGGCAATGAATTGTCAAATGCACGATGCCATATTCGAGGAGCATGAGAACCAAGAATTCGGCTATGAGGCTAGCATCAATCTCAACACTTACAATAGCAATTCAAATCACCCATTTATGAGCACCAACCATTTTGGTTCGGTGCGTAATACCACCAGCGGCGGCTATTTTGAGCGCATCGACAAATCGGACATAAGCCCTGCTGTAATGCATGGTACTCAATTTAAAGAGGCATCCCAAAATAATCCTACTTCAGAAATGGAACGGATTGAGAGAATTAAGAGAGATCTCATGCAAACACCGCTGTCTTTAATGCAACCTCTTCCGCAGTCAACTGTTTCTGTACAAAACGGCTGGCAGGAAAATACAAATTTTGATTGTTTTCAATAATCATTTCCGTGGTTACAAATCATACACGTGTAGTGAGTGGCCTTTACGTTTCTCAAAAGAATTTGCACACTTTATTTTTCTCAAACCTTTCAAAAGCTTTCAGTTTCAGATTATAGCCACTAAACAAATCACAAAATAGTCGATACCAGAGTTAAAGCACATACATATTATGTACATATAATAATATATGAAGTCAACGATTGTTCGAAGAAGCTAGAGGTCTGTGTTTTTTATTGACTGCTTTGATTTGTGACCACAGATTTCAGAATATAATAATTCTGCATATAATATGCTAATGAATAAAATACCGAACAAATTTGTAAATTTATAAAATAAAATAAAAAATGTTGTATGTTTATACCCACTATTTAAAGAATACATGCATATGTACAAACATACGCAGTTGGTGATCTAGAATGTTAGTTGCTCAATAGTTTTAGTTTAAGTCCGATTGAAATTTAAAAAGTTCTTTTGATATCACAAATTGTTTTTAATTTAATATAATCGTCGTGTAAATGTAAAAAAACTATGTAATCTCATACCTGACTTGTAACGGAATACCCGGCAAATTTGCAGTTTCGATAAAGACAATAACTAGATTTACTCAAACACAAACAGGAATTGCACACATACGCTGACCATATTATTCGTTCTATAATATTTAAAATTTATGCAATAAAATTATGAAAATAATAAACAATTTGAGTTCAATGAGTTATCGAAATTGTTTGAACTAGTATTCATTGAGAAATTTACCGAAAAATGGTGAGTTTTAAATGAAGCTCTGACCGGTGAAACAAGTCAGTAAAAAGTAGCCAGTAACGAAATTGACAGAGAGTTAGATGTCTTTCGGAAGTTGAGCTGATAACGGCTAATGGTATTTATGGTTCGATTTACTTGAAAACCGCTGCGAAAGTAGCTTTTTAATTAGTTTAACAGGAACGCTACTTTTCTCGCCGAGAAGTGAACCAGAAACCGACCTACTCGAAAAATTAACGTTTAAATTTGATATATATATTTGATATAGAATCGAATCTTTTAAGAGAAACAAGCCAAGTCGTTTATTTAAATTTTATTTTAAATTCAATTTGATTTTTTTGTTATTTTAAGTTCAAATTGTTTTCAATCGATATTTAGCAATTAGTACAAACGTGAAAGAAGACAACAACAGTGCGATTGGAATAAAGTAAGCAAAAGGAAACTATTTTCAATTGGTAGAGGCCAATTTCGGTATTAAACATACATATATATGTATGTATAAACAACATAGCCCGATATACATATATTTGCTTTGCCGTTATACTCTCGTATACATATGAATAACAGTGAGTATGTACCTAAATAAAAATAAAAATTGAACGCTTATTTCTCTATCTCTTTAACAAAAAATGTGATCAAATATTTTATTAAAATTAGAAATTTCATGGCATTTCTAATTTGTGAAATGTTCCTCAAAATCATTGGAAAATCAATAATGCTTGATGTCCGTCAAACCATAACGGTTCCAGTAAACATATGTATTTTATCTTATAGTCTTCTGTTAGGACGAAGATTTATGTATATATTACTCGCTTTGCAACACTTTGGTAGAGTTTTCCCATATTAGCAGGCAATGAGTACTGAACATTAAATAATTTTTTTATTCTTTTTTGCATAAAATCCACCCATATTCAGAAAAGTTTCATGAATTTCTTGTGGAGCATAAATCTCGGATGTAAAGGAAAAACAAGTTTTTAGTTACTGTTTTGTATTGTGTAGACTGGAGCGAATGTTTGTATTGTGTAGACTGGAGCGAATGTTGGATATATCCATCTACCGATGAAAAACTGGATTTCTTAATGGGAATTTTAAAGTCTGCCTTCGAGAGACATGCCCCCATTCGTACAATCACAAATAAGTCTATGTCCTGTCCATGGTTTACCTCAAAATCTCTGAAATCAATTAAGTTACGAAATAAACTTCATTCCGTATGGAAAAAGAAACCCACTTTGGAAAATTGGAATGCCTTTAAATCGGCTCGAAACAGAGCGACGCTTGTTATCAGAAATGAAAAACGAGCTTATTTTAACAAGAAACTAAATTCTGGCCTCTCAACAAAGGTTCTATGGCGTAACATTAAACGACTTGGTGTTCATTGTAAGGAGAATGTCGAATGTTCCTTAGAAGCAAATGTGGTTAATGATGCTTTTCTTCTAAACTGTGTACCACACAGTGACACTATTAACTTTATGTCCAGGGATGATCTCTTGTTTAGGGATGACTGTTTTCTATTTTCAGCTGTTAGTGAATATGATGTTGCAATGAGTATATTTAAAATCTCATCCAATGCAATAGGGCATGATGGTTTACCAATTAAATTTATTAAAATTATACTACCTTGCATTCTTGGGACACTAACGCACATTATTAATCATTGTATTACCACGTCTTGTTTCCCAGAGCAATGGAAAATTGGCACTGTACTACCTGTCGCTAAAAAGAACCGTCCTTGTAGTCCGTCTGATTTTCGACCAATAAGCGTCCTCCCTGTATTGTCTAAAGTTTTTGAGATGCTTTTAGCTAAGCAAATAAACGAATTTGTAAGCAAGCATAACTTAATATCTCCGTTTCAATCAGGCTTCAGGAAAAATCACAGCTGTAGTACTGCGGTACTAAAGATCAGTGATGATATTCGATCCAACATGGATGAAAATAAATTCACCTTGCTTTGCCTACTTGACTTTTCAAAAGCATTTGATATGGTCAACCATGAGTTATTAAGCTGTAAGTTGAAAGCGTACTTTGGTTTTAGTTGTAGTGCTTTAAAACTTGTGAAAAGCTACCTTGTTGACAGGTTTCAGTTTGTAAAAATTGGGGAAGACACATCGCAACTCAAGCCAGTTACTTCAGGGGTGCCTCAAGGCTCCATCCTTGGTCCTCTGCTTTTCAGCATATTTATTAATGACATCTTCAGTGTGTGCAAATTTTCAAACCTGCATGGTTATGCTGATGACATTCAGTTATATTTATCTGCACCTTTTGATCAAGCTAAAGAGTTATGTAAAAGCATTAATACTGACTTGGCTGATATCTCTTGCTGGGCGGCTGCCAGCGGTCTAATTTTAAATAAAAACAAGTGCTGTGTGCTGCCAATCAGTGTTAGAAAACTGACAAATCTGGATTTTTTGCCCCCAATATTCATAGACAATTATCCCTTAAAATTAGTCAGCAAGATTAAAAACTTAGGATACATTATTAACTCTAATCTTACATGCACGGATCATGTAAACTCCATAGTTAGTAAGGTCTATCTCATTCTGAGGAATCTTAGGCAGTCAGCTATCTATACACCCACTGCTACCAGACGCCGACTTGCTATACAAATTATTCTTCCGGTCATCATGTACTCTGAAGTCGTATACAGCAAACATGACAGTTTTTCTGCTCGTAAAATTGACGTTATGTTTAATAATGTAACACGGTATGTGTTTGGTCTTTCCAAATATGAGCACATTTCGTCTTGGAAAGATCTGATATTAGGATGTACGATTGCGGACTATCATAAAGCCAGAAATTGTGTTTTTCTTTGCAAACTCATCATGACTCAATCACCTAGTTATCTTTTATCCAAGTTATCGTTTACTCGGTCAGCCAGAGTAGGTAATATAATAATACCTTTTCATAGATCCCAGCAAACATCAAGGCTGTTCTTTGTCAATGCTAGTCGATTATGGAACTCTCTTCCTGCTAATTTAAGGAGGAAATTGAACAGAAGCAATTTCAAGAACCACATATATATGCATTTTAAAGGCCAAATTTCAAAGATAGACTGACCATTTAATAATTGTTTAAGTTCTTGTCATACTCAACTCATTATATATTATAATTATTTTTATTTTTATTATTATTTTTGTTAAGGTATCTGTAAAGTAATATTTACTTATTCTTCACACTATCTCTGTTGTACTAAAAAAGATATGGAAATCTTATTGTACTAATGCTTTGTTATTATTATTAAATAAATAAATAAATAAATAAATAAATAATGAATGTCATCAAAATTATCTTTAATATAAATTCATTTATTAATCTGATCATATATACGTTTATCAAATTGGAAAAATTAAAGAATTTTAATATATTTAATTTAATTGGATTTGATAAAAAAACTATAAGAATATATAATTAATTATTAGGAATGTGTTGATAATTAAAACATATATGTATATTAACGTATATTAAACAAAATATATTTTTGTAAATATTTAAATGATTTCATGGCTTTAATAAGCATACAAATGAATGAATGTTACTCTTATCTGGTTTCTACGTGGAACAAGCTATGAAGTTATGTTTACATCTGGAACCAATAGCTGTTGTACACATTTTGAAATTATGATTTGTATTATGTTGTAGGAGTGCATTAGAATTAGCGGCAAAGGTATGGTTGTCCGACACCAGCGTTCTTTTCATTGCGCATTTCCTCGAAGAAACGGTTGATATCCGCTTCGGTGACAACTTTTTTGGAAACTGCGAATGTTTGTAAATACTCCATTAATCTTTCTTTCATGCGGTTGTATTCAGTTATAGCGTCTATTTGCTGAACTCGGCCAATTGAAGCCAGCGCCCGTATTCCTTGTTCGTATGTGGATTCAGTTGCACCACGTTTCTTGCCTCGCTCTTCGTAAGACTTCGCCGAATCTTCTATGTCAGGCAAATATTCCACTTTTTCGGATTTGTAGAGAGCCAAACATTGGATGCACTTGCATAGAGCTTTACGCCAATCATTTCCCCAAAATACAGCGCCTGAAATATTTTTGAATTAAGGAAAAAAACGTTAAATAAAAATGATTCTAAGATGGTTACAGTAGCAGACAAGGCGAATTCATAAAGGTGAGAGCAGAAAAAAAAACAATAATTACCTTGTACTTTGTTTTTGTTTTCAGTGTAAAAATTTTCTAACTCACAAAAAATTCATACAATTTTTTTTTTTACAATTCGCTTTTGTCAAATTCAGTTAATAATTCAAAACAAGTCAGAAAAGATTAGCTTAGAAATCAAAGTTTGCTGATTCAAATGGCATTAACAGTAAAGTAGTTTAGTTTTGTGGGATGTTAGGGCATTCTTGAAGAATATGTATTCGGATGGGAATTTCGTAAGCATTGGCAAAGAACACACATATATTAGTACACTTCTTTGGCAATGGCTATAAGACTCAGTCACATTACACGAAATATGCATAGGAGAAAGTTCTATATTTGCTATGGTCATGAGAGATTACTGGGCTTACAGCATACCGTTAAGTTCTTGTAACGCTGTGCAGACAATTGTACACTATCTAATTCATTATAATTATTAATTATATGTTAATTTAATCACAGTATAAACGTAATTTTCTTTTTCAAAACTGGTAAATGCATACCTAACCCCCTTTCTAAATTTCTTGGGCAAGTACAAATTCAGATATATGTAGATCCCAAACTCAACGAATTACTTCGACAAGAATTCCAAACAGGAGTGAATTGTTCAAAAAAAACGCCCTCGAGCAAGATGCCATACCCACCATTACAGGCGGCTCAAAGCTCGATTAAAAAGCGGTCTCAATAATGAAATCGCAGGAATTTCAGTTACGATAGATTCCGATAGTCAAGCTGTCATCAGATCTCTATAGTTTAACAGTATCACATCTAAAGTGGCTATAAAATGTAGAAGCAATCTAAAAAAAACTCTCGACTAAATGCAACTCTGCCATGTGCAAGATACAGGCTTAACTTAGTCATGGCAAAGAATATGCTAAACTTGCCTTGGTAGCAGCATATCAAAAAAGACGCTGACAACCCTCTGTGAAAAAATACTTTATTATATTTGGAAAATTCTTAGTTTGTTTCATATTGTCAATCAATTAAAACTAAGATATTTTTGTGAATAGAATTGTTTCGCGCTATTTTCTAAATAAATATATAGAGAAAATGAATATAGAATTTTTTAATGAAGGTCTCGAATGTCTCATGTATTGTGGACAGAAATTAACACCAGAGCAAAAGGTTTTAATTGAAAATTCGCTTATTGTTTTACAAAATGAAAACCGTTTTTCTGGCATGTACTTCTGGGGTCGTATTAGTACAATCACTAGAGACTACTACATTGCTTTCGGCTACACTCACGACTGCCTGAAAGACCGGAAATTTTTTTACACTCTAGATGGATATCAATGGATGATGTTGCCGTTTGTGCATAGCCCGAAGATTTTTCAAGCCACAATTTTGTGTCGGGAGCCATTCATAGGAGATCCCATTCTTGTCACATCCGTAGAGCTGGTAAATTTTGTGAAATTAAAACTTACGTAATACAAAAACATCTCTATAGGATCCCACATTTGAAATTGGTGCCAATCAAGTAATTTCAGCTAATGTGCCCGAGAGGGTTAAGTTAAAAGAAGAAGAACGACTCGCAGCAATAGTATTTATTATTACCGAAGAATGTGCAGTTTGCCCTCGGGGTGCACTTTATAAACTTACTGATGGCCGCGTGATACCAAACCAAATGTTTCGTGGTCTCAATGATCTACATGTGGAGAATATTTCAAACTATCAAATTCTTCGTTTACCTCGTTGCGATTTAAAGCATAACCTGCTTAAGCGAAGTGATTACAATTACGCCATTGACTTCCTGGACTGCATAGCCGATGTTATACCATTAAGGCAAGCATTTTCATTAAACTTTGTACGAAACGAACGTTTAGTAATTATAAAATCTTGCTTTTGGCCTGGAATGACCTTTTTCCATAAAATATACTCTCGAAAGCACGGATTTCTTTATTTTGGCAATGGCAAAAAGAACTACGATATATCTTTTATGTATTAGACAACTTTTGGAATAAAATGAAATGTAAAAATCTCCTATATGTATACTCATTTGTGTTTAGAATTCGAAGAATTAAGAAAACTTAAAATTATCTCGAGAAGCTTTTCATAACTCACCCCCTTCGTAATTTGTTTTCCCTTTTGGACGATTGCATCGATCTTCTTTAATTATTGTTTCGACATCGCGTTCCATTTCGATCTTAGGCCGTTTGGCTTCTGGAGATTTATTGACTTCAACATCGATCTCGTCTTTTAATTCTACCTTTTCAGTGGAAGTTGAAGCAACCACATCATTAATATTCATTATATCAGATATGCTTTTATCTAAATCGGAACGTAATTTGTTGTCATGTTCCTCGCGCAGAGAAGTATCTCCAGAAACTGATATATTGACCAAAGATTCATCGGAATTTTCGAGAATTTTTAATGCTACACCTACATAATCACTTAAAAACTGATGGATTTTCATGCAACCTCCGCAAATCATTTCACCACAAGCCTCTGTATCGGCAAGTTTTATATCCGAAGAAGACACATCTAAATGGTGTATATGAAACCAATCTTCGCAAATTGTGCATTGTAACATTACTTCTTCGGTTGTCCGTTCTGGATCAGGATAAGGACGATGACATCGGCAATATAATCCTTGAAAGTTTTGATTATACAAGTTGTCAGAATTACGTGCTTGAAGTTTCGTCATTGAGGAATTCAATAAACAGCGGTGACTCTCAGGAAATCTATCCGTTGGGCAATCGCAACGAAAGTTACGCTTTGTATACAACTCGATAAGTTCGTGATTTTCATGACATCGATAAGAACATGCCAAACAGATGCCAGCACATTTCGTCAAATCATTACGAGCTTCTGGACAACACGTTAGGCAAGAGTAAAGAGCTTGTCGCTTAATTGGACCATCAACGTATGTGCAGCACTTTTCATCAGAAGCACCCAAAACAGCATTATATTCCTCTTCCAACTCGTGCTCCTCTTGCAAAATATCGATCATAGTAACACTTGATTCCTCCAATGGACTCTCCGCTTGTTCCGAATTCATATTTACCACGAATTTTAAAAAATTAAAAGACCAAAAATCACTAGAATATGATGTAAAATATAAATATAAATACCAAGTATATACAAAAATTTTACGCGCGCCTAGATAAATTATTTCAATTAAAAAGATAAGCAAAGAGCTGCCAGAATCACGAACTTCCAGAAACAGAGGTGTTATGTTAATAGTTTTTTGTTGGTGTATCAATTCGCACATACAAATGTGAGGTCAGAAAGTATATGAGCCCTGTACATTTATTTAAATAAATTAACACCTGCGGGTTAGGGGTTCAAGAATTTACCCGCGGTAAGGCATGCCTGTCGTAAGAGGCGACTAAAATCCAATAGTTCCCGCGACAGTCGGGTCTTTATACCGGAACGACCAGGATTTCTATCCGGCCAAGGCCTGTCACTTCCGCAATATTCCCCGAAAAGAACTTTGGCGAATAATTTTACGGTTACAACAACAACAACAACATTAAAATAAATTACATGCTAATGTGGAGTAGAGTGAAGTGAACTGTATACTGTATGCTGAGACGAAAATGACAAAAATAAACAGGAACAGTTGACATTTATAGTTAAAGGGTGACCGCTAAAAAAAAATTCAACTTAATGTTCGTCCAAGGACTAAAACCAGAGAACGTCAAATAACGAGAAGGACCGATTGCGGACAGCATGTGAGCTGTCAGAATCAACAAAAGATATAAGAGACTTTTTCACCACTGCTGCCAGAAATTGACTCTGTTTGTCAACATTTCTGAGCAAGATAATAATAAATTAATAAAATAATTGTCTTCCAAATATCATTATTTTGTAAATAATTTATCAGCCTCTGGTAGGTCGCTGTTAACTAGCGGTGAAATAGTCTCTTACTAATATCGTATAGAAGTGAAATAGTCTGTTTGCAATCCCGTGGATGGAAGAAATGGTAAACGGCAAGATCCGATCCCTCTCTTTAATTTTACAATCCCTGCTCTGGTAACTCCTTGCTTTTGATATCGATTATTATCGATAAAATATTCGTACAAAAAAGGTGTCAAATCTTGATTTGACGTTAGTGAAATTATTCCGGTAGTGAAGTTGTGTTTATACTTAATTTAATGCAAAAATTGCGTTTAAAAATTAGAAAATGAATGCCCCACCAACCTTTGAATCTTTTTTATTGTATGAAGGCGAAAAGAAGTAAGTGCCTTTTTAGAAACATAACTTAATATGAAACTCATTCTCTTAATTTTAGAATTATAAAAGAGTTGGATACAAAGGTTACAAATGCCGCAATATTTACAGTCAACAAGGAAGATCACACACTGGGCAACATGATTAGGAAGTAATTATGAAAATATATATTCTATGGATATACAAATATTCATTTCATATTTTAGCCAACTTCTGAAAGATCCTAACGTTCTTTTTGCTGGTTACAAAGTACCTCATCCATTGGAGCACAAGTTTGTAATCCGGATTCAAACTACTTCCGATTACTCACCTCATGAAGCTTTTATGAATGCTATAACTGATTTGCTTGCTGAACTCTCTTTATTTGAGGAACGATTTAAGGTAAAATGAAAGGTGTAATCGTTCGAATAAGTTTTCTGTGACTAATGGTTATTCACGTTTAGGAGGCTATTAAGGAAAAAAAAGAAGGTGGCGATTAAACAACACATGAAGCGATCTAGTCTTAACTGCATTCTAATAAAAATTACTTTAAGACAAACTATTTAAAACTTAAGTTTCATGTGTACACATTTATACCAATATTTCTGTGTACTTATGTATATTCAAAGAAAAAAATAAATATATGCCAAGAAATCATCATTTGAGGAATTTTAGCCTTCGTGTCTGGTTGAATCAGTGAAATGAAAGTATTGCTTTGAATAAGAGAATCAATTTAATTTTATTATCCCATATGGATTCCAAAAAGAAATAGTTCCATATTATTTAATAAATTTGTTATCTATCTAATTGAAGTTTGTATACATCTTCTAATTACGCCTAATTAAAATATAGTAACATATCGACAAATAACTTTTTGGAAATTGTATTCAATAGCAGCGTAAGAGATATTGTTTCAACAGTAAAGTAAGTTGTTCATGAATACACTTCCGATTTGTACCACCTTATCCAATAGTTTTTTTGCAACTAAGCGATAACAAGCGATACATACGTATTGCTAAAATACAAGTAATAGACAATGAAATATAATTTTTGACTAAAAAATTAAAAAAAAACCGTATGGAAAGTCAAAAACAAATACAGAACCATTTAATTTGAAAGCGTACATTCCCATTTTGTTTAGAGTTGTATTACCACTCATCATCCTCACATTCACCGGTTTCGTGGCCAAAAACTGACAATAAGAAAACATAATTCAGGCGATTTACTTTTATTATTTGAACAATTTTACCTTCACAAGTTTCACAGTATTTTCGTGGCTCTGGCAATTTTCTAACTTTTTTATCCGCAGGGTCTTTGGGCGGTGGCGGGGAATAATCCCGAGCATCTGACGCTTGAAGAGGGCAGTCTTCGGTTTCATGTTTGTCAAATTCGTCACAAATATCACAGAAAACGCGTGGAGCAGGTTTCCGTTTTGCAATTATTTCAAACGCTTTTGGTCTAAAAATAAGTTGCACTCAATATACACATGTAAATATAAATTAAAAATTTGAATCCTAATTTGAATTGCGTCGAAACACAGTTTCTTTGCAATAAGATAAATAATACGAAGAATATTATTTTTTAACTGAACAAAAATTTTTTTATTGCAACTTACTGTGTGTAATCAGTAGGCAACGCTTCGAGTGCGTTGATTTTGGCCTTTAATTGGTCATTTTTCTTTTGCATATCCGCAATTATCGAGTTAAGAAAGTTGATCTGCGCTGTGCTGTTTTCAGTTTCGTCACCCTGGAAATGCAAAATACCGAAATAACCTAAAGTTCGAAACACAACAAAAACATTTGTATGTAAAAATCGCTGTAACCACCATAAGAGCTACCAACTCATCTTCAACAAATTTACCCTAAAATAATTTTCTTGAAGTTATAAATTTGTACATTCAAAAAACATAGCAATGAAAAGTACTAAACAAATATTTACTTTTATTTGATCTCGAAGTGGAGTTAACAGCTTTCATCGCGACAACGACCTGAGCATAGGTGTAGACAATTCATGTACGTATGTATGTATGTATTTATGTACATATGTATCAAATGTTGAAAAGTGAATTTTTAGAAATTCGCAGTCAGTAAAATTTAAATAAATGCATCACTTTTGTATGTAGTTTATATAAATATTAATATATAAAAATTTAAGTTCTATCATATACAAACATACATACATTCATATGTGCAAGAAGTCTAAGATCATTTACCTCTGCCGGCTCACCACCAACTGCTGATTTACTCTGTTTTAACATATTTATAGCCTGTAAATCATTGATACGACTTTGTGCAGCAACGATCTCTTGCGTTTTCTCTAGACCAAGAATCTCCAGTTTTCGTTGCAGACTAATATTATCTGTTCTTAACACATTTTGAGATTCCAAATTTAGCGAGTTTTCTTTTTCCAAGGCTTTGATTCGTTCCTTTAGCTGCTCTAGATTATCGCTCTTGGCATTGCTTTCTTTATCCATTTCATCGATGACTTGTTTATACTCTTCGAGTTTGCGTTGCATATCGGCATGCTGTTGTAATACATCGTTTCTCTCACTAATAAGCTTTTCAGTTTCAGTCTTTACGGACTTTAATTCATCAATCTTAAGGTTTTGCTCTAATAGTGTAGCCTGAGCTGAAGCTAAAGCTCCTTCGGACGCTTCGAGTTTCGCAAGGACTTCCTCCAAATCGCTTTGTTTTTCTGTAATAATTTTTGATTTCTGCTCAATGTCTGTCCGCGCATCAACCAATTGCTGCTTCAAGTCGATAAGTTTTTCACTCAGTTTTTCCATATTTTGGTCAGATTCCATTTCGAAAAGCTCGAAGATATTGGCAGTTTCACATTTTTCTTGCTCTAATATATGCAACGCCTCTGACAAATTTGCGTTGGTCGCTGAAATATTTGCATTTACCTCTTGTACGGTGTCCAGTAAGTTGCGCAATTCTTCCAGTTTAGCCTTGTCCGCATCTGCCATTTTCGTTCTAAATTCAACTTCAGTGTTTGCGAGGTCTAGAGCTGTTTTTAAGGAAATAATTTCTTCCTGCAACTTTGTGCTATCCACGAGCCCAGCCGACTCTGATTGTTTTAACTTTTCGGTTTCGGCCAGATTTAATAACAATTGATCTTCCTTTGCTTTCAATTCCGCCTGCAAACTATCAACCTTGCTTTGTAATTCTTGTTTTTCTATTTGTATAATACTAAAGGAATTGGCACCACTTGTTTCTGCATGCCGCAGAGCATCTCGCAAGGTTTCCGCCTCGTTGACTAAGATTGTAATTTGCTTGCCTAGTTCTTCTTCTTTACATTTAAAATTTAGCTGAGATTTTAGCAACTCGTCCTGCAAAAGTTTTATTTGTTGTTGTAGACTAGAAATCGCTTCATCTAATCTGTTTTTCGTGAGTTCGGCACACTTAAGTTGTGTCTCGAAATTCTCAATAATCTTTTTCTGCTCGACGGTTTCCCTCTCTTTCAAATTATGTAATTGATCTGACAATTTCGCTTGCATTTCTAATTTTAACGACTCAAATTCTTTAGCTTGTGAGTTTTTCGACTCAATTGTAGCCTGTAGCTCACTTCTTAATTGCTCTATATCTAGAATACTCGTTTGAAACCGCTGTTCTAATTCCTGTAACTGGTTGTCGAATTGCAGACGCTCAGAATTTGACTTATCCGTAAAGTCCTGTATAATTTTCTGTCTTTGAGTAAGTTCCTCTGTCAGTTTGGCAACAGTCGCACTAGATGTAGCTGATGCATTTCGTAGGGCTATCAAATCCTTGTGAAGATTCACATTTTCATTCTCGACACCTTTGCATTTTGCAGACATTACTTCACATTTGCGAGTTGATTCGCTCAATTCTAGCTCCAGTTTCCCATTCTTCTCTTGCGCTTGCTTAAGCAATTCCAGCTGTTTGAAATTCTCTTCAGTGGCACCCTTATTTTCCTGCGTAAGCATCTCTACTTGATTGCACAACATGTCGATGCGTTGTTTGCTAGCCTGCAGCTGACCCTCGAGGACCGTGCGCTCCGTATTCATTTTATCCAAGAGTTCGTCATAAGCTTTTTGCTTAGCTGAGACGGTTTGTGACATTTTCAGAAGCTCAGCATTAGAATCCGTGGATGTCGTACGAAAATTTTTTAAATCTTCCTCGAGTGTCCTATTTTGTACAATTAGTGATTCATATTTGCTTTGCAAGTTCTCCTGTTTTCGTTGCTCGTCACTGAGTTTTAGTTCCAGTTTTATTGTTTTCTCCTCGAGCGCAGTTAACTGCCCGTTTTTCTTTTCAAGTTCGTTGCGAATGTGTTCATTATTTGCCTGTGCTTCGGTCAAGTCTTTGAAAGCGTGTGTAAGCTTTTGTGATATTTCCTCTAACTCACTCTCTAATTTAAGTCTATCATTGTTATTCTTGCTTTCCACTTCGAGTAAATTATTTTGACGAACAGTGATTTCTTCTTTGAGCCTATGAACCTCTTCTTCAAGCTTACAAGTAATTGAGCGTGAAGATTTCAGATCATTTTCTAGAGCCTCATTTTGGATATTTAGACTATCGCATTTTAAGGTCACATTATCAAGCTTCCGTGTCAGATCGCCGATTTCAAGTTGTTGCTGAGCACATTGTTCAGCTTGTATTCTGTTGGTGTTTTCAATGTCAGAGTATTTAGTTGCTAGTAAGTCAAGTTCTTGCTTCAATCTATTCGATAGATTAGTAGTGGTTTCAAGAGCAGTAATAGCTGAATTCAAACTCTCTGTTTTGTCGGTTAAAATCCGTTCTTGATGCGAAAATGCTTCCATTTCGGATTTCAGAGCATTTTCTTTAGATTTTAAATCATCTTGAAGAAGTTGCGATTTCAATTCAATATCGCTGATTTTGGAGCTTAGTTTCTGTATCTTTGCAGACGAATCGAGTTCTAAGGAATTAAATTGTTTTTGCAATTGCCCAACCTGTACATTAAGCGATGCATTTTCTATTTGTTTCTTACTCAAGCCCTCTTGGTAATTTTGTTGATCGCATTCAAGTCGTTTCTGTAAACTTGAATTTGCCTCTTCTAATTTTTCTACATTTGCTGTATATACTTGCTGTTGATCATTCAAAAGCTTTCGAAGCTCTGCTTCTGTAGAATCGGCATGAGCTTTTAGTTCGTTTATTTTTTTAATTTCAATTTTCAGATTTTCATTTTCAATCGTAATACTACTGTTTTGTTTTTTTAGTTCTTCCATAATCATACCCATTTTTGTTACAGCTTCGAAACTTTCTTTATCTTTTTCCTTTGCAACATTCATCTTTTCATCCAAAGCTTTTTGCAGTTCACCCAACTGCTTCACTTCTTCTTTTGCAGCTTTAAACTGACTATCGGAGTGCTCCTTAGCTTTTTGCAAACTTTCAACTTCCTTTCTTAATTTCTCAATTTCAAGCAAACTTTCTTCTACCTGTATTTTCTCTTGCAATGCACCCGCCTCTTGAACTTTTAAAAGTTCGTCAAGAGTAGCATTTTCTGCCTTTTGTATGCTAAATTCTGCTTTTAACTTTGACAGTTGCTCGTTAAGATCTTGCAATTGCTCATCCCGACTTTTGCACTCTGTCTTTAAGATATCACATTCACCCCGCATATTGGACCGCTCAACCTCCAAGGCCGCAAGAGTAGTTTTTTCGATGTCAAGGCCAGAGCGTAACGAGTCTACTAACAAATCTTTCTCCTCCATTTTGCGATCAAACTCAGCCTGTAACTGTTGACGCTCTCTTTCGGCTTCCTCTTTTAGTAGATCTAGTTCTTCTCGCAAATTTTTTATGCCACAAGCTGATAGCGAGAACTTTTCCAGACTCTCATCTTTATCCATAAGCTCTTTCCGCATGGTTTCGTTTTCTTTCCGGAGATATTCCACTTTCTCTTGAAATCGTTTTTGCTCGTCTTCCGTTGTAGCAAGGCGTTCTTCGTATTCGTCCTTCTGCTGCTGTAATTGCAACACTAATTCAGCAATTCTAGCAGTAGCAACTTCAGTCGCTGCAGTGACAGCAGCAGATATATCTTCGGTGGACGGTTCTGTTTTCAGAGTGGACGAGGTCTCTATAAATACATAATACAGTATTAAACATGTTTCTTTTTATTAGTAATTTGCATAATCTGAGGAGTACATGTGAGTCATTTATTTCACTATAAGCCAATGAGATCGAGAACAGAGAAAATTATTTTCAAATATTTAACAATGTCATGCAGGTATATTCTTATTAAAGATTTATAACAATGCCTTGCAGTGACCATAGAGACTCACATGTTTTTGTAGTGACTCAAACAGTGTGCCATCAAGGCCCAATGTATCATTTAAAGAAAAAGTTATCACGCCTCCCATATTGCTGAAGCTCTAAGTATAATCATTGTTTTTCCGTACTGGAAAACTGATATCTGTTATTTTCTTGTATAAGAATTACCTCGAAATAAGGCGAGGTCTTCTTTAAAAAAAATATAATGAAACAATTACATTCACGTACTCTGCAGAGACTTACCAGTTGATAGAGAAGAAACTTTTTTCTCCAACTCTTGAATTTTTTCTTTATATACATTAGTTTGGACCTAAAACGTAAAGGTTCGATTTTAAAAAATATGTAACATAATTTAGAAAAAGGTATACAGACAGTTTAAAGGCATCAATAACAACAATTCATATCATAGCACTGATTCATATTTTTTAAATCGGATACTTGCTTTTGTAAAAGAATATCGACTAAATCAAAAGACATGGATACGTTCGCTATGACAATTTCAACTGGTCTCTTAGTTTTCATTTAAAGGTAATAGTGGTTAAGTCTTAACAAATGCCTTTAAACTTTCAGTACAATTATTAATTTGTATTGAAATTAGCGATCATCTTACATCGTTGCCACAGTAGGTGGCCTCATCGATAGAAAATTGTAAGTCTTCTGATTTCTTGCGTTCATCATCAAGCGAGCGCTCCAATTGTACTATTCGTGATTTCAACTATGAGTTGTCCGAATGAAAAGAAGAAAAAAAAAACATTGGAAAGCACTAAGCAATTTCAAATTTATTATTTGGTTTCTTTTTACAAAGTATAAATGAATGTACATGTACATAATTATATAATTTCAGATAAATAAATAATGAAAAATTTCATATAAACTTATCGAATATGTACATATGTATATTTCCTTCAATTCTATTTCCTATATACAAAATATGTATGTATAACAATAAACAATATTCGTATTTTTTTTTCGTAAGCAATAAAATTATCCCGCTCTAAGCCAAGCCAAGCGCTCGTTTCTGAGGTAAACCAAGCAAATTTATTTTTAAAATTATAGTAGAACTTTAAAATTATTTTAATCATTTTTTAAAGAATCGTTGGTAATTCATTATTTCAGTCAGGATGACTGCATCTGTTGTAAACCTCTCAAATGTTCCGATTTAAACCTCGCTCAGAGGGTTTGAGCACCTTTATGTCATTATAAATGAGCTAGAATTATCAGTTGGTCCTATTTGATGCGGAACGGTGTAAGGATATTGTGTAGAATACAATGACGTTCGTGATTGCCGTACCATCCTCGGAATTCGCGACGTAGATCAGCCAAACGGTAGCTCCGTCGAGCGATGAGACGCGCCCAGCGATCAGAATCACTGAGTTTACCCTATATTAAATATTGCGACAGGAATTGATTGAGCAGTGTTGTATAAAATGAGTAAAACTAAAAGTACATTCTGAAAAAGTAATATATGTAATTATATATATGCATATATGTACTTATGTATGTACATATAAAAGTTTACGTTGAAAAAATTTATTTCTGGTAAAAAATCATCCCTAAATCACCATGATCTTTTTGTCTAATATTTTAATTCATTTTATTTGGCCATAATAATTTATTTGAAAACAGCCTTAGATATGCTTGCATTAGTTAGGCAAATACCATTGCAAAATTCAAAAGCTCCCAATTTCCATACATATTTACATACATACATTTATACTTGTCGACAGATGTAAGTAAGTTTTCTATAATAAAACAAACTGCAAGCTCTCCAATATATAAATTTTATTGGACACTTTATTTAATGCAAATTAACAAAGATTAAAAACATTTAACACATACTCGTAAAGGTAAATAGAAATCAAATAACCAAACATTAACAAATCTTATATACATATAAAATTTTTAATATTATTTTTAAATGTCCTTGGTGTGTAATAACTGTGCTCTCAGTTAAAACAAAATTATTCTTGTATACACATAAGTGCATGTAAGCAAAAAATATTGGTGAACACTGCGCTAAGTGCATATTTGTGTTTATTTTAATTTAAGTAACAGCAAACGATATACATACATACAATAAATGCAAGATTGCAAATCCATTTAGCGAAGAAGTGAGGTTAGAAACCTACAATGCAATCCAACATGAAACGCAACCATTCAGAAAATTAATTGAAACATAAGCTGAATATATCCATGCAAGTTTTTGTTAGCATGTAAATCTAAAGATCCCGTTAACTAGTTTCTGCAATTAAATTTCATATAATTGCAAAAATAAAAATAACAGTGTACTCATTTATCTGCAATTTGATTTCCAATTGCTCGTTCTGCACAAGCACGTTTTCTTTCAGATGAAATTGTTGTTAAAGGATTTGAGAAGACGTTTTTTTAAGAAGTTATTTTGAAGTATGTATGTATGCTAATTTTCCGAAATTTTCAATCAATTTAAAATGAAAAAATTCTCCTCCACGTGATTGCTTTTGAAATTAAATTTTGAAATTTGTTTTTTTTTTTTTTTTTGTTATAAGTTAGTGTAAATAAAATAACTGCATCATAACGATAAATTTCTTTCTTATTGGCATCTTTATTGATGAACGGCTATAAGGCATGTAGAATTTCATCATTGTTGAAATACAATAAATTTTAAATATATTTAAGAAATTATAATTCATTAAAATACATAGAAAGAAATTCAAAAGCAGAACAAATAAACTGTATAAATAAACGGATTCAAATTTAACCGCCAAAATAAACAGCTGTTATACAACTTGCTGGCTAAGTCTTACTGAATCCTGTTCGGTAAAAACTCAGTAAATTTCTTTCTTTGGGAGAGTACTGGCTAATTTTTTTTCGTTACTGCTACTTGTGATGATCTGGTACATGGTATTAGTCTAAGACAACTCTCTAAAATATTCAAACCTTCACATACTCGCATAAGTAATTATGTATTGTATGTTAAAGTAAAGCGATAACGGAACGAAAGTAACAAGCATTTGCTAGTTAACATGTATGTACATATGTATTTAATATAAATGCACATACAACCATAGACCAAAAATACTCATTAAAGGTTAAGGGATATCTAAATAATGCCGATCAGGTTGAGTTGAATGATAGGTGCAAAACTTTCTAATAAATAATGGGGGGCCGAATATTAGACAAATATCCAAAATAACCAATAAAACTCATTGTTGTCAATTGTATTAAATATCAGGATTTAAAAGTAAGTAAGTCCAATCCCATTATAACATTAGCAAGTCTGTATATACATCTATCTACATATGTATGGATGTATGTATGTATGTATGTATGTAAGTATATATTTAAATATGTAATTATAAGACTACATTTAACATGTGCATATGTATTTTTCATCACCAAAGCAACAAAAGAATTAGTATATCCAATAAACTCCGCTTCCACTAATACCTAAGACCTTTGACCTCAAAGCAATCAGTTTTGTGGTCTAGCAAGTAATCAATTTATTCATATCACAAAACCACACTTTCTTCGTCGGCGGTGTAGGCGAACGCGAAGGCGTCCATTGCTGGACCAACGACGACCGTTTCTTCGCAGGCGAAGCGGGCGGCGATTGAGAGTGTCGTGATGCACGAGACGATGGCCGCGATGGCAAAGTAGGCAACCGTACGCGCGTCAAACGGAACGGCCGCTTCTTATCTGTATACACAACAGGCGCATATATGGCGTCTTCGTAGATAATTACCTCGTTTATATTTTTTTGATACTGGAGCGCTTGATTCTGGCAATCCTCCCGATCTAGCTCCCGCTCTATGATCAACTGCTCAATGTGCTTCTGCTTCTCGTGTAGTAAATCCTTGATTTGGCAAAACAAGAGAATATAAAATGGTAAAAAGCAATAAAATCTTTTCACTTAATTTGCAAAATTTATTTAAACGAAACTTAATCCCATTGACACAAACACACACCATTAGCAAGAAATATTATCAATGTTATTTATGTAGGTACATATATATAATATAATGCATGCATATGTGTGCAGGACATACATACATATCTACAAAAATTTATAAATAAAATTACCATTTTACATTATTGTTTGCATTCTGGAACTAAAATATGTATATGCGCTTGCACATCTGTTTACCAAATGATGTTACATACAGAGTAGGAATTACAATTAGACTACTTTCGGCTTTTCTGCAGAAGAATGGAGTTTATCTGAAAGCTCGATTTTATACATATGTATGCATATTATATAAGAAGGTAACGAAGTATCCGAAATGGTTTTTTTTAATAAAAAAAGACATGTATATATATACTCATGTATTCGCATCCATATAATATGTAGATGTATACAAAGCAGAATTGACTACAAGCATAATTTTTAAAGCGGTTAAGAATAATATGAACCAAATTTATCTAGCTAATTTTGCAAATACAAAAGAAAATTTCTAAAATGAATAATAATTTTTAAATAAGTAAAATACTTACTCCCACACTGATTTCCGTACATCCAAAGCGTAATCATATAGGGCCGAGCTAAATAATTCACAATGGATGCCGATGCAGATAAAATGTTTTGCGAAAAAGCACTAAATTAATAATAAAATGTGCCAGAATTTCATCGAATTTGATTCAGAAAAAAGGCTTTTTCTTACTTTACACTTTTACATGATATATTGCTTTTTATGGAATGTCGGTTTACCGATCCCATAACTCTTACTAAAGCGGACAATTAAAAGCCTAAGTATCTCGTATAAAATTAAGAAAAAATCCCATCCATCACAACCTATTTATGCGGGAGTAAAAATATATATAAAAACCTGAAAACAATGTTTTATTCAATGTATAAATTACGACGTTGGTACAATGGTATTCCTTCTGGCCTATAAGCCTTAGTCAGATTGTGTACATTAGGCACACTTTATTAACAATAAAATCAAACAAAACAAATAAAAATCAAACTACATCATGCATCTCTAATTTCATAAGTTCGAAATTCAAGTTGTGAAGAATAATATCAAAATCTAATTATAAAACTAAAAAATCAGAAGCCGTATTGTGTAGCGAAAGTAAGAAATTGCTTTATTTTGCTTTTTACGTAAAAGCTAAAAATAATATGTAGCGTAACATAGTGGCAATAAATATGTATATGTATGTACATCAAAGTGTTTGTTAGTAGTTCGAATAGCTTAAAACTAAATTTTAGTTAAAAAACACATATACCAAAATATTCAATTGAACAGTAGAAAACCATAAAAACACATAAGGTGGAGGGGAATAATCAGTGATTAGTGCAATAGGGACTTGTAAAATCAAAAGAAACTCAATGGAAAAATTGTATTTGCATAGAGTAAAAAAAGATTTTCATTTGTGACTACTTTAAACGTTTTACAAGCATTTATGGTGAAGCAGAAAAACACAACATTTATATAATAATTAAATTTCCCCTTTTCATGCCCCATTGACGTAAGACGTAAGATAGCGTACCTGCATGGAATATTGTGATTTCGGTGTTGTACCGAGCGGCTTGATTGACAAAGATTTGCGCTGTATAAGAAAATAAGTCAATTTGGTTATGGTTATTGGGTTTGATTAGTTTGGTTAAGATTAAAAATTAGGAAAATTTAACAACTTATTTTTTTTTTAATTATTAATTTGAACACAAGGAGAATTTTAGAAATAAATAATAAGCATTCATCCAGGAAGAGCTCTTGTTTTTATTGGTTGATAAATGCCGAGGTATCCATAACTTCATTTAATTATACCTGTGCATTCATGCGCAAGCGTGATGTGTTTGTTGTCGCAATGCTATTCATGGTGCCGATAGAGTTTAGAGATTCTCGGGAACCTGCTCTTGAGAGACGAGACTTTTTTGATGAAGGTGACAATGAGACTTTGGCAATCGGCACAAATACTCCGTATTTGGGCTTGCATTCAAAATATCTGTTACAAGAGTATATAATCTGATGTAATGATAATAACAAAATAAATTATTGTTATCATATTATACGTACTTTACGCCATCTACGGAACCATCATTTTTACCCGATGGTTCGTCCAACTCAATCCCACACCAATTGCCCGAAGCGAATTGAGTTTCACCCAAATAACGCAAAATACCAGGACGGCTACCGAAGCCTGATGACACAATAACACGATCACCAACTGTCAGTCCATTTTCTTGTTTACAAAGTGAAAAAAGAATACCATAATAGTAGAATTCAAAAAAGGGTCTTTAATATGAAAATAATAATAATGTTGGCATACTTCCAGGGCTACGTTGAAATGAGCTGCGTATGCTAGCTGTCGGTGATACTGTTCGCGATCGATCTGGCGACATTTTTGCTAGTGGAGAAGTTGGTGTGTTTGCACCCGAAAAAGGCGTCAATGTAAGTCGGGTTAGACGCGAGAAAATACCACGCTTGGGTTCGCACTGAAAGTAACGTTTGCCAGCAACGCATCCATCATTTTTACCTAAAGTTGAGTAAAGAGAATTAAACTATAAATTATTTATTATTACATTTATCTATTTTTGCCATCATACCATTTGGTTCATCTAACACAATACCGGCCCAATCACCAGGGGCAAAATGTGTTTCGCCGATGTAGGCAATCTGCCCAGGACGTATTCCACCCACCCACACTTTTTGACCAATTATAAACTGTTCTGTATCTTGCGTAAGAACGGCCCCATGATCTGGATGAAAAAAATCGAAAATTATTTCAATAAAATTAACGGATTCGGCTACAATCCGTAAAATTCGTACATATATAGTAAATTCCAAAATGAGCAATATTAAAAAAATTGTAAAACCTTAAAACGGAAAACTTATTTCTTTTTTGGGTTTTAGTTTTATGGAGCTGACTCCAACCATATATTTATGGATATATTTGAAAAAATACAACAACAGTTTTGGGCGGTAGAAGCTTTAATCGTTATTTCGTCAGACTTCTTTTTCCAGACTACTCTGTTCGAATTTGATTCGAACATGGGATCTGGAACTTGGGGTGGTGGTTTACGAAATAGCAGCTATAACTTCTACCGTCCAAAACTGTTTTGTAATTTTTTCACAGTCCCACAAAATTAAAACCCAAAAACAATTCTACAGAGCAATGACCTGAATGACCTGAAAAAGCATCTAAAAACTAATTTTTCTTTAATGATCTGTGTCAGCTGACAATGCAATGGAGATAAGTCGCAAAAAACTTGTGTTTGTGTGGAGAAAATACAAATATATTATGACTAACTTTAAAACGTGAACACATTGAACGTTCTAAGCAATTTTTAATGAACTAAGTTTACATTTCTAGTTATTGTTTAGGAACGAAATAATAAGAATATAATCAGTCGTTAAGGCAAAATTAACAAGCAAGTGCTTGGACTTTGTTTAATATTTTTATTTATTAAAAATGCGAAATGAAAATCAAGAATATTGAAATGTAAGAATAATATAATATTTCTCATTTTTCCAATAATGACGAGAGTCATCATGTGTAGTCATTTTATCAAAATGAAGTATATTTAAGTGCTTGCTTGATGAAAACTTATCCATGCGTATACATTACATGTCTGCAAAAATTTGTGAAGCACTTAGTCCTCCGGAGTACCTACATACCACTCCCTTGTAATAAGACAGCCCTCAGTTGGAATAACACTAAAAAGATAAAATGCGCACGAACTGTATGTTTACCGTGGTCAGGTTATCGATACATGCTCTAGAACGAGCCTACATTAAGCAATCTACTATTTCTATTCTAAAGTCTATTGACTTTTACAGAATAGCTTTTTAATAATTATTTTCTTTTCTTTTATACTTCAAAATGGAAGAATTCATTCAGAAGCTTTGTAAAAGAAGAGTTTTTTTAAATGAAATGGATAAAGTCGCCATGTTTACCACTTCTCTTAACTGAATCAAAAGAACAATATCCCGAAATGTAATTAAGTTTTGCGGAAATAGCAACAGACGGAAGACCCGGTGTCGTACTAACATTCAAAAAATATAGAAAAATAATTTTATTTAAATTAAATTTTCTAATTGCGGTCGCCCCTAGGCAGGGAATGTCAACCCCACCGAATGTATTTCTGACATGAAATAAAAAAGGTCCCTCTATTTGCTGGAAAAACATCAAGGCGATAAGCCCCAAATTAAAGGAGGAGCTCGGCCGAAAAAATTGCTTCAGCAGTTACAAAGCTCAAATTATATATACACATATATATATATATATATATATATATATATATATATATATAAATATAGAGCACTTCATGTATGCATTGGAATACTTGCGTCTTCACTGCGACTTTCTTATTAACAGGTGCCGTTATTCAAATTCTGTTTTAATTGATAAATTATGATTATGTAAGTACATACACATATAAAATATCTGGATAAGAGCCGAGCAGCAAAACCAATTTGGACGCACTTCTTCTATATACTCTCACATACTTATGCAGGCATGTACTATTATATTATGTAATTCTATTTTTAAAACTTTCCTGCCATTTTTCGTAAGCTGCAGGCCAGATGATTACTTGTCTTATTACAAGGCTAAAAAGGCAGCGCGTACTGCAACCAACAAGCGGAACAAACTACACTGATGTGTTCAAGTATATGCTATTTGGGTTGGAAGCGAACAATTGGAAAAAAATTTCAAGCTGAGCAGAACTAATAGCAGAGAGGGCAAACAACGGCAAGCTTTAATAGCAATGTGACCCCTATGTACAGATGTACAATATATACGATTACATTCATATACTCTGAATGTGTGCATGTGTACTTTCAAATGTTTTTACCTAATTGGTCCCGCTCGATTGTGAGGGTGTTGCAAATTGAGCTAAATGGAATGGTGTAAGTACAATACATAGGTAAATTGTATATATGTATGTACTCCGATTGCTAAATGCATTTAATTAAATAACTATGCACATAGAGAGTTATTGATAATTTAGTACGTGAGTTTCGTACGGCGCTATATATACGTACTTGCATGCATATGTATGTATAGGAGTACATATAGAGAAATAGCATTCGTCAACTATCCGGACTCATCGATACTCAACATTGCAAGACAATGCACGTTTTTGTGTATGAATGTGTATGTGAACGTAAAGTGCAGTAGGCGACGATCGCCTCAATCCTATGTTAAAAATAATTCGATAATTTTCTTTGCACCTGTGAAATTTTTATTTACAAATCCCTTTACATACATATGTACATATCAATGTAAGTTAAAGGAATTATTGAATGAAATAAGCACGTCGGTCATTCAGTTGACGACTGTACTTACTTAATGCTCACTTTAAAGGTCGATATGTATATGTGTATACGTATGTACATATATGTGCTACCTATAATTGACGCTTCGTAACCGCTGAATCAATTTTCGGCCCAGATACTCCTATAATTGGTTGACTTGATGATTTTATTTTATGCCAACAATACACTCGGCGAGCTTGACATTCCCTGCCGACGGGCGACCGAAAATAAAAAATGTATTTTCTTAATTTTTACCTTATAATTATACTACATAATTCGCAGGAACATACGAGGAAGCGTTTTATGTTAGCGGAATGGGACAAAACATCCAGCTCGCGTTAAGAGCTCTGCACCCTATATCCTTGACCTGGCCCCGAGTGATCCTTATATATTTCGCACCGATGATGAGGCCAAGGAGGCAGTCATGTAAGTATGTATATGTATAGTATGTATAGCGCAAACGTCTCTCAAATAAATGGAAACATATTAAATTTAAAATGCTACAAGTTGCATTTGAACAATAACAATAACAACAACAACAACAACAACAACAACAACAACCCAAACTGCTGATACCGGTTTATCATAAATACAAATGTATTGCCCAATTAAGGCAACATTAAGTGGCACAAATCTGTTCAACCGAATGCAAATTGTTTTGCGAAGGCGCTTACACCCGCATAATTGGCATTGACGTGTATGTATATTTATATACATATAATGTTTATGTAAAAATGCTCCAATGAAAATTGAAATAAAATAAAAACAACTAAATCGGTTGTTCATATGTACATACAATACAAACATACATAAACGGGTTGAACGCATAAACTAAACTCGCCATAATTTACTATAAGTAACGCATCATTTCAAAATGGACGAAGGCGAAACCGTATCGGGTTCGAAAAACGAATTTCGCGGTCCCTTTTGAATTTGATTTGAACTCGAATAAATTAAGGACGTCAACAAACAGGACCGATTTCAAAAAGTAAACTTCTGTTACACTGGCTACATACATATGTACGTGCGTACACAACTACCATTTTTCCATCCTAATAAAGCAGTTGGATAATTAGAATACAGTTCCACCTGAACTTAGCCCTCCCTTTATTGTCTTCTTTAAGTTTATAACAAGAGATTCGGTTGCTTGTGTTGTATGTACATAGATACGTATGCAAGTATATATGTACGTTTTTCTTTATGAAATTATACATGTTATTAATGGGTCTGGTTCAGCTCGAGGTCTGCCTTTAAAGTTAATTGATAAAAATGAGAATAAAATAATATATAACACTTGGGAACTATAAATGGTGGACTCTTACCTGAACTACGGCGGCGGCCTGTGGCCTCCAGATAGAAATCAACTTTTCACACAACGCACAACAACAACGTGGCAAAAGGCGGTGAAACAAAAAAGCACAAAATCGAACGAAAAGCAAATAAAATATGAAAACACATAATGAAATAATGAGTAACAATGCACAAAATAGAAATAAAAATAGAGAATTTGCCCATACATACAATCACATGCAAGTACGAGCTCCTTGTAAGTGTGCATTGAGCTACAGCGAGAGATGCATATGCGGGTTGTGATGATAATTGATGAGATGACTTAAGAATGAGCAACAGTAGCAATGCACACCGACAATAAATTGTTCACGGTGATTACTTACAGGGGGTGTGGCGATCTCCAAAAGCGGATTTGTGGGATGTCGTAGGCGATTTGGTAGAATTGCGAGACGATGAATAGCGATCCATGTCGGGTGAAAGAGAGGATCGCGTAAAACGTTTTACAGTTTCCTGGTACAAATCTGTCCAACGCCGATTAGTATGAGGTGTTTTCGTTTGGGAATGGAAGCACATACATATGTATATATATATATATATATATATATATATATATATATATATATATATAACGATTTTTCGTATTTGACGTTTAACAGCATTTTTGCAATCAATATACATTAGTGAATATGTGCAAGGTGTTTTTACGAGATCATCATTGTGGTCAAAAACGTTGTTTTCGCACGGCATGCGTGCGACAATAGCGTAAAAACAAACGACAATAATTTCACATTTAGTTTGAATTGCGTCAGTGAGTACAATAAAAGCAAACATATACATATACATATGTGCATATGAATGAATGAAGTGTAAATTTTTCAACAAGCGAGCAAAGGTAGTACATAATATATTTACTGGTTACTTGGCTTGTTTTACGAAATGGTGTTAATGCGAATTTTTAGCGAATGCGGCCAAATGCAACCATGATATAGATGAATATTTATAAAAAATTAGTTGATGAGCTTTCCTTATGCATTACAGTGCAATACTGAAAGCAGTTATAGCGTTAATATACTTCAAATATTTTCCAAACAAGATTCCCAGGAAGACCAACCTTTATTAACTTGGTTATCTGACGAAAGTTCTATTATCTATTCAAATGAAATGCATCTCGAAATAATCGAAATAACCTACTTTGTATCTAAGTATTTATAAACATAAATGAAAATCAGTTGTTGATGATAATTTTTGCATTAGTAACGATTTGATAGGGAAGAATTTTTCCAGCTGTTTTTCAGTGCGTATTTTCACTTACGAAAAACTTCAAAAATTTTGCAAAACACATATGTATGATATAACTCATGTTGATTTACTTCAAGACATTTATTTACATATGTTTATATGTCTTAATCTAAGTTGGCAGCGTTTTGAATTTTCACCGCTGAAGAAGTGAAATATAAAACGTACCTTTAGGGGTACATAAATGTGCACTGCCATCTACAATATGTGTATGCTCAACACCCACAACTATACTCTCCGATAATAAATGGCACCCACGGAGCCTATCCAACACTCAGTGTTTCCATTTACGATAATAAATATCAATACTTAAACAATACTGCTAAATTACTTGTGCCGCAAACAGATGAGTTTTTATTGCGCAATTCAATTTACAATAAAATACATGAAAAATCTTACTCGCACATAGAAAATCATATGATAATTGAGTTTATTTTTCATTTCAAGTTAAATCTGGAAATTGGCTGTGCAAAATATACAATTTTATGGAATATGTGCAACGACAGTGGGAGGGTAAGTACATGAGCAGCAGGTATGTAATGAGTCATCAAAGCGAGAATGCCGACAGTTAGACTGACAGGTAACTAGTTTCTCACTGCAGCTTAATTGATTGCTGGATATGTAAGCAGAGCAACCCAGTAGCAAAATTCCTCGAGTCGAATGAGACGAAATGGGTTTAGTACAATACAATGCAATTGTATGCAATCTTTATACAGATAAATATACATATAGAGTTTGTTTTTATTTCAACAACTGACAGCGAAGATTTGGTTATGGCGCCTAAAAATCAACGGCGGGTAGCGCTATATATCTTAAAAAACAATCCAATTGACCTCATTTCCTCCGTGACAAACAGACGAGATTGTGCGAATTCGCTTTGTCGCTGCCGTCACTATGATGGTGCAGCACAACGATTTTGTTGTTGGCGTTGTAATTGAGCCTATATACGACGCTGATGCATGCAGCGCCAATTTGCCCATTTTAAGAGTCAACGTTTGATCAGTGAGCAGCGATTGAATTTTTGTGTCGCCACTGAAATAATGTTGGCCTACATGCAAACACATCGAAATATAAAAGAGGTGATGCCTAAGTGTTGATACGTGTATGTAGCAGTACTAACGTAAATGAATAAATGTAAAAAAGGCATTACTAGGTTCTCTATTGGGACGACACCTATGAAATGCAGTTGAAAATCTGAAGAACTATTCAGCGGTTATTAATCAAGGCTGGTGTACTATAAACAAATTTAATTAAATAAATATCAATCCCTATACAAGCTTCAAACACGGTTAAATACTTTTTACAGCTACTGTTTTCTCAGACAAGCTGTTACAAGCAGCCCTTGGCTGGCGATGCCAGCTAAATTATTATATTATTATATTATGCTTCTAATCAAAATGGCTAAAAGAAGCGTATAATTACCTCACCCAAGCAACACCTGTTCTTTCCTACCTAATATCTGATTACTATTATTTGAATGATACAATAAATGATGCATTTACTGATTAAGCATATTTGTTAATTAGATGCTCATGTTCTGTCAAATCCGATTTGTAGATTATTTAGAACAACTCAAAAGCAAACATTACTGATGACTTGATAGAGCTAATTTCATACCAGTAGGCGTTCCATAGTAATTTAAACTTGCGCAGTATATCTGTATATGTGGTAATGGCGCTCAATTGAAACCCACACGCTTGCGCGATATGAAACAACGTTGGCACGAATCGCAAAAAAAAAATAATAATAATAAACGGAGGTACTTTTCGTTGGCTTTTTTTTGACAGATCACGCGTGAGTCGTATCTAGCTGTCGCATTAATTTTGTTCAGTTTTGCTTGTTATTTCAATATGGAAATCCTTACGTCTGCACAACGTTTAAAAATCGTTCAACTTTATTACGGAAATTCACGTCGTCCGTTCGGCCTACTGAGCGTACTATTCGCAACACGATTCTTGAGACCCAGCATTCATTATTGGATAATAATCCACCGAATAGACTACGTCCGGCACGCAAACATCAAGAAAATATAGCGGCCGTAGTTAAAAGTGTACACGAAGACCGTAGAGAGTCGGATTCGTCGCCGTTTGGAACAACTTTGCCCATTTTACGTCGAAATATTAAATTGAAAGGGGACAAAATACAGCTTGGGCAAGAACGGAAAGCACTTGCATAAAGGAATAAATTAGTTTTGTGTAAAACTTTTTCGAATTAAAGGACAAAGGTGTCCATCACATGCGGTGCAGAATATTATATTCTGAATTATATATATTGTACAATTAAAACGCAGTAAATTTACTCAGGCCCAGACCTGCGAGATTTTTTTCATTCTTAAAAAATTTACTAAAAATTTAAATACAAATGTTTTTATGTATGTGGCAATGTGTTAATTAAGATTTATGTCGCCTACTCATTCGCGAAAACACGTATATACGTAAGATTCACCCCGAACATATTATATTATATGTACATATAAACGCACATACATACATGCAAACAAACATATGTAAGTGCATTCAATATTAATGCTAAAATTTGTATACATACCTACATATGTATGTTATATATGTCAGTTGTGCTTTGTTTGAATATTTTTAGTCTACCGAACTTTATTATATTTTAATGCCATGAAATGTTAAAAAATTAAAGAAGTATTCTGATGGGAATGAAATAAAAAATTAATAAGTTTCTATTGTTGATAAAAAATTGCTTTTGTTGGCACTCAAAATAAAGATGCTGATAGCCCAAGTTCTTGACAAACTTGTAGCAGACCTAATTCAGTTGAATTAAATAAAGATTTAAACAATACAACGAAAATGTTTTACTATAAAAACAGGTTAGTCACCAATTTTTGTTTTTTTGGGTATTATTTGCTGTGTTAAAAGTCAGAATTGGGTGAGTGACTTATTTTTAATTAGAATTATATAAAATAAAAATATTATTAATTGTTAGGTATAAAACTCAAGCTCTAATTTATAGATAAAAAAAAAAGAAAGTAATTATTTTTCAAATAATAATTAAAAACATTGAACTATTTTTAAAATATATGCAATATACGAGTATACCTGTGAATGTTGAGTTACAAGAGCTCAAATTGTCATCGCTTTCACGACTCATGCTTTTTGTGTCTGTAAAATAAAACGAAATAAAATGATAGAAGCATAGCATCAAAGCAAACAAAAAATAACAAAAGATTTAATAGAATAAAATAAAGAGGACAATGCAATAACAGAAATACGTGCAAAATTTGAAACGCATTTAGCAATTTGTAAGCTGCTCGATTTGAGAAAAACATTTCTAGTACATGCAGTTTGTTTGACTTTTATCAAAATAATAACATATTCAATCAAACGAACACAAATTCGGTATATGCTTGTAAATATTAACAAAAATCATGATTTTATCCATAAATATAAAATTTACATATGTATAAGTCAAAAAATTTAGAAAGGCTTGATTGTCAACTAAAAATGGCATTTATCAGTGGCACAGCTATTGTCTTTGGAAAACTAGAAAAATTATTCAGAAATTAAAGTTATAAATTAGTATTTTATCGTGGCTAACATTTTGCAATAAGTAATCAAATGGCTGTTATGAGGCATATATGAGCATAATACAAACATACAGGCATATGGCCGCAGGCCAACACTCAAAGTTATAGAAAATTACTGTTGTTGTTGCAGCCTCAAAAATTTTCCCAACAGTAGTTTTTGGGGAATGTTTCGCGAGTGACAGTATTTCGCCGTATAAAAATCTGGGTCGTTCGGTATAAAGACCCAACTGTATTGGATTTTAGTCACCTCTTACGAGAGGCATGCATTACCGCCGCTAAATGTTTGAACCCCTAACACGCAGGGGGGATCGAAAATTACTGATTGTGATTGGTATGTCAACCCCCGCCGAGTGTATTTCTAATATGAAATACTAACAACGCATTTGTCGCAATATGTTTTTATCGAAACCTCCTATTGCCGACTTATCAGATGTTCACATCGTCTATACTTCTACAACAAATATCATGACGGGAATAATTAGCGAGATAGATTGACACACTATACGTCAAATCTTGGAAAAGCCCCTGAGAAAATAATCGATACATAGATTTTAAAGTTGTCTTCGACATCATGGAAAGTATATATCTATATAAGGTTAATGGTGAATATGCTAAGTTTAAAGCCACACCGATAGGATCTAATCAGCGAGTTACCGGTGGGTTTTGAAATATTACTCAATACGGTAGTAAGACCTTATGTTCGGTACATATATATACATATGGCCATATTTCGAAAGCCCAAAAAGTTAAAGAGTTCTCTTAATACTTTTCTCTTTCCCACTTGAGCTAAACGAAACTGAAGTAGGTGTACAATTGCCGTATTTACATCAAACTATAGTCGGTAGTCATAACTGCCATTGACGAACAGCCAAAAGTTCGATGTTGCCCCATAGTTTTCTAGCATATAAATAAAATTCTAGTTACATATAGAAAAAATTTATTAGTAATGATGTGGGCTTTATAATTTTTCAATCTTTATCATTATGTTGGATTTGTTTTTAACTAGGAGAAGGGTATTACCACTCGGACCTGGTGCGCTGAAAATAATAAGGTGTACACTATACGAAACGAAATATGTAATGTAATTTTGCTCTAGGAAATTCTGAAGCCATATATTGAGTTTTCTATGAATGGAAGGTCTTAAGTCTAAAATATAATATAAAAATAATATAGAAATAAACCAAATATACGAATGTTGAAGAAATATATATACATATGTATACATAGTTAAAAACCTCAAAATATATTATGTAGCAGATATTTACCAATATTGATCGCCAGGTATAGGCGAAATAGAAACTTAAATGTAGTTTGTTTACCAAATATGACTAATCATAACTCTCTGTATTTAATTCAAAACTTAACAAGCAAAATTATTCAAAACACGTTTGCTATTTATTTTGTCCAAGTTTTTTCTCCCACAACGTAAACCATTTATATTACTTTTTACTGCTATAATACCCCATCCATTCGATATTTCATAGGTTCATATTAATGCGCAAATTAAAGCAAAAATTATGTAAACTCTTCCCACGCCTGTTGCGCCATTATTTCCAAAATCAGCTTACTATTCAAAGCTTTAGAAAACCTGTAAATACTTATTTAGTTGCAAATGAATTTTATTCGTTGTAAATTTTTTAAGAATTGAACTAACTATTAAATATGTTTTTTTTTTATGGAATATGTCATGTTCCAATTAGACAGATATGATCTAAGCTTACGTATGTCTAATGTTATTTACAACTTTAACACAGATGTATTATGCGTAAATAGTACTTTATAGAAATTTACATAATTATCTAGATTATATAAATATTATTTAATATAATCGTTGCATGTGAACTTCCTGTTGAACAATTATATTTGTATATTTGAGGAAATATCTCAAAATTAATTGTAAATGTATATAAACTCGATATAATTATTTCAAGCGCCATCTTTATATTTATGCCAAATGAATGGAGTTCTAACTTTCATAATTTTAGCTTCTGCTGAAAACCTTATACGTACATACACAATACATAATACATGTTGATTTTAATACGAAAATAAAACTTAGCTCGTTGTGGAATATATTTGCGACTGGCTTTCAGGTTTTGTATATCTCTGACTCTTCCTCTCACCTTATCTTAATATTTATTGGTTTATTTACTAAGTAATAATTTCGAAATGCTCAGACTTTACATCCCTTGTATTGCTCAACGTTTATTTCGATTCATTTATGTCAACAAGCACCATTTTAGGTATATAATTTTCTTAATTAGAGGTTAACCGCAAAAATTTGGTAAACAGTATAGCAAACGTAAATACATAAATACCATGACAGTGGGCACTCCTACGTACATTCTCATGAATCCAAAAAGAGAATAATATTTATTGAATCTAATATATAAAATTTTGTGTTTGTAACCGAACTTCTCCGAAATAGTTGGACCGATTTTTATGAAATTTCGAGTGCATGTCGGGTATGGGAATCGGCTAATATCTAAAAAAAAAAGCTAATTGGGTACTACCATTTCGCTTTCTACTGCACTCGAGTCCATTTATATAATTCACACTCGAGATTTTAACTATTTATCTACATTTTATTGCCGTTCTGGAGTTAATCCAAAGTCATGGAATTAAGGCGAGAAAGGCTAAGAGGGCTGCACGTTTCCGGCTCAGCCGGGACTGCAATTATAAATATAGCTTATTTTTGGATGCCGGTAGGGTCCGGTCTCGAACCCTGGACCTGTGTTGGCCCTGTTTATGAATTAGCCTTTATGTGGAATTCCTACATTTAGTTGCTTATATCTGTTGGTATTCCTGTAGGTGGCGATAACTGTTCATTTAAAAATTTGAAACTAGAAATAGGACCGCTTACATACATACATAATCAGCAGTTAAGGTACATATGTACACCTGATAGCTTTTAATCTATGTGCAATTTAATTTATACCAATTATATATACACATAGCTTGTATATGTACTTAGTAAGTGTGCAAAATTTTGAATATAGGACAGATAACAATTGAATAAACATTGTGTACATTTTTTACATTTTTAAGTGTGTTTATATAAAGGGTAATCCATTTCTTGGTTTCAAAAGTGCCATCTGTCAAACTTAATTTTGCGTACCGATGTTTTGTTATAATTACAAATCAGTTATTTATGAAGAAGGGGGTTTACAACCGTATAACGCGCTAAAATTGTTTACTACAAAATTTGTGATTCACACATTTCGGGCTTTAAGAGGGCTTTGTGGTGCACATAATCATACAACTACTCAAGCAGTCGGGAAAGTTTTAAAGCAATTTGAGGAGACTAGATCCGTTACAGATATTATAAACCCTGCGCATCAACGTTTCGTTAGTTCCACCTAATCGCTACTGTAAATGACAGCGTAGCCGTGTATTTCTCGACGTTCTTAAGAGCTGGGACTTTCTTAAGGCACAATATGGCTAATTTTGCACTTGGACAACTCGCACAACCACTAAAGCCGGCTGCTTGAACAACAAGCAGTGCAAAAATTCGCGAGACAATCATTTGAATGATGCAGTATTTCACATATATAGTAATACCAAGGCTCAAATTTTAGAAGAAAAAACAATTTACATAAATGCATTTGAATTACGTTTATTTTCGAAATTATTACTACGCAAAAGGGATAACCTTATACGTATGTATGTGTATATATAAAAAGGTATTAATATTTTTATATATGCACTCATGCTATATTTTTTGGTTCAACAGCAAAAATTGCTTTCAATAGCAAGAAATTTCTGTTATAGATGCATATATACATACGTACAAGTGGGGAATGAAAAATTAACGTGTTAACCACTCTTTCTTGCGGAGCTTTGTGCGCACATTTCACTGTTTGACGGCTTTCATTTTTTTCATTTTTTCATTGTCGTTTATATGCAGACAATCAACCACAAACGCTTTTGTAAATAATTTATAAATGTATGTGTATGTTTAAGTAAATTGTAAAACTAAATTTTTCTAATTGCGTTCGCCCCTCAGCAACGTGTGTATTTCTGCCATGAAATAAAGCTCCTCATAAACACCCGTCATTTGTTCGGAGGCGGCTTAGTATAAACTGTAGAGGTCCCTCCTTTTTTTGGAAAAACAGCAAGATGCAAACAAACCACAAATGGGAGGAGGAGCTCGCTCGGAGCGAGCGAAAATCGCTTCAGCGGTTACAAAGCACCAATTATGTATATATATACATATATGGAATTAAATATTAAATAAATTGCTTCCTTCTAATATTATATACTCGGTATCTTGTACAAACAAATACATGCAGAATAGTAATAAGAAAAAAAAAACAAATGAAAAGGGAAAGAAAATAAATTAATTAACGTTTTGCAAGGATGTCTTTTAAAGCGGTGGTAGGAAAATCACTCCATTTGAAATAGTTCACGCACAATGACAACAAAGTAATTAAATAAATTGTAGCCCTCTAACAAGGCGACTGTGTAAATATCAATATGGATACAAGATTACGTTGCATTTAAGTGATTTGTAATAGGTATTTTTTAACTTGATCACATATACAATATATGCATGCACATATTCACATCACACGCAGATAAGCACCAAAAAATTTATAAAAGTTAAGATGTAAAGTTTTGTAATCCCTTTTAGCACAAACATCGAAACACACTTAAATCACCTTCTCCGTATTTGCGAAATTTTGCTATTTTCTAAAAAAGTATCATTTACGAAAGTATTCCAAATATAAAGACTTTCCCCTTCCTCTAGTTGACTTGTCTATCGCAGTTTTAAGCATTAATTTTTCTGGTGCGCTTTTCGAGTTTCAAGCGCGAATACGTTCGTCTCGTAAAATCTCTTTTGAGTAACTAAAAAGTTTCTCTGAAGCACCTTAAACCACTTCTCAAGCTTCGTAACGACTATGAGAGGCACGAATATGTTCCGTATACACGAATACATCCACACATACTTCGCATAGCACCGGCGATAAAGAAAACAACAAAACCACTGAACAGCTCGTATCACGATCTTTTGAGAACGTCATTATGGCATTCATTAAAATTTAATTACTGAATTTTAAGTATGTATGTAAGCATAAACATGTGAATATGGTTTTCGTTGTACTGGCTTAGCAGCCATTTCTATGCGATTTTGCGTTAGTTAAAGATATGTTGGAATCTTTTCAGTTGAGATATACTATTCTTGGTAAGTGTTGTTGTCATTTCAGCGCTTTTTTTATAGCTTCAAAACAGTTTTGAGTCGGTAAAACTCACACATTCACAAAATAAATTGACAAGGGAGGCTAAGTTTGCTCGAAAATGCATGCGCATCGAGACATTAGCTCAAATTTTTCCTCCGACGCTAATACGTGTATACGAGTATGAATGTGTCTATGTATGTTATTTACGGATATACACTAAATAAGTTTCGACTCCAGTTGAAAAGTACTCCGACGATACTTTTTAAACAATATGAAACTTTTTATATTTTGCAAATGACAACAACGTTTTACACTTTCGCTTTTGGCAGCGATTTTCAGATCATGGAACATTAATTTTTTTTTTGTAAATGTTTACAGAGTCTCCATTATTTTTTCGTGTAAAAAAACAAAACAAAGCAAAAACTAATTTTGACAATCACCACGTTCAACCTGGTTCGTCTTGGTTTGTCCTCTGCACTTGCATGTGTTAAAAAATGTGTAAATATAAAATCAAATAAAATATAACAAAAACAATATACGAATATTAATTTAAACTAAGCAAGAAAGAAATGTTGCTTTCGGTCATGCCGAAGTCTTTATACCTTTCATGAACATTGGAGTGTCTGCTCCTACAAAGTTGGTTTTTTTTTCTCGTCTGCTACCTTATTTAAAATTAATAAATGATTTTTGTTTCGTTTCGGAGCCAAGTGATCAATTGCAATTAAATTGTTGATGTTGAAACCGTACAAATTCTACGTCAACGCCTATTTTAAAATGGCTATTCACTATGAAATGAACAGCACTTTTCAATTTTAACGTTTAACGATGATCGATTGAAATCTGTATGTATATACGACCCAAATACTTGCAGCTTGTGAAACTCCAAAATTTGTAATTTAATGATTTTCACAAATTATGTTAAAAATAAATAGGTTTTACGTGGTGTTGAAACCTTGAATAGGGATTTTTCGCCTTTCTACGAACTTTTCTGATATCAGAATAAAATTAGCACCACACGAAAATGTTCGCTTGCACTCCTAAAGCAGGGGATGTGAATATAAACAGTTAAAATTCAGTACATTTCAATTAATCTTGGTGCCTACGAGTTTTCTGGGTCGCTGATAACAAACGGTAAATTTCAATAATTAAAAATGGAGGATGTACTGCAGTTTTTCACACTAGATCAAAATGGTAACATTTCAATTTTCAATTAGAACGCCAATAAGAATCAGCATTCTAAATATTATCTCTGTCAATGGTATTTCCAAGTTGTGGCTCAAACTTGGGTTTTCTTTCAAAATTTTCTGGCCCGACCGAAATTATGAATAGTATGCGAAAACTACTTCTTAACATGAAAATATGTCGAATAACAAATACGGAGTTCTTACAAGGTTGCTACTTGAGGATATTTAAGCACTAAATTGCCTACCAAATCCTATTCGAAAAAATGTTTTTATCATCAAAAGATGTCGTTTTATTTCATTCCTCATTTGGAAAAATATATCTCAACAAAGATTTGGGGATTAATGTTGACTACATGTAGGCACTTTGTATGTATTATGCTTAAGGTTTTGTTCGATTCTTTTGAGAAGCTCAAGTCTTTGAGAAATAAATTGGAGCAGGCCGTTAATAAATTTATGTCAGAATTTTTTTTTTTTTCAAAATACGAATCACCTTTTTGAATTTTTTTTATTTTCTTTTTAAAGTGCAAATAAAATTGGATAAAACAATAAAACAATATGTACTACGTTTTAAGGGGCATGCAATGTGGTGAGTGTCGTGCTGAGACCCCGCAGGGCATATGCTGGGTATGCCGGTGTCAAGCTTAGATATGTAGGAATTAAAGCAAATTTTCTATTATTTTATAAATTTTTTTGATAAATTTGCTGTTTCAAAAATTATTTAAGATGCTAAAAAAATTCTACAGATAAGAATCTGGTGTGAAAAAAAATAAAACTTTATAAGTTCTGCTCTGACGTCAACTGTTTTCCAAATAGTTTCCTCAACAAAGTCTTAAAATTTAGACATCATTTTTCAAAAAAAAAAAAAAAAAAAAAAATGTGCGTATACGTAATATCTAGGTACGAAATATAAGGTAAAATTTTAAAATGTTACAAGTATAAAGAAAACAATTACCTCGTGGCGGAGGCCCGGCTTTTGGTGCGGCGTGTGAGCAAAGACGACCAAATTTTGCAACATTTGCGCTTGCATCGCCACTGTAATTAGTTGGAGTACGTAAACGGCTAGTAGGTCCCCCGGTAATCGACGAGGCTGGTGTTGAAGATGTGGAAGCTACATTTGTCTTTTGTGTCGTTAACGAATTATTCGGTTCCAATGAGAACGCTTCCCCATCAGCAGGGGGCGCAGGTTCAGGAAGCGGCATTTTGGGCGGAGGCATTCCAGAATCACTACTCATTTTTATATCTTTTTTTTAAGAATATTTTCACTTATTTCAAATTTCTGCCTCAATCCAAATAGAGATTTCAAAAAGTTGCCGTGTTTTGAAATTAGTTTGTATATCTTATGAGCTTAATGCCAGCAATTAATAAAACTGAGAATTATAAATATTTTCAACAAAACACGGCATCTCAACTGATCGGCTTAGCGTCTTGTAAACTATCAAAGTTGATTATGTCAGTCATTATTTGCAGGTGTAAAAACTGTAAAACTGTCCCTAAGCGGTGTTAACGAAGCCGCTACAGTAGCGTTTTCATTTAGCCTTTTTGTCTCTTAGGCATATTTTCCAAAACTAGTTTTAAATATTTATGATTTAATAAACAAATAAACAAAACTTATTTATATTGTTGTGCACCGTCTTCCATTTCAATGTGAATAATCTTCTTGTTTACTTTACCAACTGACAAATGTAATTTGACTAGGACGAAAAATGCAGTGCTGTCAAAGTGTTTTCAAACTTTGTAACCAGTATTCCAGAATATCAAATTCAAATTCGGGTGTTAAAAAAAGTAAAAAAATTTACTTTACCGGTAACAGTGAGAATAGGCCTGTAAATGTTTATAATTTTTAAACTATAAATTTGCGCTCTATAAAATTTATATTTTTGGTAATTGTAGACCTCCTACTACCAACCCTGAACATTTCATAAAAAAACAGGATCCACCTATCCAACCCAAAAGCTAAAATGGCAAAACTGGTGGGGATTCAGTGTGCTAAACTAAAATCTAATTGATTGAATATCGATAATCTACATATCGATATGCTGGAAAATCGATATTTTATTTACATCTATACAAACAACTGAAATGGTCTGAAAAATGAGCACAAAACGCACTGAAATATAAACAACAATAGAAACTCATTTGTAGAAAATGAAGCATAATTCAACTTTTTGCATTTTGATTAATAACCCACACTTGCATTTCACTCCTTAAACACATTTATTTATGATATGCAGTTATCACACTTGTATATATTTCACAATGGAACAGAGCTCTTTTTTGATTCAAGAAATTTTTACTTTGAATGCATTCAGCATTGTCAAATGCCTTTGAATTTCAAATGGATCACAAATCCATTTTTACCATACACATTGCATTGCCGACTGTTATAATACATCACACGACACCATTTGAAAAAATTTACTTATATGACCCGAATTGTGTTATATGCTGAATTATGTAATGAAATGTCGACGAAACAAGGTAAATATTAATCCCTTGCTAATCAATTTTAAATATTATTACCCGTACAAAAGAATATTTTTTTTTTACAATTGAGCTAAGAAGAAAACGCTATTGAAATATTACAGAACTGATGACAATTTCATTTTTGACGTTTTCTTTTTTTTATTGTATTCTGAGGAATTTTTGTCAGAGAACGTAAATATTTTTATGTAGGATTAGTGAGCAAATTACGATACCTGCACGACTAAGAACGTATATAAGACTTTTGAAATTATTATCAAAACATATTTACACACAAATTCATTAATAATCAGAAAAATTATTTTTATTTATTATTCCTTTTATTAATGTAGGACTTTTTTATAACTGAATTGTAATTTACTGTGTTCGAATTAATTAGTGAGGTAAATAAAGCAACCCTGCTGATTTTGATTGGCAACTAAGAATATAGTAAAAAGGAGAACGAATAAAATTTTCTGCAAGGCGAACTCGCATATATGAGTAATTTTATAGTGAATTTGTGGTTGAAATGAATCAGATTGTGAAGTTCAAATAACTCTGCATTAATTTGGTAAGTGATTTGATAAACATTTAACAAATTTGCCTTTTTGGACCATTTAATTTCGGTGTAGGTAATCTACAATTATATATATACATACATACATTAGATTGCGTGTACAAGAAAATATAAAAAAATTGATGGGTGGGATATTCTGAAATGGTGAAAAATTGGATGCCGGCTTTAGTTGCTTTACGATTTTAGGAGTTTCTATACTATACGTTGAAGCGGCTGGATGATATTACAGGAGAAAGTTACGGTGTACATACACCGAGGCCATTATATATAATCAGGGAATTGGGCGTGATTCCCAAGATGCCTTGAAGAATATATATATACATATATATGTATGCCGAAAGTAAAAATAAATGCATATACATAGGTACATAGAATATTAAATATTGAAACAACGATAAATATGAAAACAAACGTGGGTGTTTATTTATTTATATTTTATTTCAATTGGAAAAATGCCAGCTCCAAGAGGAACGTTAAAATAATCACAAAATTACTTGGCAGTTGTTCGTTTTATCACATAAAAAGATGTATGTACATATAAATGTAATGATTTTATTTTTATTTTTAGAGATGATTCAAAATATTGTATGGGTGCAGTAGTTACAATGATTCCTTCTTTGTAATCTCTCAAATACTTTCTGTGGAAATAGTTAAAATTAAGATATACATTTTGATATGCATTCCGACTGGTTTTATTTGCTTTGCTTGTCAATGATCTTTCGATACTATGTTATACAAGGTAAAAGATGTTTTATATGTAAATTCACCTCTCCAAGTTGTTTTCAAAAACATTTTCACTTGAGACACAATAGCAATTTTCTTCTAATTTACCGAATTTCAAATCGGTCTAATTTGATAAATTGATAAACCAGAAGTAAAAGTGATATTAGTTGTGTTCGTTGAGAAATGTCAGTAAAAATAAGCAAGTAACGAAATTTAGAGAGCAAGATGTCTTACTCTCCCAAAGAAAGAAATTGCAGTAAAAAATTAGCTAGCAAGTAGTAAAAGAGATGTTTTATTTAATTAGAATTATATATGTAGCATATTTAATTTATTAATTGCATTCAAATGTATTGTATTGAAATTCTATATGCCTTATAGCCTTCAAGCAATAAATAAGCTAATATGTTTTTTCTAATAGTCCTTTCAAAAGTCGAAGATTTAGTTGTGCATCGTCAGCGCTTCCGGGGCTTAAGGATCCGTTATCGTCATTGCGACCCGTTGTGCAAAAACCTTTCTTTGAAAGGTATTGCGGCTCATTTGTTCAATACCTCTAGTAAATTATAGAAATACAAATTCGAAGTTGCGCTCTCTCTTTACCAATTTTTCCTGAGTTTTTGGCACAACGAACACGATCCAGTAAAGTTTGGTAAAAAGTGTTACTGCCCATCTGACCAACGAACATTACTATTGGGCCTCATGTGAAAATGCTTTAGAATAAGACTTTGACCATCATTAATGAGAACCATCATATTTCCATATCTAAAGTTTGAAAGACAAAAAGCTGTTACCGAAGCTGCTGTTAAATATCATTTGGGATTACTTGTAATTTATCGGACTGTTGTAATTTAAGTAGTCACATAGTCTATATGTCGTATTTTGAAGAAATTTAATGATATTTCGAAAATTTCAAAGCTTTACATTTCATCTATTTGATTTCAAGGAAAAATAATGCATTTTTTATCCGCTATAGGTTATATAAAGAACCAAAACCACATACCATCCCTGCATTTTCGCATAACATATTAAAGAATTTATCAAGGTTTGATAGTTAGCAAAAAAAAAAAAATCTACAAAAACCGATTTTACATTTTCGTTACATATATGCAGATTTTGTAACAGTAAAATTTCTAGTCTAGTACAAACTCTAAACAATTGGTTATTACTGGTATAAAGCTCGACTATACATTTTGAACGAGGTGCCGCCGCAACAACAACAACATGTGCGTTTTCTGGGAAGTCTGGATCTATATAAATATATACGGGAAGAGGCACAATTCAAATTAGAAATTTACAAATGTACATTTCAGTTATGAAGAAAGTATTTATGATGCTATGCGTTTTTATTTGAAATGTATGCCTATTTGTTTCCGGTAGTTGTCTAACAGCAAATTAAACATGTGTATATATTGAATTGATGTGTATGTATGTATGTATAGGACTCGTTTAATTGTTGAGTTTAAAATAGTTTCTTAAAGACGGTTGAACTAGATACTTGATGGTGCAGACAACTGTTAGAAAAACAGAGTATATATACACTGGGTTTAACAACTGGAACCACCAAACAAAAATCTATTGCAATTTGAGCTTTCATAGCTTTCGACAACATTGGTGTGTAGTTGGACAGTTTATTGGCCTCCTGTGCGTTGTCGGCGTTTAACTAACTTTCGCTGTGCCGGTTGTGGTCTTCATTCCTTTAGCCGTTTTGTTTTGCTCCGTCATACGTGTGTTTAACTGTATACATATGTACATATAATTTTATTTAACATATCGTATATACGAGGGTAGTCCTATTAGTAGGTACTTAACCTCGCTGCTATCGCAATGGAAGAGAGGAATTGCCAGATTTCCCAAAAGCTCCTGATTTTTCTGCGCTAAAAGTTAGGATTTCTTTTTCAAAAACGCACAAACTGAAAGCTTCTCTTTAGTTTCAGAAATGTCAGAAGGAAAACAATTTCCTATGCTCATGCAAGTGACGACAGGCCAGGTAGAGTGAAGTTCCTATTTGACTACCCTAGTTTACGTGTGTTAGTGCTTTAAGTGCATGGTTGTGTGTACACTCAAGCACACATTTTTTTTACGAGTATGGTATGAATATCCCTCCTGTGGTTTTTTTTTCTTAATTTTTTTTGTATGTATGTGCACTCAAGAGTTCATCCGTTCGACTTGGCGTAGCCAGTAAGCATTTGGTATTTGCTTGGCTTAGGTGTGGCTCGCTTTTGGGCTACAAGGAATTTGGCACATTCTTATACAATAAAAAAATCTGTAACTGTATCTTATGCGCGTGGATAATTTTGTAAAATCAAAAATCAGTGCAAAAATTATCCAGTGATTTTGGTGAAATATTTTTTTAGTGTCAAAGAAACACATACATATTATATATAAAAATAACTTTGTTATTTATACATACATTATAAATAACAAACGGCCTCGTGTCATTATCCTTATTTTATTTTCATTATGACAACTATTTTTTCTTATTTTTGTCCACAAATAATTTCGTAAACGGAATACCAATTGTCAGCGAGAAATCCGGGGAATATTAAAACGGCACGTGCAATCTGTTTTAATAAAATCTTCTCTAGTTGGACATGTACGAAAGTATGGGCTTACGTTATTTCATGGCCTGCTATCTGTGCTCCAGAATATGTGCGTACATACGTACACGCTAAGATGCGTATTATGTCAGTGTATTTGCCGCTTTCAATTTGGTGCTCTAACTTAGTTTTATTTTGACGCAAGCGCAGTAAAAGTCCTGCCATATCAAAGCTATTTTGCAAACTAAAAATATACGAAAATTATAATATTCTATAAACTAATTGTTTTAATTACTTGTTCCATTTCGCAAATGGTTAGTATTCACTTTTTGCCACTCTTTCCTAATGTGTTCCATATTGTTTCTACTTGTGTGAACTACTACTACCTATGTACCTTCAAATATGTTTAGCGCGAGTACGTTAAAAACTGGCTTTAGAAGCATGTCGGAGAAGGTAGACGGGCGAATACGTCCCAGTGTGTTTCCGTGTAGAAAGAAGAAAAGTTGAATACGAGAAATTATAATACTACTTTGCTGCCAAAAAAAACCATAATTAGTGATTTTAATAAATTTCAATAACAAATGAAATTACATTATAATATTTTTCGCTAAAGTGTCTTGGGAAACGTTCTTAAAACCAAAAAATTTATACATCTCAGTATTTTGTGCGTCATAGATTTTCGTGAATTGTTGTGTGTGCGTAAAATGGAATTCATCTTGACCTTTAATTAATCGCTTTGGAATATATCTAATGATTATTAGTGTAAAAACGATTTACATAAACATTTGATGGTTGGAGTCGTCATTTGACTATCCTTAATATCTATAAACGGTACTTTCGAACATCCACAAAGGAGGTTACATTTCCTTGTTACACACAACCTCTGACATAGTAAGAGCTCGACATTGCCTGACCTAATTAATCGCACAGTCAGCTGGTAAACCCGATACAAACTCACAAATATTTTCCCGACTATGTGTTGAGATACATGTATGTATATCAAAAGGCGTTGTCGCTCGTGTGTAAAACTTTCAAATCAAAAAAGTTTTTTTTTATAATGTGCATTTGTAGCGAAATATTTATTTAGTGTACTTTTAAAATAAGTTAATGAAACGAATCCTTCTTGAATGAAAAAGTCAAAAATAAGTTGGCTCATTTTATTAATCTTTTAGTGAAATCTAATAGCCGAACTTAACTTAAAAGAAATGTTTTCATGTTGTCGTGCGAATACTAAAAGTGCAAAATTGTCAAAAAAAGTTAAAAATAATACTAAAAGTGATGCAGAAGCCGTTGTCGTAAATGACCAAGGTCGAATAATACCAACAATAAATATCGACACGGTGAAAACGAATGATTTCAAAGACGAAAATATATATCTTCCCCAAAACGAAAATAAAGCTGGAAATGTTGAAAATTTGACCAAAAACGATGAGTCAGCGACAGATAATAACGGCGATGAAGATGCCTTGGAAATGGCATCGCAGGATATTGCCGAAAATGTTCCGTTAGCAGAAGCAATTGGTATTTTTTCGTTTGCTTTTCACTTTTAAAATCAGATCATCATGGTTGTAAATACATAAATATGTAGATAAATACTCTCTAACTAGATTGGAACCCATAATCTTAACACGCAAATCAATTTGTAATTTAAATATATCCAATCCTAAATACAGTCGTGTCTGGGTATAGGGAACTAATTATTGCAAGACTTATCCACAGTATTGAGGTTGTTCACTATATCCAGGTTAGTATTTTTCTCAAAATACACTTTGAGTATGCAAGTTCAAAATACCATTAAAATATATTAGTAGAAAAATGTATATGTATACGTATGCTTATAAAAAAATTGGCGAAATGAATTTTGCTTCTTGCGTTCATAAAGTGACTCTCAACGAGATAAGCTAAAATAATTTTTGGAAATTCTCAGAGATATCTCACATGCCGATAACTGCTCGATATTGCAGCTTTGCAGGAAACAAAATTTCGACTTTAAAAATGCTGCTTCCCGCAATTGTGTCATTTAAAATATTTAATTAAGGAATTCTGCATTAAAATATAGTGCAGACAAGTAATAACTAAAAAAAAAAACTGCTGATTTGTGATCATACATGATTGAATTTTTATCAACAAACCAAAATTTCTATAAAATGAAAATAATATGAATTCTTTAATATGAATGATACACGTACATAATAAGTGTTCAAATGTAGTTTTGTTGCATTTAATTCAATAATATCAACAATTCAATTAAATAGTTAAGGTACTCGTTAAATGGGAATGTGGTCCCAGGTTGAGGAATTAGAATTTAGGAATGCTGAATTTAAGCTGATGCCGGAAAATTTATGTTTTCCCCGCATCAGAGTTTTTGTTTACATATCGGGAAATTCTGCATATTTTTTGGTTATTAGGTTCATGCATACAATAGAAAATAGTTTTTAAACAAAAAAAAAAAAAAAACTTGCACAATAACTTTTTTATACTATAAATATCAAGTATTGCCCATTGTAAATATGACGAAGTTGGTTGCACATTTTTTAGTATAGTCCAGTATTACGCAGTTGGTTCTTTTGGCTCTGACGAAGTGAAATCGACAAAGATGTGTGATATTTTTTGTTCGTAATTTTTTCTTGCTTATATACATATGTATGTATGTATGGGAATAATTCTTTTTGGTGTTTGTCCATTCATATGTATGTATTTACAACCGAATGTTTTTTAAATTAGGGTTGTAATTCCTGTAATCACCCACATTATATTCACAGTTGAGAACCACCAAAGCGGTGAGCAAAACCAATCATATTCGACATTTAGTTCCAAATCTGGAGCTACAAGTAATATTCCAATAAATAAATTAAATTCTGGTGATTGCGAAAAACAGGAGGACATAGAAACGCCTGGTTTGAAAAGTCATGATGAATCTGTATCAGCCACCACACCGGTGAAGAGTTGTCTGTCTCGGCATAACTCCATGCACACATCAATAAAAAAGAAGGTGAATATCAGCGCTCACGCTGAAATAATCGAACCGGATCCTTTACCTCCGCCCCCATACGATCCCGCTATATTAGCTGTTGAAGATGACGATGTTTTCTCCGATTCACTACCCCCACCTAAACGAGAGAGTATGTGTGCGCCGTATATTGAGCAAAGTGAGGCGCCTGAGTTGATGACCTATACTCATGGGTTGCCCGAATGGTTCAATGATGAAAGGATCAATGACATGTAAATCGATTTCTTTCCATATATAATTCTTACGTCCCTGTTGCTTAAAAGCACATCTAAAAATTATTGATTTCGACATTTTTTATATTACATTATGAGCTCCAATTTCTACCTTAGTCCTTATTATTATTATTATTTTTTATACCCGGCTGTACTGCATGTAATAGGTATTAACTATAATGTGTGTCTATCTTTTACAAAAGAAAATTCATACTTTAAACTTATTGGGCTGATCAGCATCGATAATAAATAATAAATATTATACGTGTAATATTTGAACATAAAATTGAATTTTTAAAGATTATTATTTGTAGAACTAATTATATATATATGTATCTAGTTTTTTTTTCTTTTTTATAAAATAAAAGTTTTCTAATTAGCAATTCCTCAGATAAAAACTTGTTTGGCTGTAACAGCCGGGTATGCGGTGAACACTCCAACTCTCTCCCCTTAATATTTTAATTTGTACATCAGATACTATATTTCATGACGGCTTTAATGTAAATTTTATTTAAAACCTTGTTTGGATATTTTATTCATTTACGATAAAACAAACATTTCCCACAAAATGCGGAATTTAAAGTGGTTGCATTGAGCCACCTGTTACACCAGTGGGTCGCGATGAGCTGGAGCTGAGGCGTCAGCGTCTCTACACAGACCTCTTACGCGCGGCACATGCAGCCGTCGAACATAATGCACGTTTCACCCCCTTGTACGGGGACGTTACTGCCGGAAAAAGTGAAGGAGGTGATTGCTTATTATTTTCTTTACCTACGGATGTGCATGTATTTGTGTGCTTTGAGACGTGATTTCTGTTTATATTATAAGAGTTAGAGTTTTGCATGCATCTCAGCCTTGTGTTTTGTATTTATATATTTGTTGTTTCCATTACGTTTATGATTTTTAATATATGTATGTACATCCATACTTATGTATAATTTTTGTAGTAACTAGTGAGTACCTTATTCCTAGTTCATTGATTTGTGTATAGGTGATAAGGCAAAACAAAGGCGGCGAAGATAGCATCACTGGGAGTCTGTTGATCTCAGGTTTTCCTTGCTTTTCATAATCATTTCAGGATGGATGTTTTGGAGTTTTTACTTACTTGTCAAATATGTAGTAATATATTATTGTAAAGTTAAGTACGAACTATACTTCCTTTTTATCTCACTGAAATGGCAAATCGGAGCTAGCTGGCTAGAAGAAGAATACAATTCCTCATATGAAAATTAAGTTTGGAACGCTAAAAAGGTTAATACTTTATTCACTGAGTGGTGGCCCTTATTATTGTATTTTGCTCAAAGTGTATACTAGTTTAGCATTTATACTGTTCCAACAAATATTTTATCTTATCTGATTCGCTTTAATCTACGATTTTTATTGTGTGAAATGGTAAAATTTTCAATAAAAATTAAAAATTAAAAAAATATTTGTATGCCATAGGCAGTAGTATTAGTCATAGCAGTTGTCAAAGCTTGACTACTGCGATGAGAGATTAACATTGAAGTTTCTACAAAAAATATATGTACATACGAGGGGCTTAACATAAGTTCGGTAAGTTGACCAGAAAAAAATTAAAAATCGTTTTGTATTCTTCGTAATCGTAATCTTCTTTGTCCTTTTTTTTTATCTTCTCACATGATCCCCATTTATTTCGATACATTTCATAAGCCTATATCTTCACTTCTGAAAACAGTCTTCAAAATCTAGCTTTTTAAGCTTATCATGTTCAGCATTCACGGCATTAATTATCTCTCCGTTGCTATTAAAGACCTTTACTTTTAATTTTTGGAATTATTCAAAAATTACATGGGACTATATCCGGAATATATGGTGCTGGACGTATTTCTCTGAACCCAGAGATCGCCATAAAATCACTCGTTATTTCAGCAGTGTGGAATGGTGCGTTGTCGTAATGTAAAAAGTAGTGCCGCAAATCCTCTTCTTGTTTTCCAATAAATTTTTGAAAACTTTTGGTAAGCATTCTTCGGCGTAGCATTTTGCAGTTATCGTCTCCCCTTTTCAGTAGAATAGCAGCTACTATTTAGGATCGATCTAAAATTTGAAAGGAAGACTAACAAAATAATCGCAAAGGATTTGGTATTTTGAGATTTAACAAAAACAAATTGAAAGTCATCCACTGACCGAATTTTTGTTACTCCCCTCGTATATACATATATACATATTATCTCTACTGAGTAAGCAACGCAAGCTGATTCATTTGTGGGTAGAGTATTGAATGTTTCGCCGTCCTCTTTTTCGTTCAATGCTAAAAACATATTGCGCGATAAACATAAAAGTGGTCTAACTCGGAAAATCAGAAGTAATATTATAGTCGAAGACCCACTGAAAGGAAGCGTTATTGAGGTATCAATTTTAAATTGAAATAGTAATAAGCAAGGCTGCATCTTAGCGATAAATTTCACATTATTTAAACAAATTTCTATCATTTGGGTTGAAATTAATTAACGTTAACGTTAAAATTAAGTGCGCAAGGCGATTTCATTTCATTGAGTTAATTTTTCTTCTTAGCGAAACGAAAAGAAATAATTGCATATGTTGAGCATTTTTGGGAATAGGGCATTAAAAGTGATTGATTTAGTAACAAAAGAAGTAAGCAAATGATCTTTTTTTAGTTTACCTTATTATTTTCAACATTTCAGTACACAAAGAGCATCGTTTTTTGGAAATCTTTTACTTATTTATTAATTCTTGTTCTCGCAAAACTTAGAAAGTTTCTCCCGTTGAGAGCAAAATATTTCAATATTCACAACTTTTAATTTTATAAAATTATTTCTTGACCTTGCATTACTTTACATTTGATGCTGAAAATGCACTCAAGCGATGGATGTATAGAAACACTGCTGCAACGGTAGTTTTAAAGAAGGGATCCGTTCTGTGAAAAGCCATATAAAAAAACAATTCAAAATTTTTCAATTGTGCTCTTTTGCATTTAGTATGCAAAACTTACATTCATTTATATTCACATGCGTACATACTTACATATGTATTTACTCTATAGGTACTTTATCCGAGCTGAGTTGAGTATTTTTTCATTAAACGAAAACAGCTAACAAAATAAAATAGCGACAAACAGGCGCGTGTGTACATGCTTATACATATCCAAATATATCAGTCGCTATATAGCTACCGTTCCGACCATCTCTCTATATTTTCTTACTTTTCCGCTTAGTACTGAATATACACTCATATAAAATATACTAGTGCTTATAATTGCGGTATCTATAGAATAATTTTATATGAAGTCTTCAAAGACGTCGTAAGTTGTGTTCAGGGTATGAAGGACCCAAACATTGGTGGATGATCTGCGCAGTTCGAATGGGTCAAACTTTGAGTGAATGCTGCGGTCGCACATTGATCATTAATGAAACTAAAACTTGTAACAATCCAGGTATGTGAAATGAATTAGTTTGAGATTTTCAACTGACTTTCAAATAATCTAAAAATACTGGCTTTAATTTATAGCCAGGTGAATAATCGTTTGGTGCATTTTCTACCTAAGAGATAAAGCTCATACATACTTACTCCTACATGCATATATTATCCCTACTTCAGTTGCACTCTCTTACAAGAATTATTAAGGCTTTACTTCTAGGGCCTATGAATTATTTACGGGATTGATTATTTAAGAAATTGCTAAAAAAAAAAAAAAAACGTTTTCGATAAGAATATTCGATTTTTGTTTTTTCTTAACATTTTATTATTATTTTTTATTCTCTTTGTACTTCACTCTACACAGCTCGGCTAATATGTATGTATATATTACTAAGATAGAAGTCCTGTTCGGTGAGGTAATAGTTACCAATAAAATTTGCTCTGAGAGAACGTAATTTTGCCATTTCATTACTGAAATGCAATTTTGGCAGACATTTTTCACCGAACAGGACCAAATTTTCTTCAAACTGTTCTAAATATGATATGTTTATAAAGGTATTTGAATGCTTAAAAAGTATATGTATGTATATTGTTGCTAAAAACTCTTGATTATATTACAAATTTCAATACTACAGATTGCGATCCCGACCTAAAACCTTCTGTTGTCGATAATCTTGAGAGTTTGGTAAATCGACTAGAACATCTGGTTAAGCGTTTAGAACGTTCCATTTCAGCTCGTGAACTTGAAATAGCAAATCGTACATTTGATACTGTTAGAACGCAGAAACGTGCGAGTTTCGATTTAGAGAGCACGGAATTGCCACACCTACCTGTCGAATCGCTCGAAAAGCAAATATCGCTAAAGGCGGGAAATCTTAACGGCCGTATTGTAAAATTAGAAAGTTCGTTGAATCGAATAAATTATCGTCATAGCAATAGTTTGAGTGGCGACAATAGCGAAAATAGTCAGAAACTAGAAGAGCAACACGAACAACAGCAAGAAAAGGAGAAAAGTTTAGAGAATATACCGACCGTGCTTGCAGACTTCCAGGTGCTACCGCCCACTCCATCTATTACAGAACATCCATCGATACCGTCAGCTCCCAACATGAGCGTTGTAGGCTTTCAAGATATTATTAACGGGCCGCTCAGTCAATACTTAGGGCTATCTGAACATATCGGTGGTGATGTTGCCAAGCATGCACAGTTTGTTAAATTGGCTTTCAAGTAAGTTATTTACCATTTGAAATTTTAATCAATACTGAAATTCCTAAATAATGGTATTTTAATGCTTTCATCATAAACACATAATACTAAAATTCATACATACATATGTCCATAAGCTACAACTTTTTAACTGATTTACACTCAAAAATAACTTTAAATTGCTTCATTACTCTCAGTGCTCAACTTCAGTATGTTACATTGGCTACGCAATGCTCCCAGCCAACCCAGGAAAAGCAAATGGAATTATTGAAGCCCACGTCGACCCAGATCAGCACTATTCAAGATTATCGTGAGAAAAATCGGGGATCGATATTTTTCAATCACTTATCGGCTATTAGTGAGAGTATTCCAGCCTTGGGTTGGGTCTGTGTGGTGAGGAAAAATGATTAATACTGCGATTATAGTTTCCTGATTCATACGTCTGTTTTTCTTTTGACAGTCACCTACACCCGGACCTCATGTAAAAGAAATGAACGACGCTGGTCAATTCTATACGAATCGTGTCCTGAAAGAGTGGAAGGATAAAGATGCTATTCACGTTGAATGGGCACGTGCTTGGATTCAAACATTAACACAATTGCAAGCGTATATTAAGCAGTATCATACCACTGGACTAGTGTGGTCCGGTAAAGGAGCAGCACCAGCTGGCAGCTCTGCCCCACCACCACCGCCGATTGGTGCATGCCCACCTCCACCGCCACCACCGGCTTTTGACATCGGCTCATTGTCATTAGATGACGGTGGCGCTGATGAGCGCAGTGCTCTTTTCGCCGAAATTAATCAAGGCGAAGCTATTACAAAAAGTAAGTTATTTCTGAAATATGGCTCTGCATATGGATGTTTTTATGATGTAGTGTCGGTTTCGAATTTTGTCATTTATTTCATGAATTAGATTTGAAGAAGGTCACTGCTGACATGCAAACTCATAAAAATCCTACATTGCGTACTGGTCCAGCTCCATTCAAACCAACGCAATTCGGATCGTCAGCTGGTGGTTCACGTCCTGCTCCCACTGCTGCAAAAGAACCCGTATTTACACGTGATGGAAAAAAATGGTTGATCGTAAGTTATTTTTAATACAAAGAGAGGAAAGGGTTGTTTTTGAATTATGAATGGTGTTGGGGGGAAAGCGGGAGTATTACCTTTGGCTAGAAGTTACCAAATGAAATTTAATCGGAGAAACCCAAGCTATGAATTACAGGTGAAAAAAATTTTGAGATAACACGGAGGGATCAATTACCAGTAACGAGCTCAGGCGAGAAAACGATAATTTAGATAGTTTTTAAGACGATGCAGCAGATACCGCTTTCGAATTGTGTAGATTTTGTGGAGTACTCTGTGTTGTATCTGAGGAATTTATTAAAATCAAAGCAATAAGTTGAGCTTCGAGTGAGTTTAGGATTGTTCTGCTAATAAAAACAGAATTAAAAATCGCTGAAAAGTTTAGAGATTAAGATACGGATATAAATTGAATGTTAAAAAATTTCCCCCCCCCCCCCCACTAATGTCAAAAAGCGTTTAAAAATGGTATTATTTTATGCAGAATAAATTCGTTTTTCAAAAACTAGTTCCATTTATAATTATACTTTGCAATAATAAAAATTTCCTACTGATGTAAAATTTAAATATTGCTAGATACCTATTAAGACATATTATTTCAGGAATATCAACGCAATAATCGTAATCTACTAGTGGAGAATGCCGAAATGAATAATGTGGTGTATATGTTTAAATGCGAAGGGTCCACATTAACTGTTAAAGGCAAAGTGAACAACATCGTTTTCGATTCTTGTAAAAAATGCTCTTTACTATTTGATTCGGTTGTGGCGTCGGTGGAATTCGTTAACTGCCAAAGTGTTCAAATGCAGGTAATTTTTGAGTAATGTATGCCTCATAGTACTGTTGACAATTAAGCTTTACTCAATATGCAATAGAACATATAAAATGTCTGAGTCTTTTATAGGTTCTTGGCTTCGTCCCAACAATTTCCATCGATAAAACAGATGGTTGCCAAATGTATTTATGTAAAGAATCACTGGGTGTGGAAATTGTAAGCTCTAAGTCTTCCGAAATGAATGTTATGCTCCCTCAAGCCAACGGTGATTATGTAAGTTTCATATTTTACCTGTCGAAAACCATAAGAAATACAACTATTATATCTTATCATTTACAGACTGAGCTGGCTTTGCCGGAACAATTCAAGACTACAATTTCCGGTCAATCGCTGAAGACCATTTGCGTCGAAAGTCTTGGTTAAATGGATTCAATGCCTCGAATGGTTGCAAATGGCTAATAGCTTCTTCATAGGCATATCCAGAAAAATATTTAAAGAAGACTAAACTTACATGTTTATAAAATCATTTTGCTACTCCAAATCACTTTTATATGAATAATTCGCATTACAAAGCGTCGATATTGAATATTAAAATTTTAACTAAAACAATAATGTAAGATGAGAGTTTTTAGTGCAACATGTGTGTACTGCAAAAACAAACACTGTGCATTACTTTTTATTTCGATTTTTATGTATTATGCGAATTATGATTGACAAGTATTTATAACAGTTTTATTTATTTTATCAAATTCAAATACGAAAAAATAAACTTGGTAAAAAGAATTTTCGTTTTTTAGTTCATAATGGTATTTTATGTATAGTATAACAAGTATTAAGAATAAGATTCAAATTAAAGAAATTAATTACTGCATTTTTAGGATTTTTGAATAAAAATAGTATATATTCGATTTTTTAGTAATCTTAAAGCATAGTGTAATATACAAAAGAAGTTATACCGACAAAATCTTAATGGAGTTTATTGTATTGAATTTCTTGAAGAGGTTATCAAATATATTCAAATTAATACTGAATCACAATCTCAGTACCTCCTTACCGTACATGGAATTTATATATGTATTGATATATCAGGTTAAATGGAAATGGGACGATGAAATAAAATAAATAAAACCTTTAAAGAAAATTAATTTTCGTTTCGTACCGAGCTGGGAATATATAGTAAGGGGTTCTTAACAACTTGTAATAAAATATAAATCGAACGTTAATATATACACATTTTCGAGTTTATTAATCATACAATTTACTTTTTACACATCGTAATGAACAGTAACAAAGATAGCTAGGAATGGATTAAACTTAAATTTTAAAAGGCTATTTCTGCCGCATATATAAATAGATATTTTCATTAATGTAATAAAATGTATGAAAATAGGCATACACACATTCAACATTATTAATAATTCCTTTGTATCTTGATGTTGATGTGTAACTTATGCCAGATGCAAAGGCATCTTATGCGAGTGTCTTCTGCGTTTATATTGTAGCTTTTATTATATTTTTTTGTATTCAATACGCTCTACTTTAACTTCGTCATCAATAAGCTGATATACATATGTCACAACGGTCGAACTTTGTATGTCCATTAGCACAAAAGATGGAATTACATTTAGGTCCAATGGGTTGAAAGCACCAGTAGCGGAGCCTGGATTAATATAGAATTTATTACCATGTTCATAAGCTTCAAACTTGTAGGTGTGTCCGGAAATTAATATATCAACATCCAGTTGCCTCTGAATCAAAGCTAGAGCTTCTGGATCACCACGAGGCACTACCTGATGTCCATGCGACAACCCAATACGAAATTGTCCAACTGTAACAACTTTTTGTTCCGGATAGCTTAAATTTTCATCAAATTCGCCACGCACTATGTGTACATCATTTGCCAAAGTCTTAAGATAGTCATAGGTTTCTTTTGTGCAAAGATTTCCTGTGCATAATATATGATGGATTCGTCCCGGTACTAATAACTTTTTAAATTTTGCTGGTAAACTTGCGCATCGATGTGGAATATGAAGATCTCCTAACACAAGTACAAGCATTTTAGAGGCGTTTTTTGATTTCAGCTTCTGGCTTAAGTAAATACGAGATACGGATGCTTTTGCTTTAATCTAGATTTTAAGTGTTTTAAGTACGAATAAATCAGCTGACTGTCAAAAGTATAGTGCGTTCCGGCTTGGGTTGTTTTTGCTAAATAGGGTATGTTCAGAGATATTGAATATTTCCATATACCATTTTCTCAAATAGATCTTGAAATTGAAATTGCTTTAACCAGTTTCACCTGGAGTAATAAATGATTAATTTTTATCGAAATGAACAATAAATCCCAAGATCATGGTATGTAAATGTTTCTTTTTATTTCTAATACTTGTTCGTTTATATATTTTTATTCACAGATTCGAACAAATTTAGTTTGCTGGTTATTGTGTTGGACACAAATCCATCACAACGCATTGTGCGCCAAAATCCACAGTTACTCACTCAATTTTTAGACGCGATTATAGCCTTTGGAAATGCACATTTAATGCAATGCTCACAAAATAAATTAGCTGTCCTTTCCTGTCATCATCATGCCACGTAAAAGAGAAAGGTATTTTGAATAATATTTTATCACTAAAAATATCGTCTTCCAGAGACTTTCTTTATCCCATGCCTGGAAAACAGTTGGATGTTCGTCAGGTTGATGGACAATATGAGGTATTTAGCTTGGTAGAAAAGACCGTGAAACAACGGCTTAGCCATATAATTACCAATGCCCCGAAGTTGAACGCTCCTTGTGAAAGTATTTTAGCTGGTAGCATGGCGATGGCGTTATGTTATATTTCTCGGGTAAGTTATTAGTTAATGGTACTATTTAATTAAAAATAAACAAACTGTTTCAATTATATAATGTTAAAGATACAACGCAATGCTGCTGCCGGAGTGAAAATGCATTCACGTATTTTGGTTGTTACGGGGAGTAATGAATGTGCTTCTCAGTATATGACATACATGAATGTTTTCTTTACGGCTCAGAAATTGGGTATTACCATCGATGTTTGCGCTTTAGACAAGACAATGAGCCTTTTACAACAGGGTTGTGATATAACAGGTGGTCAGTATTTGCGTCTGACACAATTGGACGGCCTGCTACAATACTTACTATGGGTTTTTCTTCCCGATCCACAAATGCGTCAAAAATTGGTACTTCCTCCAGCTACCAAGGTTGATTACCGCGCTGCTTGTTTCTGTCACAGAGAGTTGATTGATATTGGATATGTTTGTTCAGTTTGCTTGTCAAGTGAGTTCAAAAACTTTCCTAACTTGCTCAAATGATAATTTTTTTTTTTGGTAAATATATATAATTATATTTCAGTATTTTGCAAATTCAGCCCCATTTGCACTACTTGCCAGTAAGTTACCTGAATTGTGTAAACCGATATATCTTTTACATTTGCGATTTATTTTCAGCACCGTTTTCAAAATACCTGGTCCTATCCCTGGTAAACCAAAAAAAAAGAAAAAAGTTTAAAATTTAAATAGTTATAATTCACTAATATCTTATAATCTACAAGAGAATAAATATGTACATTTTTTGGTATAATTACACATTCCTTGTTAATTTACTAAAGTACAAAGGACCGAAATTCGCTGGCAAATAAGGAATCACCATTTGTCCATATTTCATGTCTTTTGGGTGTTCAAACCTAAAAATGTCCTCTAAATATCTTATAATGAAGCTCAAATCCTTAACGGTTGCGGTTATGCCATGCTCGTTGAAAGCTTTCTGCAGCGCCATATGCACTACACCATCGTTTTGAACAGGCGAAAGTGAACAAGTTGAATACACTAAACTTCCACCAGGCTTTAACAAACGTAAGCAATTTGATAAGATATTAGCTTGCAATTCAGGTATTCGCAACCGTTCTTTAACACGAGTTGTTTTAAAAATATTATTTTCATTTTTTAGCAAAGAATGCCGGTCCGTGGTACAGGGAACATCCACCAAAATCTTATCAAAACTGTCATAGCTGTCTAAAAACTTTGCATCACATTGACTTAGCGCTACTCGTTTATTCTCCCAATTTTCTTTATAGTCAAATATGTATTCTTGCATAACTTTTCGGATTCTATTAAGGCGCGACTCTTGAATGTCATTGCAAATCAATATATCTGGATAAAGCGTTTGCAACATTATTAGGGATTTTCCGCCTGGAGCAGCACAGGCGTCCAAAACTCTATCCCCTTTCTTTAAATCTAAAAGTAATGGTGGAAGAACTGAGGCTCCATCCATAAGATAATGTGAGAGTACACCTAAGAATTATTATTTATACTTTTATAGATTCTTCAAAGGTTCATAAATGTATCTCACCCGTTAAACATCTTTTCGGAAATTTAAAATCAGAGCAGTTACCCATTTCGTAAGCATATAAATTAAGGTTTTCTGGATAGCAAAGTTCCGTTTCTAATTCGAATTGCAACGGAAAGTCTGCTTGTGTTTGATAGTATTTGTAGTGATCTGATTCAGGTATCCAATCTTCCATTCCCTTAATTTTATTTGCCGGCATGAATTCGTATAAGCCACCCGTACTGTATTTAGGATCTATCATACGGCTTTGATCTAAATATCTATCCTTTTCAATAGCTTCCTCAAGGCTATGTCCAAAATTCGTAGGAATAACGTTATCCACGTCAATATTCAAATTGACATCTTTTTTTCCAGAATAAATCAATTGGTCTCGTGTCGATGTCGCGGATTCACTTGCGCCCATTGGATATAAGGAATACTTTTCAAGTTCTTGCTGCTTGCGTAGAACTTTCACAAGATTTTCATCTAGCCTGCTATTTGTACTTTCTATGGAGTGTTTAATTTTATGTTCTAAATTTTCTTTAGCTAGGTTTATGAGAGATTTTACATTCAAGGCTCCTGTAAGGAAAGGAATCGAAAGTCATCTATATATCTATGATCAAATATTCGTATACATTAAGTCTTAACCATTTAATTCGAGTTCTTTAGCTGTTTTGCCAACATCTCCGAAGTTATTTATTAAAGCTATATATTTATGTTCCGTCAACAACGCTACTCGTATATTTTTCCATCGAATACCAAAAACAGAACCATAGAAGTCATCAAAGCTTTCCAAAGCACGTTGGGTATTAGTTTTTTTACTTTGCTGAAGGCCCTACAAAAAATAACTTTTACAATCACATATTTCAACAACTGCAGGTACTTACTGGTCGCACGCTTTTCAATCGTTTTTGTGAGCTTAAAAGGTTTCTAGCTCTCAGCATTTCGTTAGAAATTATTTTTATTATTTACGACCACAAAATATAACAGCTAATCAAACTTTCGTGGAGTTGTAATTTGGCAAACAGCTGGCACCATCAGCTGTTACGATTGAAGGCCAAGAGTTCTAAATACGAATCACTGAATTGATTGATAACAACTCCAAAGAACGTATATTAATTTAAAAGTTATTATACGTTCTCTGGCCTAGATGATTGTAGTTCTGTTCAGGGACCTGATTGGCAGTAACAACTGCTACAGAATTGGTAGTGAATTTGACATTTAATTATCGGAAATCCTTACTGACATTTCTCACTAAAGAATTATTTTCAAAGGTTATAAACTCGAGCATGCTTTCGTCTGACCACATATTGCAAAGGTGATGTTTTGCACCTTGCAAGTTCTTCGCAGATTTATTTGAATATTTGGTCCGGTAATCCATCCCACGTTAGTATGCCCCGATCTCAAGCTCTTCATACTCACGAATGTTTTGTCTCACTTTCTTCTTTAATAATCGGTACCCCTCGCCTTGCGGTCGATCGTGACGTAAGCAGTTTATTTTCGCTCCACCGCGTTACGGCCATTCCCAGGCAATATGAAAAGTAATAGTTTTGTTTAGAGCTGTACGTCTGGAGCTGATCCACGTTTTCCTTATACCAATTTTCTGAAGTCGCGTAGAAAAGAGTTCGGCTATCTGTTGGTTGAACTTTCCTTGTATTTGTAGACGGGCATTCCTCTAGGCACAGATGCGGAAGCGTATCTTTGTTACCGATGTTTCATCATAAATGAATTTTCTGACTGTTGTACTCGAGGGACTCATAAACAATATCTTTACTCACAGCGATGTGTTAAAGAACCTCGATTTTATGTGGATTGTAGCGAGACGTTCATCCACTGGACCGAATTCCATTACTCAACATTTTTATACTATAAAAATAATTGTCGCTTTGTAATCGCTGAAGCGGTTTTCGTCCGAGTGTGTGACGTACAATTTATTCTAAGCCGTCACCGAAAGCTTTTATTTCAAGTCAGAAATGCACTCGGAGAGCTCGACATTCTGTACCCGTATATTTGCTCTCTCATGGTACATGTCACGAGGACCTACTCGCTTCCCTTCTTACGAGAACATCAACCCTCTTGGCACGGTCATCTTCCTAATTAAGTTACCGGACATTCAAAGTGTATGTCCTCAAATCGTAGTCCATAATACATGGCTCTCCTCAAATAAGGATCCCCCATGCGAAGCTGTTGTCTCTATATAATACAGCTGCTTTCTTCGACTTGCTGATATCAAATCAATGTTTGTGTCTGAGATAGACAGCATCTCAAACGTTCTCTGAATAGTGCTTTGGTTTTGCTTTCATCTTTTATTATGAAAAAATGATCATTGCTCACCAAATACCTGCGTCTATTTATTACATCAGGGAAGAAATTACAGAATGGCTAAACTCTCCGATTGCTCCTAAGCTCATCGAAAAATAAATACATACTAAATTATTGTTTGCTACTAAAAGCGTTTTAAGCCAGCTTCGAAGGCAAAGTCCTATGCCTTTGCAGTTCCATTTTGTGGCTTTATACAAAGGACTTCAGAGATCCTTATACTAGGAGAGTTTGTTCAAAGCTGGAATATGGCTGTATAATTAGGAATCCAACTATTTTAACCCATTTCAATATAGAGAAAGAACTAAAATAGTATGATATGATTTTTGTCCTTCCACCGATTCAAATGTCAAGTAAGTTTGTTAATTGCACGGTCATTGTGACCAAAGCCTTACGCGCCTATTCTGTTGCTGTTGTTGTAGTAGCGGCTACGTTTACCCTGCTTAGGGATAGGTTAAATAATCTAAGTCGCCGAGGTCATTTAACGGGACATCCATGAAACAAGCTGTTTCGACGGCATCGGACCAGAGGGAGAAGCGGGTTGGACGTGTAGGTTTAAGAAGACAAATGAAGAGGTTGTTAGTGTTGTGTTGCGGCATACGTTAGGTATGTTGGGGTCGAGTCTGGATAGGTAGGAGTTTAACTTGCTACAGTATCCAGACCTAAGTTGTGACAAGGTCACGCGTTGTCTGCAATGGGTGGAGTTTTTTCTTGGATAGTAGCATCCAATAGGAATTGCTTGCACAGCAAAGCATTATACTCCCTAACTCTTACCATATGTGCTTCGCTGTGCAAGTGATGCTCCGGCGACATCAGCAGGTTTCCTGTCGAGGTCCTGAGGGCGGTATTTTGGCAAGCCTGAAGCTTCTTCATCTACGCCTCGTTCATCCCCGGCGCCCAGATCGGTGCGACCGGCTGGTCAAGTGCTTTGTAACTTGCCAACAAGGTTTCTTTGTCTTTACCCCAGGTGCTGCCGGCTAGCGCTTTGAATTTTTTGTTGCGGCTCTAGATTTTTGCGGCAATTGCGGTCGTATGCGGAGTGAAAGAGTGCAGGCTATCTAGTGTGACGACTTTATAGTCGGAATTTTCACATCTAATTTAAGCCTGTATTTCTTCGTCGAGCTGGTGAAAAGGGGTAGCTTTTAGTTGACTGTATTTTTAACTGTCGTGCAGTGAAGAAGTGAGAAAGGTCGGCAAGGTAGCAGTTCACTTTCGAATAATGGTCATCATTTTCTTGGCCAGATGCAGATATCGTGCAATTATCGACATACGAGGTTAGGAAAACTCCTTCTGGTGGCAGAGGGAGTTTCGATACGTAAAAATTAAACTTGCCAACAAGTTTGAGGAGAGGGCACAACCCTGCAGAGCCTATGGTTTAATTTTCTTTAGTTTCGATGTTTCGCCTCGAAATATTACCGATGATTATCAACCTTTCAGGTAGCCCATGATCTACCCCTGCAACCCCGGCGGTAATGAGAATTCCTCAACGTCCGTTAGCAGCACTGAATGGTTGACAGTGTCTAAAACTTTTGACAGATCTAGTGCTACCAGAACAGTTCGCGCGCAGGGTCGGTTTTAGTTTATGCCATTGACTATCTGAGTGTTTATGGCTTTCAGTGCTGTTGTGGTACTATGCACTTTATGGAAGCTATGCTGATGTGCTGCTGGACGCAGATGGTAAGTGAAGATCGGGAGCAGCAAGGCATCAAGTGTCTTCGTTACTGGGGAGAGGAGAGTTATTTTGATGGTTTCCCCGGTATAGGTGGCGGGACCAGCATGCACGCTTTCCACACGTCAGGTATCATTAGGGTGGCCAAAGATGAGTTGAGGACCTTGGTGAGAAAGTTTGCTCCCGCTGATCCAAGATGTTTTAGTATGCCAGTTGTATTTTGCTGGTAACAAAATTTACTGAACGATAAATGTTAATGCCATAGTAAATTTTATTACCTCGACAGAATAGGCTTATTTATTTATTAATAAATGAAATAAAATGAAATCGTTAAAATCGAGCGCTCTCTGGTATTAAGCTGAGATGACAAAGATCCTTAACTTGAATGCAGTAAACTCATTAAAATGAATTGTTTTGACTTTAAAAATAAAAATAGTATTTGAATGTTTTCAAAAATAATAAGGTCACAATGACCAAAATAAACATTGTAACATGCTTCAAATGTTAACGAACTTTTTACCCGGCATTTAGCATTTATATTCACTTTATGTGTTTATTTACGAAACTTTAATATCTCTTAAATTCCTGTATGGAATTGTCCTCTAAAAAAAATTGTAGTACACAATTTGGCAAAATTGAAAGTAGCTTACTTTGAGACCCAAAGCGTTTCGTACATTGCGTAATGTATATTGAATGATTAGCATATATTAAACTTGTGGATATGATTATATTACGTGTAACTATTTATTTCTATAATTATACTTTAGCATATTAAAACAAAACAAAAATTATTTTTAACCTAAAATAATTGAGTTATCTCCTTAAATTTCTTAGACCCCGTCCTTTACGGACTGAACCTTCAAAGGTGTTGCTTCATCTCTTGTTTCTTTTTTATCGATCTTATTCCACGATTGCTCTTCACCAGATCCAAATATGACGAACACCAAAAACTCAATTGCGAAGAGCACAATAGTAACGTAGAAGATTATGCGCCAAGCTCCAATTGTTTGCTGTACAAAAAAAATAATAATAATATTAATAATTAAACCGTTTTTTAAAGAAAGTTCATAGACTACATACGTTGTTCGTAGTTATGACACCGACAAATAGTGGGACTATGATGCCGGGAATGGTTGCTGCCGTGTTTGTGATGGCGACCAATGTGCCAGCATAATTAGGGGCAATATCAATATGGTTCGAAAGGAAACCAGAAAACATGCCACCCATTCCAATGACACCGATTGTCATGATAACCACCGCAGCTGTATGTGCACAGCTTATGTAGCACAAAGCTAAGAGGCAAATGCCGGGTATGATTGTACAAATGCTTGTTGCAGTTTTGCGGGCAGTGGTTGTTGTAATTTTTCCTGCAAAAGATATAAGGCGAAATATCATTATCGTTATAAATATTCAGTGAATTCTAAGATTAATTAATTACCTTTAGCCTTTAATGTATCCAAAGTTTTACCCAATATAATGCTCAAAATAAGCATTGGAAAGTAGGGTAGTGCACTGAATTTGGCATTACTTGTGACATCGAATTTCAATACTTGTTTCATGTAGAAAGGGATTTCGATTAAAAACATGTACCAGCCCCAGTTACTACAGCAATGAGCAATTAGAATAGCCCAAAATGGTACGGATGTTAGCACCTTCTTCCATGGAACTGGGGGATGTTTCTCGTTAGCTGCAGTATTTTCAGTACCCAATTGTGAGGTAATCATTTGTCGCTCCTCTGGGCTAATAAAACGTTGTTTATTTGGATTATCTTGAATAAGAAACATCCATAGGCTCATCCATACAGCACTTAAGCCACCCATCCAGTAAAAAACTGATTCCCAACCCCATTTCGATGATAAAACTCCAGCTAAAAGTATAGAAATGGCCGTTCCAAATGAAGTTCCCACATATATAATGGTCGACATAACAGAACGCTCATTCGGTGGCGCCCAAGCAGCAATCATGCAGTGCATAGCCGGGAAAGTAGCTCCACCGCCCATACCTTCCAGGACGCGCATAACAATTAAGCCAGCATAATGTATATTGGTCATTACGGGCGTGAGTAGTGTTGCAATCACATTGATGCCTACTGAGAAAAACATTACCCATTTGGCTGAAAACTTCTCGGCTATTTGTGCGCTCGGCATTTGCGATACCAAATAACCCCAGAAGTAACAGCTTAGCAAAGTTCCCTGTATAGCTTCATTCCACTCAAATGGTCCATCCTGAAATTTTGCTCATAATTAATATCGGTTGGTTATATACGAGTATGATGGCTCTAAAGCGATTTTGTTTTTTAAATCGGAATTTAGAGCTTGTTTTTATTACCTCCGGTTTCCCTCCAGCCGTACCGCCGGGACTACTACATACTTCCTCTTGACTTGGTGCTATACTACTTAGGTTATAAACTGGATGAGAAGAATTATGGATTTTTTCGATTGCTGTATGATTTAACATCGCCACCATTGCCACACTGAGATTTACTTTCAGCCCATAAATGATGGCCATGCCACAAGAACCGAGCACGGCCAATATGTACCGAGCAGGAACATATTCTGCAATTACAAGTGCGAATAATTTTTTTAATTAATTAATTTGCCATACATATACATATTCTGTTTATTACACGCGATAAGTAATGATTTTGGATGCATGTGACACCACGTAAATATATATGTACGAGTATGTACATCTACATGTTCCCAGTTAAATAAAACACAAAAAAAAGATCATAATTTATTCTTAAGCTTTCGACTTTATGTGTTAAAAATAAATATATTTTTGTATTATAGAACATAAATACCGTCATTTCATCGTCGCCTTTTGTTGTTAACTGTCGATTGAATATGTTTCTAAGTTGGGAATGAGTGATTGGGTGATTTAACAGAAAAGCAGTACGATCGCATCAGAAAAAAAAAACTTATTACGAAATCAGTTCGATTATTGCGATATAATTCGCAAAAACATGTTAAACACTCATTTGAATTCGATTACATACATACGCTTCTGAAATTTTTGTCTTAGATTCATTTTAACATTCGCTTTTAAGAAACTTCTCATTTGGGTAGGGAAAGTGGTAACTCATGCAATGCCCTGATGAAAAGAACAGACGCTTGACCATAGTCAATGTTATGCAGAAAACATCACCGGTTGATATTGGCAAAGTCACATATAACTTACTTTATATTAATTTTTCAAAGCGTGACTCTCTTCGAAACCTTGTCGTGGCTTTGGCATATCCAGGTATCTCGATTTTATAAATCTCTATAAGAAGGGAATTTTTCTAAAAAAAAAAAGGTAACGAGTCCAGGGGTAATATATATTTATAGAGTTATGCATAACAACCAATTCATGGCAGCAGCAGTAGTCGAGTGGTTAACAGTTTTGTCATAAAAGTATGATACATCGGCCGTTCGGAGGCGGCTTAGAATGAACTGTAGGCCTCTTCATTTTGATTAAAAACATCAGGATGTACACCAAGAGCTCAGCCGAAAATCGCTTTAGCGGTTGCAAAGCGCCTCTGACCCCTTTCCTTCAAATTGCTGTAACTAATGTTTCTCATTTTGTCAACGTATTTGCGTACATATGTATATACTACATATGTTTCTACTTCAAAACGTAAAAGCTTCATTTAGGAAGGTTCTTAATTTCTTTATATTATATTATTTTCTAAATTTTTGTGCATATCTCTTGGATTATATTTCAATTTATTTGGATGACTTAATAGTCATCTTAGAAATATTGAACTCAAAATTGACTTACATATGACCTTGCTCCTGAAAAATTTTATTTAATATTCAGGGAAACGGTATGAATGTAAAAGATCTGCATATAAATTAGTTATTTACCGCGAATATAAGTGCATATATGGCAATATAAATGATTTTTTGTGCAGGAATATAATTATTTTGATCCAATAATGGTTATTTCGAATATAATGTACTTGGTATATATAAGGTGGTGTGGTGCTTTTATTTCGTATATATGTATGTAAATACGTCCGTCCTCGCATTACTTGAAAAAGTTGTGTTAATTTAAATAGTCGGCCTTAATTAAATCTAATGATGATAATAATGATATTTTTCGTGATAAATGATTCATCACCTACATTTCCTATGCAGGCGATATGTATGTAATGGTTTGGTCCCACCCGATATTAGTGCTTGCTCATGAGCTTTGTTAAATATTTTGTATTCACATTTGAATATTTTGTATTATTTTTAGAATCATCACTATTGCAGTTAAATTTAAAGTAAATACAATGCTTAACTATGTACTGTATTTAAGTTAGCGCGTGAAATTTGAGGATTTTGATTTACGCGCCGTCGAGTAAAGAAGTTCGCCATTATTACCAACCAACGACCTTTTATCATTCTTAAGGTCAAAAGCTGAATGTATAACATTATACGGCCAAACTCTTTATTGTTGTTGTACGCTATACCGAAACTTGTACAAGAAGGTGACATTGAAAGTTCGTTCCAATAGGAAATATAGAGGTATAATCATCTTGTGCGTGAATTTAAAATGCAATCACAGTTGCCAGTTATGAAATTGCCGGCATGCACAACTAACGGTTTATTTCAATATTACTATTACCATTTTTTAATCTCGTAGAGCGAAACTACTTACTTCCTAATATACTGCCCTTTGCAGGAATTTCCTTAGCCATTTCAAAGTTTCAAATTCACTTCAATTTCAATATTTTTGCTTTGTATTTTTCACTTTCAAAACTTCCCACTTTAAAAAACCATTATTTTAAACTGAATAAACAAATCGGAAATTGTTTCCCAAAAACTGTGGAGTTTTGTTTTATTAATGTTTCTGTTGGTGTTATTGGCGGCAAGACGATACACGCGCGGTTGCTCTACGCAAACTGAGTGGCTTCTCCGAGATGTGGCCAAGTTTTTGTTTGGTAAATGTACAATAGCATACATACGCACTTATCGCGAGTATATCCAGACAGCTGTCGGTCGACAATCGGCTGCCGATTCGCATTGCGCCTGCACGAGCCATACACGCGTTCTGCGTCCGTACCGCCACTGTCCATTTCTATCCAGTGCTTCAATGAATTTTTAACTTCTTTCTCTTTATTCGCTGGTGGTTCAATGTATTTTTGAATTTTCGGTATCTGATAGTTTGGGCGTCATAATAACATGATAGTGGATAGCATCTGCTTCTACATTTATTCGTGCGCACATAATGCATACATACATATGCGTATATACATATGTGGTTATATAAGTATTTATTATGTGCGATCGAAAGCAAAACTAAAAAGTATCTCCAGGTCGGGGATACACAATGGCTTCAAGCTTGAGTACACATTTGTATTGACATATTTATTGGGAGCATTTATACATACACATATGGGTGTACACATGTACGTGTATACAGAACAAAAAATAAACTTTCTCTTTGTAAATTCATGGTTATGCTCCCAAACTGGTTTTAATAAGAGTGCGATCCCAATCCCTGCGACACATTTAAGAACATAAACGAAGACGTAAAATATTCCATAAAATATCATAAGACACCAGATATATTATATATGTATGTATGCCACTAAATTTTCTCTTAAAGTAGTTAGAATTTATTGGTAGCTTTTGCAGTTATTAGACTCTCTTTAATTTTAAGATTTAATTGATAAATAATTAATAATAATAAAAAATGAATTTAAATTAACGAAAAATTCCTGCACTTTTAAATATATATTCTATATTTTTCAACTATTCCATACAATTACGAGTGTATATATATATTATATATGTTTATATATGCACATATGTATTTCATTGCAACAAACAAATTTTTTTATTTGATAAACAAAACTGTATTATGTAGTCAAATATTTTTTTATATTTTTCAAAACCACTGCTTGAAAGCAACAAGTGGTTGAATTTATGCATTGTAGGTACACATGTACATATGTATCTAGGTACAACGCCGTTTGCCGTTTCTATTATTTAACAGCCTGAAATTTGCAGCTTCTGAGAGTGTATTTGCATAATTGGCATATTTGGTATCCATTTGGTATTAATTTGGACAATATTGGAACGTGCCTTGATTATCTAGGGTTTGACGTGGACACATAATCGTACATAGCGTAGGTATATAAGAGATCAATTGTAAGTCATGTATGTATAAATAAGAAGTATGTATGTATGTAAACCGTTTTCAAATAAAAACTTTTTATTCTCAAATTTCTAACTAGAATGGCCTGGCATGATATTTTAACACGCTTTCTGCAACTTTTAGCTCATGGAAATGGGTCTATTAGTCCCATATGCTTTTAATCATAAATCGTTTCGGAAAACCAGTATAATTAAATAAATGTCGCAGAGAACTAACGTTTTTTAATACGAGCACAACATCTGGCTTTCTACATACGTGTATTGATAATGGGGATGACTATGTATGTAGGTGTGGCAGAATTAAGTAATTTTTGTTCTATTAAGACTTTTTCAATTGAAATCAACTTTGTAGAATTCGCGGCACGCGCATGGCGTTTCAATTTGCTATTTGCTTTATTAAGAGATATTATTGGTTGGTTGGAGGGTCACTTTGACGAATTTAGTTTCAACTTTTTAGAATGGCCACAAAAATGGCTCAAATTTATTTTGATGATTCCATTATTGATTTTAATTGGTTGCAAATTAAATTGTTTAGATTTTTTAAAGAAAATGTTGAAAGTTTGATGTCATTGTGCTTTTTGTCAAATATTTTTAGATTTAACAGTTTTTTGTGCATATAATTTGAGTGTGTAAATGTATGCCTAAAAATAACAAATAAAATACTATATGCTTTAATAGATAGATGGGCATATACGTACTTGCACCCAATTTTTATGAATGAATTTACTGTCATCCAAAAATACATACGTATATAAGAGAGAAAGTGAAAGAGAATCTGAAGAAAGCTCTCTTCGCCCACGTGTTGATTGAGCACGTTAAGCCGGGAATACTTTTTACACAATTTCGCTCATAGTTTCATGACGTTCCAAACTGCACGTAACAAATTGCAGAAACTGGCTTTTGTGCTCTCATATACCTTTGTACGTTTGTGAGCGCATACGTATCACAACTTGACCGTGACGAATCACCATTGTAACATAAAAGAAATAAACAAATGCAAAAATGTATATAGGAAACATGATTCAAGTGCATAGTATTTTTGCGAAATCCCTTATCCAATGCATAATATAATGTTCATACGTCAGAATTAATTGTGTCTCGTATTTACTAACTCCACTCGTCCCAAGCCATATCTCAAGCAATCAAATACGTAAAGCTCTGATATATTTCCGAAGTATAACGCAACAACCTATATATATATAACCATAACGAATGTTTTAGTCTGGTCACACAAATTGATTTACCGTGTGTCAGTATTAAAAAGTCAGGCTTAAAAAGTCACTTTTCAAACTCAAACATTTATATGAGACTTCATCTGCATGAAATTTGAAAAATTTAAATTTTAAATTTTTTTGATAGGCTAATTAATTTATTATATAATAATTATTTTTTTGTAACTAATATACAATCACCAAGTTGGTCAACGCGTTTTCTCTAGTGATGTCAGAAGCACAGTGGTTCCCGTAGGCTCGTAGTTAATCGATATTTTTGTGAAGGTGCTTATAAAAATAATTATTTAAAATATGTAGATTTCAAGCGAATCAACCCAAAAATATATTATTTCAATAGATTGGTCCCAGAAAGAATAAATTCCACGCATTAACTTAAGAAAAATGCTATCTTAACAAAAGGTATTTAAATATAATATTAAACTAGGCAAAGCTAGCTATATTCCAAATATAAGGCAAATCGAACTACAAACCAAAATACGGTCTTTTTAATAGAGTATGTTCACTTCCCGGAAATAAAAGTTTTCCACTTAGACAGATAGCAATGCATTTATCTTCCAAACATCAGCAAATCGAATCATAAATCTGATTTTTTCGAATACATCTGTCCCAGGTCTACTTCCCCGAAGAAACATTGATTCCTCTTGTTAATTTGTGAAAATGATCACCTATGCACCAAATTTCATATAAACCGAACAATTTAATTTACTTAAAACGGCTGAACTTGGCAGCGAATGTGCCCATGAGTACTTTCATCATTATGTCTATGCATGGTTATTATTGGCGAGATTCGTATGTACCTGTTGCTCCAAGTACAGCTCAAGTGCTTTTGGGAAACCTAAAGACATAAGCAGCTCACGGATCTAATATACTTATTCTCAGGCTGTAGATAGAGATGATGCCTAGTTTGTGCATAAGCTATCGGAGTCTGTAATATCCTGTGAGAATACCTGAAACAATTTCAAAAAGTTTAATGCCACTTAATTTATAAAATTACTTCTCTCTTATACGGTTATATAATATGTACTTACTTACTTACAATACTTACTTTACTGGCGCAGACACCGCTTACGCGATTTTGGCCGATTTAGCAACATTGCGCCATTCGTTTCTTCCTTTTTGCTGTTTGGCGCCGATTCGAAATACCAAGTACAGCTAGGTCCTTCTCTACCTGGTCTTTTCAACGTGGAGATCTTCCTCTTCCTCTGCTTTCACCGGCGGGTACTGCATCGAAAACTTTCAAAGCAGGAGTATTCGCATCCATCCGGACCACATGACCTAGCCAGCGTAGCCCCTGCTTCTTGATTCGCTGAACTATATCAATGTCGCCCGTCTAACTCGTACAGCTCATCTTTCCATCTTCTGCGACATTCACCGTTACCAATGCGCAAAGGGCCATAAATCTTACGCAAAACCTTTTTCTCGTAAACTACTAACGCCGACTCATCAGATGTTGTCATCGTCCATGCTTCCGCACCATTTAGCAGGACGGGAACGATGAGGAACTTGTAGAGTTTAGAGAGAGGACTTTACTTTTCAATTGCCTACTCAGTCCAAAATAGCACCTGTTGGCAAGAGTGATTCTGCGTTGGATTTCAAGGCTGAAATTATTGTTGGTGTTAATGCTGGTTCCTAGGTAGACGAATTTTCTACGACTTCAAAGTTATGACTGTCAACAGTGACGTAGGAGCGAAGTCGCGAATGTGATGACTGTTTGTTTGATGACAGGAGATATTTCGTCTTGCTCTCGTTCACCACCAGCTCACTACCAGTTTTGCGGGGATACCAAATTCAGACATAGTGGCATAAAGGCAGCTCCTATTCGTGCTGTCGAAGGCGGCTTTAAAATCGACGAAGAGGTGGTGATTGTCAATGCTCTTTTCACGGGTATTTTCCAAGATTTGGCGCATGGTGAATATCTGGTCAATGGTTGACTTACCAGGTCTAGTTGACTAATAAGGTCCAATCAATTTTGTTGACGGTGGGCTTCAGTCTTTCACACAATACGCTCGATAGAACCTTATAGGCGATATTAAATAGGCTTATTCCACGGTAATTGGTGCAGACAGTGGGGTCCCCTTTTTTATGGATTGGGCAGAGCACACTTAAATCAGGGCATGCTTTCGTCGGGCATGCTTTCGTCCAACCATATTCTGCAAAGTAGCTGATGCATGCACCCTGTCAGCTCTTCTCCGCCATTTTCGAATAGCTCTGCCGAGAGGAAGCTTCAGCGGCTCGCTATATAAATGTGAAAAAAAAACTTTAAACCTTCTCGCCTAGCGAGGTTGTGCGCTGGGTTTGGGACCAGCCACGTAGAAACCAGCTCCAATGAAAAATGCAACATGTACTTATATTCTAATTTCAACTCCTCTTTATTTGTATGATGCCCGATGGGAAAGAAAGGCTCAGGTTCTACACTCATGTTTGTTGCCGCGTTTTTTGCAAATACTTTCTGGTTAAGTTAATACAAATGCCATGCTCCGTTTTGACTTCAGTACGACAATATAATCAACAATGTCAATCAACGATGTTACAATAATAATCAACAAATTCGAAAGCGAAGGTAAATAAAATCTGATACTTGACATTTCAACTGAAAGTAGTTTAATAAATTTATTTGAAGTAAAGCTTAAAAATGTTTTCAGTTAAGTTAATTAATACATATAGGTATTTTACAAAAGTACAAAGAGTTAGGATATGGAAGTTTCAGTTTCTCATCAGTTAAATAAAGTGTGTTTAAAATAATCGAATTTAACATATGAATATCACTGCTTTCATTTCACGCATGGAAATGGAAAAGACTTAAGGAAATGTGTATATTATATTCTTAAGCTATATTATTTATACATACACATACATACGAATCTATTCACTTATACATCTGTATATACATATACATATAACATGTATGTGAGATTAGTTTGCAACGTTCATAGATTATGTTAAAGGGATTATTGCATTACACACATTTACATATATGGATATTTTTGTGCAGTCGCTGGGTTTTGGAAATATGTAAATACAAAAATTAAGAAACTGAACACAACTGAACACAAATTGTTGGCTCAAAATTATTGTGCAACTTACACATAGAATAAAGTTGTTTTTTTCATTAAAATCATGGAGCTACATATTACATTTTTGTTTTTTCTGATTTTTTGATTATACTCGTATTCCCCAACAATTATTACCCTCCGCATATACATACATACAATTGTGAGCTTTAAACACCCGTAGATTATTTATTGTAAGTGAGATTTTTTAGTTTCATACTTAAAATAAAACTGAATTTGAATACATACATTTATGATATCCTTATACTTCTTTTACTATATTTATTTGTATGTAGGTAATGTAACATCTAGTTGAATAAAATATCTTATTTTGGCTGACATGAATCAAATTGTGTTATCCGATAATAATGTAATGTATTTTATATATTTATGTGTACATGTATTATTAAAACAGTGGAATAAATGGAATCGAACACATACATACACATATCCAGAAAACACAGTTTGTGTTAAATTCTGAAAATCTTAAATTTTTGCTAGTTCAGATTTTTTTGAAATAAAACATCTGGAATATTTCTTACTTTTATGTATGTAACTGTGTAATACACAATTTGAAATATTTGAATAAGTATATAAATAGCAAATTGTATGTATGTCATAAACCACTGACTTTTATCCAATATAAATAACATTACTCATAATCGAAGAAACGTAAATATTTCATGCTCTGAATATTTCAGAATGAAACGCGATTTATGCAAATCTACGTATCAAGCTTATATGCTCTCGAAGCACATAAAATCAATATTTTCGTAAATCAAGTTGGAAAATCGTAGAATATAATGTCTCAAGGTTTCTTTTCTGTATACATATATTATATTACAATTGTATACATAAGCATATATGTAGTTGTACCTCAATACCGTTGTGTTTCTATATGTAATATAATAGTTTTATATGATGAAGTGTTTAGTGGGCTTCCTTTTTAGACGGGATCATCCGTAATTTTAGGTGCATTTATAAACTTTTAATAAAACTTTTCGCTGTTGACATTATAACTCATACTGGGCTTGGACACCGGCTCGTTTAGGAAATTGCCCATGGGACGATTCTTCTTGGATACCATGAAACGTTTGATGCCAAAGCCTATTATATAAAAGACCAATATTTTTATTTATTTATAGTTTACGTAGAGCTGGTTGAAGTCAATTGATATGTGAAGTAAACTTACGATTTCCGTTGCCGCCAGCTAGTGCTCCTCCGTATTTATGTTCCCTTTGTAGTTCGTATTTAGGTATTGTTTCCATATTCATTGGCATGGCATAGTAGTCCATCATGTTTGGTTCTAACCATGAAGCACCATTTTCCGATCCATCCATGTTAGCTGTTGTCGGATAATAAGTTTTAACGCCATTGTAGTTATTGTATGGCTCAGACGCAGCCGCAATGCCAGACGATGGGTACATATAGTTGTTGTTGCTTGGTATCTCGGTATCTGTATCCTTTCTGGCCCGTTCCCCTGCCTCCACTAATGCAACCAGAGCCAACATATCGGCTGGTGTAAGTTTAGTATCCCGCTTTAATCTAAGTTATAGAAAGCATTATAAACAAACTATATCTACAATTATATATTATATAATATAGTATATAATGGGCGCTTTGTAACCGCTGAAGCGATTTTCGGCCGAGCTCCTCTCCCAATTTTAGGAACAGTTAAAAATATCTACATTTTATTCTGAGCAGCCTCCAAGCGGCCGATGGATTTTTATGAGGAGTTTTCATTTTATGTCAGAAATACGCAATGAAGGCTTTACCTCAATTAGATAAAATATTTTACTATAAATTTGAATGTTGGTCGAATGCATTTTCCCGGAAATAGACCAGGCTCTGCAATACCAATGAGAATTAAAATTGGATTAAATACAGAAAGCCGCAACATTGAGTGGTCGTGTCTGCTGATAACAAATATTATATTATATTGTAAGAACATTATTTATTTATTTGCTTTTGTATGGGAACTCCAAAAAATGTTTATTCATCATATTTCAATTACGAATTGTGAGGCATGTGCTATCGCAATTAAATACTTTCTTTTTATGCCTTCAGTTGTATTAAAATACGACAATTTATCATGAATTGTACTAAAAAAAGATTAAAATTAGTTTTAACCTCTGATTATAAAGAATCCGGCTATTATTTCAAAGATAGTAAATACATATTTTTAACTTTTACAACATTATTATTCTATAATCATAGAACTGCGTTATCTGCAAAAAATTGCGATTTTATAGCCTCGTCATTTGCGAAAGTTTTACCATTCAATTTAATAAATGGTAGTCTGACAGTGGATGCGTTAACAGATCCCACCCAAACTCTTTGAGTTTTTGGCGAGTTTTTCCTTGGAAGCAGCTCAAAATTTACCACACCCTCCATTCCTACCAAACTAACAGCATAATCTTCTTTTGATGAAGTGGTTTGTGGCGCTTCATCATGCTTGAACCATGATCGTTTACGGTTGACGTTATTGTAAACAAATCATTTTTCATCTCCAGTTATGCTTTTCGGATGGATCATATTCATTGCTTTTAAGCTGCATATCACAAGCGTTGAATCGGCTTGTTAAATGAATTTCTCTCAATTTATGGGAACCACATATCATATTTTTAACCAGTTCAAGAAGTCGCATATGATGATGAACGGTTGATATGGTATACAAATTATGCAACTTGCGCTGCATTTTTTCCTTTGAGGAAATAATCAAATAGAATATGGCGAAAATGTTCATTAAAATTGACGCCAAACAAATAAGCTAAAAGTGGCAGCTTATAACTGTCAAAAGAAAAAAAATACAATTAAATAATCACAAACTGTTGGGGAAACCCACGGGGTGCGACAATTAAGTATTGAGTCTGATTACATAAAAACTATATTTCAAAATTATTCTATAACTCTGCCATACCCTTCAAGTAGTGTCTTGATCAGCTATACGACGATTCCAGCGCGTTTTCCATGCTTCGTAATAATTTTGGAGCGTTTCGACCAATGACCAATCGACCGAAAATGAGTTCATTTGATCACCGATTTTTTTCTAGAGAACAAATAAGTTACAGGGGGATATATCGGGCGAATAAGGCGTTTGATTTCGTTTTTCCATTTTCGTGACCGATGGGCCGATGGATTGCTGATCGAGCTAGTCTAATATGGAAGCGCAGAACTACTTTCTCATCAGCTTCTTTGGAAAATATGGTCCGTGAAAAAGGAATCGATACAGACCTCCTTTTCGTCGACATTAGACAAACAGACATCGAATTCGCAACTTGACTTCCAAGTCACTGTTGACAGCCATAACATAGGGAATTGAAAAGTAAAGCCTTCTCTCGACGAAATAGCGCAGCCGATAGAACTACGAACTGGAAAAGATAAGCGGCAACATTGAAATAGTTCAGCGAATCAAGAAACAAACTAACTGGAACTAACAGTCCGTTGTAAAGACCGGTAGCATTAATCAAATGGTTAGAACCGGGTTTTTGTGTCCTCACGAGGCCAAAATTCAAAATTATAAAAAATGATTAATTTTCTAAGAGCTCCTCATAGATATCTATCGGCCTATCTAAGGCGGCCTAGAATAAACTTTAGGTCTGACCATTTCAAACATCAGCTAAAACCCTTCATGAAAAAGAAGTTTGTAAAACCCCGACAGAGATAGGAAGCCTGAATGTGTGTGGATGTATGTAGGTGTTGGTAAGAATCTCTACACTTTTACATTTTACCATATAATAAAGTGGTTGTTGTATTTAGAACAAAAGTTTTTATAATAGAGTTTTTTAAGAAATATTTCTTTTGAGCCAAACGCCTTCTTTCTTCCCTAAATGTATTCATTCAAATATGTATGTATGTATGAGCTAGTATTTCTTCCACCTTCCCACATAGCAAGTAAGACATAGTAAGGACACATTCAAGTGCCTTTTGCGTAGGCAGCTTGTGGTGTGGCTTCTCATGCCTTTTTATATTCAAATTCATTTTTGCGTTGGCGTCAGAGCCATTAGTATGCGTTACAGTATGCACACACTTATGGAAGTGCGAGTGCATTGGCTTAAGCAGAAAACCAAGCAAATGTATATTTGCGCAAAATGAAGTTGAAATTCTAGTGGAAAAACCAACATTTCTATGATACCGAAGCCTAGATGTTATTTTTTTTGTACAAGTTTTGTGACCGGAATGTTTACAATATGGATGGTGAAAAAAAACGTAAGAACAGAGTTATTTTTCACAACGGATTAGATCTTCATTGCAAATAAGGTACGTTTCAACCTCCGAATATATAAAAATATCCAATATTTCATGATAGAATTGTTGCATTTATTTTTATTTAGGCGATGTATAATAAAATGTTTACAAACTTAAGGTAAAATTGCTGAGAGTGTTTTCTTGAAAACTAGCAACCTGTATCTTTCGAGCTCGCACACACAGAATATTTTATTCACACATTTGCTTACTCACCTCATATCCGTGAACCGGCTGGTCGCCCTGCCGCTGCTGCTGCTACTGCCGCCATTATTGCCGTTGTCGTATCTATTCGAGCGCTTATTATCATTAATGGCGCCATAATACCGGCTCGTGTATTGCGGCTGTGGCAGTGACAATGCCATTGGCTCTGGATACGCCTCAGAGTTAAGGATGTTTTGTAAATTGTCGTAAGCCTTGTTGCGGTAGGAAGAAGCTGTTGTCGCGAACGGAGCGATGAATATTGCATAATAATTGAGAAAATAAGTGTGGAATAATTTTAGTCATAATATATTCATGCCGAGAAACGGAAAAAATGAAATAATTGTAAATTAAGTAAGCGGGGAGGAGCTAAGTTCGGGTGCATCCGAACATACCTCAGCTTATTTGAATTTGATTTGTACATGCCCCAAATATTCAGGTTTCATTTTTAGTGGTTCAAAGAAAAATGTTCGCAGGAGTGATTACTTTTTGAACGCACACAGTACATTTACATTTCAAATGAGTCAGAGATTTAGGGAAAACTAGTATCCGAGTGGTTAGCATTGAGTACTAACATTCGTAGGGTCAGGGTTCGAGCCCCGGTCAGACCAACATACAAATATTATAGTATATTTCTGACATGAAATAATATATAATGAATAATATATGTAACCGCTGAAGCAATTTTTCGGCCGAGCTCCTCCTCCAATTTGTAGTTTTGCGTCTTGATATTTTTTCAACAAATGGAGGGACCTACAGTTTATACCAAGCCGTCTCAGAACGGATATGAACCCAAGCCTTCCGAATGTCAGTACGTAATGCTAACCACTCGGCTACCTCGGCGGTCATGAAATAATAGCCCTTCATAAAAATCCAACGACCATTCGGAGGCTTCCATTTATTGGAAAAACGTCAAGACGCATCCCACAAATTCGAGGAAGAGCTCTGTTCTGCTGAAAATCACTCTGCCGTTTGCAAAGCTACCAAATATTTGTAGTATTGTCATGATTTACACACTTGAAGTTATTTTTCGGTTAAATGGGTCCTCCCACCTCTCATAATTAATTTTAAAGCTGAAGACGCTACGACATAAATTTCAGATTTAAAAATAATGTGTACGGCAAATAATTAATGATTTTTACACTCAAATATTCATATATCTTTATTGAAAATATATTCATAGTAATAATAAATAAATTTACCTCGTGGAGAGTTCAAGAAATCTTCGTCTTGAATATCGGTATAAACAACGGAAGGATCCATTTCGTCAGCCCAAAAGCCTGTTGGTACTGTTGGTATTCCAACTCCGCTCCCAACTTGGTAGGCAGTATTTAAATATGGGTTATTAAAGTAATCTCCACCACCATAGCCACTGTTGCCGTTGTTACCACTTTCATAACCATTTCCTTTGTCATTACCATTGACATTACCATAACCATAAGCTCCACCCATACCCATTCCTCCCATTCCGCCGTAGATATACTGCGGTGAAGAGATTCCACGCTTGTGCAAAAGTGTTTGCGAATTTTCATCTCCATACGGTTGAGCTTGTTGCTTCAATTGCTGTTCCGCCATTTCTCGTTGACTCGCAGCGGCTGCCGCTTCCACTGCTGCAGCAGTGAGGCCAGCAGCAATGGCAGAGTTAATAATGTCTTCATTTGATTGCATGGGTAGTGTGCCAGCTGTTTGTCGATCAAAATTGGAATTGGTTTTAGTGTTAGTGCCGTCGTTGACTTTTTCACCATTCGACAAGTTATTTCCGGTCGACTGTTGCGATGCCAGGGGCATGTTATAGGCCGGCGGAAGTACTTCAGGACTGGATTTTTTGTTGGCCGATGTAGGGGCTGCCTCATTTGAAGCTACTTTGGACATTAATTCGTTTGCATTATTGGAAGAACGTTTAACTGTAAACATAAATAATGGATTTTCGTAACTGAAAGTAGTTGCATTGCGTACCGGCAATCGGAAGGCCCGGGCTCGAGTCCTCATCCGACGACCAAAAGAAAGGTTATATAAAATTATTTAAATATGCTTGGTATGGAGCTTCATAACGATACGATCAATATTTCACTTTTCACTCAGGATGAGTCGTGTAATAACAGTGAAACCTAGTACTGATACTAATAATAAGTCACTGAAAATGCTACAAACTCCCCACCCATCTACACAACAAATCGTTCTACGAATTTCAATATTTAAAAAAAAATTGTATGTACATAAATATGTCAAAAATAAAAAAGAAATTACTCGAAATGGGTACAAATACACAATCTTCATAACTTATATTTACGTATATACCATAATTTCAAGATTACTTCAGAAGAGAAGGAAATAGAGTTCAAATTGTGCGGAAATTAGCATCCTGTTTAACAGCTGGTTGCCATTGAAATACGTATGTATGTATTTTTATACAAAACACACATACCTCCTTTTGATATCAATTCTTTAGAATCATCATCAACTATATATGTACTATATGTACATACAATCAACCTTTAAAACACATTTTCAACTATTAAATTGCGGCAAATGTATGCTACATATATCCTCGTGGAATGGAAACATGCATCTGCACGCTTTTGGACAAAACAGCAACCTACACCAACACATATACATACACATATATATTAGCAAATTCCTTAATTAGAGCCTTAATAAAAAACCTACACTCCTTTGAATGCAATCGCAAATTGTTGAATGTTTGTTACGTATGAAACTAATATTTTTTAAACTACGTTTGACTAACAACTTTTAAGGTGGTAATCAGGTAAGAATGATTAATTATTATTTTCTTTTAATGAGAACTTTAATTGGTATGTGATGAACTCCATTCGCCCACACTTCTCTTTTAGGTGCCTATTCTAATTGTTAATTGGAACAAATCATAAATAATACGAATATTTATTAATTTGTTTTTTTGTATATCAATTATGTATATACTCGTACGTATATGGCATCTACATACGAGTACATTAAGCAGTGGGGATTTAATGTCAACTTAGACCTTCTTAAAGCAGCTCAAGTCGTGCAAACAGTCTCTGCAAACGTAAACCTCATCAAACGTACACACATACATATATATAAACATCCCCACTGTAGTTCCAATGTTTATTAGGGAAATTTGTATTTTATTTAGTTTAATGGTAATGCAATTAGCGACACAGCTAATGATTTGATGGACTGCGACCAGGAACCTGTTGCCTGGCGACCGCAGCAGGAGCGTTATATGCGCAAGCACATTCTAATGCTAACAAAAATACAGAGTCCTAGGTGAAATTAAATTGAATATATATGTATGTCGATTTGTGTATATATATACATACAAGTATATATACGTTATGACTAGATCCTCGGCTAGTAGAGCAGTTGCCCCGGATAAGAAATACAAATATAAGATTAGATTATGCCTCTGTATGCGCGTTTTTTTATGCATTTCTAAACTAGGTATATTTGAATATATATTATATAAATATACATACAAATATTATATATGTGTGCACATGTTTTGTTACGGTAACCTGGTCGGTCTTAAGATTTTTATATTTTACTATTACAGCAACACACTTTGATCTTTTAGCGCAACAAGTGTGAAATTCAATTATTCTTATTATGATGGTGCAAGTTCGCTCTACCAATTACACCAATTACATAATGAAATGACCATTACGGATGCCTATCATTCACATATATACAATATAAAAGCGTATTAAGTATTAGGTATCTTTTTTCTTTTTTTTTTGAGATAAGATTTACGAAAATTGAAAAGTGTGTCCGAATTACAATTAATTTTTCTTATTGCCGTCGTCCCTGGACAGGTATGGACAGGAAATGTCAAGTCTCACGAGTGTATTTCTGACATGAAAAAGCTTCTCATAAAAAACCGCCATCCGTTCGGAGGCGGCTTAGTATAAACTGAAGGTCCGTCCATTTGTTGTAAAAACATCATGACATCAAATCAATTTTTTTTTTTTTGAAAATTTGATTTGAATAAAAAGTAAAGCGAAAAAGTGAAGCTCTAAACAAAACTATCGATGCCTTTAAAATTTAGCGACGCATACTACTATTCGGAGGAACGTGGGCGCGAGACCCTTAATAAGAACGTCGAATTACACACAATGAACACATGGAAAGAAACGGGTCTTCAAGAATGTAAAGGAAAGAATATCTAAGTGGCTATGGGAGATTGCATTATATATTGAGCAATGGGTTCGTAATAAAAAAGGTCCTTGCGTGATGTCCGGTAAGCATCGGAGCCTCGTGGTAGAGCCACAATGCAGAAGCACCGAAAAGACAAGGAGCTATAAGTCAGAGTCTAAAGATATGCAAGGATAAAAGCTACTCGGGTAGACAGTTGCCAATATTACTCTTGGCTTTTGCAGGAAAACCGCAAACACATCTGTTACCTTTTAGCGGAGGCTTACTTCATTTATAATTAATACGTCGAAATCAGAAAAATTCATTTAATAAAAATCAATCAATTGCTTATTTTGTTAATAAATCACTCATGCACATGCTTTAGTATTATTTTAATTTGAGCAAATTTAGTTTTTGTGACTATAAAATGAACGCAGGAAGAATTTGCAACTTCCCTTCCAAACCATCAAAACTATGTGTAGCTTTGTGTAAAATTCGAATTTGCAATTCCCTTGGCATACAGTCGGCCGTTAAATTTAAAATAACCGTCACTTATTTTAGAATATGCTTATGAGTGCGGTATGCATGCGAAAATATATGTAATTGTTTGCATTTAGGCATATAACAATACGACAACATCTTTTATTTATACACTTTATACAAATAAAAACCAGGGAGAGAGTGAGACAGAGCTTAGAAACTCAACAAAAAGCACTCATTGTGATGTGCATTAATTTGGACATAAACAATAAAAAGTTGATAACCTGTTACCCTAGAAAGTCGCTGCAGAGGCGTATGGGTAACTTGGATAATACGAGTATTCCCATTTAAACATTTTAGGTACTTAACCAAAATTCCTATGGTTTGTATATTAATGTAATGTACAAACGTAATAAAAATAGACATACCTTAGCTGAACTTGATAATTATGTCGAGAGCAAGCAATAATAGCAATGAACAGAAAATGCGATAACACAGACAGCAACAGCCTTAAGCCATAAACGCCATATGTTGCTGATTGGACAAAATACGTTGATTGTCTTACTTCTACTTAAATTTCTATATTTGAGTTTTCGTTTCAACAAATATACATATATAAATTACATACATGTGTTTGTAAGTATGTACACATATATGGTGGAGAGAATGTATTTGTGGTTTGGAAAACTCATTGTCAAGCAGATAACAGAAAAACATATACCATTTTTAATCCTTAATTAAACAAATCAATATATTATGATAGATAATAGTTGTACATCGTAGTAGCATACAACCTGCGTACATAAGTTTGAAAAAATCCCATCTATATGCAAATATGTGAGCATATGGTGTGTATCTTGAAGTGCATGTTTTGCGCATGTTCTTCAAAATATTGGCTCCGCTACTCAAACATTTCGGAGAATCTTCGCTGGGATTTCCATTAAGCAATGTGCATCACAGAAGGGAAACAAATATTAAACTATATGAATATATTATATACTGACATTCATAAGTAAACATAGTACTTATACATGCACGTAATATATATAATAAGCGCAAATTCTGAAGAGACACATATCCACATACCAGCAAAAGATGTGCTTTGCTTGAAAATAGATTGCAACAGGTTTTGTTTTCTCTTTCTGAAGCATGCCATCAATAACATAATCAAAAATACATCTCCTAGAAAAAGCTTACATTAAGGCTGGACGACGCAAATGTGGAAAATTTAATTCTTATTGTAATTTAGTTTGAACGCAGCTTTCGCGTACGAAATTGATGAAAACTAAGAATACTCTTTCTATGCGAGTATTCTCCTAATAAAATCTAAAAATGGGAACCAATCAAATATTAGGGATTTGTTCGAAAAAGTTCTGGATAATATTATATATTTGCTCAATTAACTTCTTCTCTTCCTTACGTATTGCATAGTATTTGGCAGGTAATCACACACACAAAGAAAAAAATTTCATATCAACGGGGCGTATGAGTAACATTGTCTTTACTCTCTAACACGAGTATGTTTCGAAAAGAAATTTTCGAGTTCTGCAACAAATGTACATATATATATATCCAAATCAAACAGATTATTAAGCATACTTATTTATACACCTAAATCCAACTTCAACAGTTAAGTTTATGAACAAACTATAAAACTATATAAATAATAGGTTTTGTGGTTCCTATTATTGAGCGTCCCTTACAAAAACGTTTAAATATAAACTCGTTTCTGTTTAACTGTTCTGCTGTCGTAATGTTGTTTATTCGCTGCAGGCTTTGTAAAGAATGAAAAGCTTCAGGAATTGTATGTTGTTCTAAAAATAGAAACCTCAACATGTACTCGGCAATCTCCATATGAGCAGGGAGTGAGAAGAAAAGAGTCATCGCCTACGCCTACGCCAACGCAACTTAATATCAAAAGTAACAGCAACAAAACTCAAGTAAGAGTGAAAGTTTGATGTCCTTATCGTTATCGACTACTGTTGAATATTTGCATTCAAAATGAAAGGTTGTTTTAATAAAAAAATTATTATTTACTGATGGCTCTGCATTCTATATTAATTCTATGGAAACAAGCACTTCCAGAAGTAACGAAAATTGCAAAAAATTTAAAAAAAAATTGGAAATTCACATTTTAAACAACTAGATTTTCATCGTTGGATCAGGCTGCAACTAAGTGGCTAACACCGTAAAATCAAATATAATGTAAAACATCATTAGGCGCCTCGGAAAAAAGTTCGGTTCGATATTTTGAGAATAAAAACCTCGAATAACAGCATAGTATTTTTTTGTTAGTCATATTAAAATAAAGAATGAAAGGATAGTAATATAAGACTGCGGTGGTAGTAAGTAACCATCCTGTCACCTAGTACTTACCTTTCGTCATGAAATTGTGGCCGTTGTTAGCCGCATTGATATTAGACGTCACTTCAGAGTTTTGCACCAATACTGAAGTTGGCACCGCAACAACAATCGTCACCAAAACTGCCAATAAGAATGCCAAATTCAAAACATGATGAGAACGCTTACCCCAGCTCATGGTGATATCCGTTTCAGCGGTTCCTTTCTCGTTTAGTCGCAGAAAATCACTTGTATTTATATGTCTTTCTTTATTAATATTTTAATGTGTTACACTTGATTATAATGGTTATGTGATTATTTTGATGTTTTTAACTGTGGTTACCTGAATTATTGGTCTTTCAAAATAGGCGATGTGAACTGCTCCAGTGCACTGAATGAACTGCTACTGTTTCTGTTACCGCAACAATTTTTATTAAATTGACCTCGTTTTTTCAGCTCAGGCGTCGGAATCCTTTTCGTTACAACGCCTTTGTTCCTATGTTGTATTCGTATGTGTACAAAATGGATATACACATGTTTGCATGCATATGTGTTTAGTTAGCTATCTCTTTGACAAAATGGACGAGGGCGTTTGGCTCGACTGCTAGAGTGTGTGCGCTCAGCTTCAGCTTTTACCACACATTCCGAACCAGCCGCTGTTTGGTTACCCAAAAACTTTGTTACGTACGTCATTGATAAGAATTAATTCACAACACATTGCAGTAACTTTATGTATATGTGTGAGAATACATGTGACCATACACACACAGGTGTTTCAATGAACTGGTCAAAGCGCATGCACTTAAGAATTTTCCGAGCTTTTACCTTATTTTGAGTTGTATAGCTTGTTTAAAAGCTATTTATGTACCAGTTCTGAAAGCAGAGATGTGCAATTAATGGAGTAATCGAGAATGCTTAAATTATTAAGATTTTATTAATTTATATTTACTCGTCAACAACTAAGTTTGTTAGAACTATAGAACGACATTTCAAGCTCCCTACGATAGTGATGAGGATTACCGTACTATAATAAATGCATGAGAACTACCGATTCCGCAACGTAAACCGAAACATCGGCATGGAAAGCTATCAAAAACTGAAGAGGGAAGCAAGATAAATTTGCAAAAAAGAAAAGAGGTAGGCCAAAGTCGTTGAATCCGATAATGCTACGAGAGGATATTTCCTAACATTCAGATAATGTGGGGGAACACTATTCCAGTCGGTAGCGGTGATAATGGTCTCGACGTACCACCATTCACCTTCCGATCATGACGAAGTTCCAATAACTATTGTTTGCTTGAAGAAAGGAATGTGGCACAAATAACAGATACTGCCGGAGGAAACCATATCTGGCGATTGAAACCTGAGCGTGATTTGATCACTATCTGAAATAGACCGTCAACCACCTGTTTGGCGCTTCACACCTGGTCCCTTTGGGTCAGCTGATTACAGCACAAGGAGCTCCACCAGAATGGAAAGGACCTCTCCGAGCCGTTTGGTACCTAACAAAGTTTATTTAACCTGATTTCGAACTAAATGGAGAGGATAAAATATTCCATAAGTGCGTGCAACAGTTATTGTCGTCGACCAACTGTGAACTAAGTTCTCCTTATTCCAAAAAATATAAGATAGCCGAAATTGTAAACAATTTGTTTATTTAGGGACCATGCAGTCATGATTAGACTAAGTCATCAAGGTCTTCCAAATGTCCAGGCAGGTCCAGGAAACGTGCTGTTTCGAGTGTTTTGGACTGTGGAAAGGGGTTGGATAAAAGAGGGGGATATATCAGTCAGTACTATAACCAAACCTTAAAAGTGGCAGTAACCACTTTGGTTTCATTAGGTATCTCTAACGGCCGCTTTTGTAGACTCGGCTACTATAGCGTAAGCGATGCCTACACGATTAGTTTTTTCCGACTGGTGCGCAGTTCTGTACTCACAACAGAAATATGATATACATATATAATACCAAACACAATAATATGTTTATATATAATTTTTATTTTTCTTTATGTGCTCCGCTATTGTTAGACAAGATCATACTGTTCATATGTACCCATATGTATATATACAAGTAGTTTATATTTTATTGGTTGACTCATTTTTGATGTCTTTTTTATAAAAATTAGCTTTGAGTAATTTTATCAATAACTGGGTAATATTTTAAAGTATTGCACTGTTACACAGAAGATATTTTATGTATAATATATACACACATATGCATATATTTTTCAATTATTATATGAATGGTTTTAGCGACTTTTTTTTATTTTAAATTGAAAAATTTTGCCTGAAGATGGTGACCGATGTGTTATTGAAATATATCGGGAGACCTTAAGACGGCAGGCTTTTTCAATTTAAATTATTATTTGTATCTCATTAAAATAAGAAATTACTATTTTTATCGATTTACACTAGCAAATTCTCATTCAATAATAAATTCTTAAAAATTGCACAGAATAATTCGTTGTACTCACAATGCTATGTCCACCCTTAGTTCTTTTACATTTTATAGTCTAATTGACCAGTAATCCAGCAATAATATGCCAATTCTGTGGAAAGTTTTACGGGTCCGAGCAATCAAATTCAAAATCATACAAGATAAAACTTTTACAGAAGCATACATTTTACTTCATTTGAAGTTAAACAAATTATAAACCTAAATAAATCAAATTATATCAGTTACATGCTTACATTCATATAAACATGTACAATTTAAATTCTACGTATTCTTTGCATTTTCTTAATATTTAGTTATTTTTATTTTTACAAAATAAACATATATGTATGTATATATTCTACAGCACTCAATGCAATTAGTTATTGATTGAAAAATAAAAATTGGTAAAATTGGATTACGTTAATTTAGAACCGTCTAGTGTTTGCACAATATGTTTCGATACGATTGCTGTTGCTTCGCTGGCATTTGGTATAAGAAATCGGTCCATGTCGGTTATAAGTAGACCATCACCGTCCGGAAATCCATATTTGAATGTGATCAAATCGCGGTGTCGCTTTTTGGCCGTAATTTTAACTATACTTGATAATGGACGTCGAACAATTATCTGAGCTTGGCCACGTCCTAGTTCCCGTAAAACAATTAAAAGCGACGCAGTGATTATTAAATGGCTATCGTACATGTATCCATTCATGTGCACTTCCTGGCAACGGAACGCATTTATTATGTCTGGCGATTTTAAATACTGAGTTAAGTTAACGATCTCTTTGGTGTCACCAGCCAATTTAGAGCTCGCCAAATCATTTGAATCTTTCATTTCATGGTCATTATAATGATCATCGTTATCATCATCGATACTAAAAACTGGGGCTACGTTTCTATATCGTTTCCCGCTCCGGTCATTAGCCGAAACATGTCGATCCTGTAGGGCTGATGATCCCCCATCGCTGACAACTTGTGGATTGTTAACAGCAGTGCCTACACCATTTGAAGGATTTGTAATTATATCGAAAAGTTTATCCTTCACTTCGGCAGATTTCAGTTTCATTACAGCAGAAAATCGACTAAAAATATCGGAGGTTGGGCGTTGCGAGTCCCGTTGTGACTATAGAAATAAATGTTTATTAATAAGTTCAACATTTAAAAGAATTAAGAAAATACCAGTTGCGTTTGTCCAGATCTTCCCGTATTTCTTAATTCAACGTTGTTTTTCGAACAAACAATGCATCTTTTCACGTCATGATCCTCTAGACAATCAGCCATTTGGTCTCCAAAATAATCATGGATAGCCATATAACCACCCGTTAGCAAAGAGACATACTGCGTGTTCTTTTGTAGAAATGAAGCAACTACCATGTGCGTATATTGATCTTCTTCCATTCTGCCACTCCCCATAAAGCAGAGGTGTTCCCCTCCGGCGTTGGAGTTAGCTTCAATTGCTTGACGCTGTGCATTCAATAAACCTTGTACAGCGGTCGAAAAAGCCACGGGTTCTTGCAGCATTAAATTACAATCTAGGTGAAATGCTGTCGATAGGTGACCGGCATTGTATTGATCAGCAGGACGACAATCTACCAAAAAGAAGCGTACAGCATCAGGCGCTGTTAGTTCCATAGATGAATTCTCTACTAATTCATATACAGAAACTGGAAGACACAATGCCTGTAAAAGAAAATAAAACTTCCAATTTCAGAAATGTGTGATTCGATTTGTTACAATATGCGACGTAGCACTTGCCTGCGATACGCTACACGATTCATTATTTTGTCCCTTATCACTTTGTGAACCGTAAAGCGCTTTTAAAAAATCAGTTTTGAATGAGCTTGGCGTTTTAAGCGCATAATATTGAGCTAGAGAACAAAAATCAACTACGTCATCTGGCTCCAAAGCACACGGCATGTTTGTCAGAAATTTTCGTAATTCTTCTCTGGTGGCATCTTTCATTGCTAATATTTGATCCCGTCCATTTACAAGGATGATTAGAGCTAAGAAGAAAACCATAAAAGGATCTCCATGCTGAAAGTATAAGTCCCACATTGAAAGGATAACTGTAAGGCTGCAGCTCGAAGCGAATAAACACTGGAACCATTGCATAGAGTACATATCGGGAGTAATTTTTTTCGTGTCCAACATTGTACACAATTCCGGATCATGATATAATATAAGTAAACGAAAAACATGAAACACGTTGCCTTTAGGTTTGCAGCCCTTAGGGACGTATGTGTCTCGTATGGCCTCAAATAAGTTGTAAGTGTCTGACCTATTTAACTTTAGTGCCAGCAAGGGTAGTAGCAATTCAATCCAACCATTGTCGCTCTCATAGAGGAGATTACGGTTTTTACAATAAAATGTCAGTATTGATTCCAAATCGGAAATAACAGATACTTTGTCCTCATCATCATTTCCAATACGGTCTACTACAACTTGGCAGTCCTCACGCAATTTATTTTGGAAAGGTAAATCGAAAATTTCGTTGAATAGCGACATTTGGTCGCTCTTGTGACGCACATCCAGGCACACCTGCCACACATCAGGACGCAGTGCCTCTGGAATGGTTTTGCCACGACAAATCGCATAAATGTCATTAACGTTGCAATCATCTAAGAGCGCTGACTCTAATTCAATAAGCCTGAAATACAAAATATATCATCATTAAATTATGAATGTTAAAAATCATAAGTATTTTCAATGTTCAAATTAGTTTGTGAAAATCATAAAATATAATTCATATATATTTCCTTCAGGTATACAAACAAAAATATTAAAGGAGGGAACGAGGGTATAGGTTCATCCCGTATAGGGACTAACCTACAATTTCGCTTTCCGAGTTAGGAAAAATGAAGGCACATCTAACTTGCTAGGCATTTTAGACTTCTTTGTTAGACCTACATCGTTAAGAAAACGATGTACGTACAAAGTTATTTTACTTCTACAAACAGTAGTTTTAAATTACATGTGAAAAAAGCCAACAAACTCCAAGATAAGATGACACTTTCAGATATGCATGAACATATTTATGTACAGTGGCTGAAAAATGAGCTCGGACACACAAGTTATATGACTTCAAACAAAAAAATAAATAATAAAATGCAAATCGAGAGCTTTCTGTTTAACATATATTTCTATTCTTCAAGTGTATTTCTCAAAACAACCAAAACCACAAACTAAATTCAACTCGGTCGTATAAAAATAATATGAACATAACAGCTTAACAAAACTGATGACAAAAAAATACATACATACATAACATAGAATTTAAAAACATTATTTAAAGAGAAACAAAATATTCTTATTATTTGGTCGGCAAGCCTTTACTTTTTTGATTTTTTGATTTTCCCCCACTCTTCCAAAATAGCGTCTTCTATCTTTCTTATTTCTAATAACATGCATTTTCAGTTTATTTTCCAAATGAGCCCACAGATGGTCAGATATTGCTTGTGGTCCATGTTATTATTTATGAAACACAAATTTCCAGTACCAGCTGCGGACATACAACCCCATACCATTACTGAGGCGCCCCTATGTTTAACAGTCGGACGTAAATTCTTTACTAGCAACTCTTCATCTGCAAATAAAACTTGTTTCCAGAATTGAAAATCCTTATCCCCATGACATTTCATAAATTTTATCCTTTTTTTTCGGTTAACCTCGTTTATAAATGGTTTCTTCCGTTATAATTATTTTTTCGTAAGACTATTCGTATACTTTCCGGATTACAATTTATATTGAGATGTTGCAAAACTTCCGTTGAGAGCTTGAGATCGCTCATGTTTGGATTTTTTGGTTTTTCCTATTTCAAAATGACTAATAACTAACTTCCTTCATTCAATTGAATGCTGTCTACCCATGCCTCAGCTTTTCACCTTTTTTTCCAAAAAAAAAAAACCTTATTATTTTATTTTAAGCTATTACGTTTGATTATATGCATATATATTTTTCAACGAGAACAAACTAATTCTGCGATTTCCCTTTTTAAAATGCCAAGCAACTGTAATTTTACCAGATGTCCGACTTCTTTTTTGGCGATATTTCTAACATGCCACATGTTAATTTTTTGATGTAAGGGTATAGGAGACCTATAACTATCCAATTTTTTTTGTTATCGGTATTTTTTAAATCCTTATTGCATACCCTATAGAAACATAAAAAACAAAAATGCTTAATATCAATTGGTTAAAAAAAATCTAGCTTGAAGTTGCGTGTTAATAACAGTGGAATGTATGTCCGAATTCTTTATTGAGCCACTGTAAGTATGTACAGCCAAAACATGCTACATTCATACGATTCTTTCTTAAATTAAATAGCAAGCAATATCTAAAAATTGACTTGGGATCTATGATAAAGTGGACCAACGTTTGCACATTTTCTATTCAGTTGCCGAAATTATTACAGCTTACCATAAATTATCATCCATTTCGTTAATATTGTCACTGCAGTGTCGACAAAAAAAAATATTATTTACTCGTTTTGTTGAAAATATTTTTGTAGTCCATTCAATTACTTTTTTGTACCATTTACATCGTAATAACCTTTAAAATGCTTAACTGCAAATTTTCGGTTACGTAGTTTACTAGACTTTATAATTTTTAATGCTTGCGAATCTGTGTAATAGTTATTTATTTTTTCATAACTTTTTTCCAGTTCAGACTTTTCTGACGTTTGAAGTAAACGTCAAGTATAGCAAGCACAGAAACACAGTTGCCAAGTCATGGAAAATTAAAATAATGATCTCTTGATTTTCGTCAAAATTTTACATAACATTGTCAATTCGCTTAGATGTATTTTGAGATAGGTTCTAATTAGAATAGATATAATCAAGATGAAGTGGGTCGAGACAGACTTGCTAATAAATTCTTATGTTTTGAAATTTGTGTTTGATAGCATATTAACCCGTTAGGGAGCTTATCTCGGTATCTCTATTTCATTTGACATTCGTAATTGCACTTTCCAGAGAACGTAAATACTTTTGACAGTTTGCACGCTGGTCCGCAATTAAGCCTTCTTGTTGAATTTACGTTCTATGGCAGTGAGTTTTAGGATTTGTGTTGTGTTTTTGCAAATGAGACTCAATTGTCGTGTCATCTTTTTAATTCTTTAAATACGTTTATTAATGAAAACCGATTTGAATTATTACCAAATGCACGTATTTGCAGCTTGAACAGCTGAACAGTGCAATCATAATTAATATTAGCATACAAAAAAAGTATTGAAATTCATATTTTAAACGTTTAGAAATACTGCAGTTTTCTAAACTAGCTACTAAACAAAACAAATACACCAGAAGCCCGAAATTCAACAAAGCACTATTTAATAAGCTGAAAATTTATTAAAGTAAGTATCTTATTAAAAAAAGTAACAGGATTTTGCTGTAGTCCATGTCAAGGTCGTATCGATTTTTTGAAACGTGCATTACATTGACTGTTGTTGTTGTTGTAACGCAAAATTATTCTGTCGCGGGAACTATTGGATTTTAGTCGCCACTTACAACAGGCATGCCTTACCGCGGGTAAATTCTTAAGCCCCTAACTACGTAGTCAAAGATGCTGTGTACTATTGGTTATTTTAGTCGCAATTATTATATCCTTACTTCAATATTGAGCCCAATACCTGCTTTAAGATTATTCTATAAGATCTTTAAGTGCTTTTTGAACCAAAAAAGTTACCTACGCGCCTGCAATAAAAATAGATAAATTCGAAGATATTATGTTAAAGTTTTCTTATTTTCAGATGAAAAACCAACCTGTACCAAGCGTAGTGACGGAATGGGAAGATAGTGTTCTCTTTGATGCCGACGACCCTGATTTTTGCGATATATCTCCGAATGTGCAAAACGTTCTTACCTCAAGTACTATAGCTATTATGACCCAGCCACAAATTTTTGGGAGTACAAGCCACTCAAACCATGGCCTAAACGTGTTGAGTGTAAAACGTAAATATTATAACAACAATAACAATTGTGTTTTGTCATGATTATTTGTTTAATTAGTGCCAAGGAAGTGATCCTACAGTTGAATCGTTCAGATATCGAGCTAAAAAAATTTTATTGATTAGTTACCAATGTTTTAATAACTTATTACAAAATATGCTCCAAGTATGACAGGACATTTCATTTGCCTAAAAAATTTAAGCTCGAGTGCGAACTAGATTGCATAAATTTAAAAAATTTTATTATGTCGCTCTTACTACTGTAGCTTTGATTTTAAATTCATTCATTGTCGCTTTCCCACCAACATATTGCAAAGAAAGTTGCCTTATGGCTGCACCATAATATTTATATTTCAAAAATTATACTATAAATTTTACCGTTCCATCCCTGTAAATATGAATGATGTATTCCACATGTCGAATGTTACACATGACCATTCAATGACTAAGTTTACGAAAAATGCTGATTTGCGCCTTCATTGCAATGCACACTTTTGGTGTCAAATTCTGCAAGGACAATGATTTTTATAGCTACGATTTGCAAGAGCATTTTAATGTTAAATTTCTATATTCGCAGTATGAATATATGTATATATGTATGTATGCAGATTGAATTCGAAAGTATCAGTTTTCTGAAGTATGCAAACACATCAGCTTAGCATATTGGGTTTGATTTCGTTACTGATTTATTAAGACGTAAACTGTAACTTCAAACAAATGCCATTTGTCTTCGGAGCAGAAATTATCTAGGTATTGGTGTAAAGTCACATGGTAAATATTTTTGCTAATAGTTAATTGGCTTAGTTACTATATGCAATTGAAAAAAGATTCATAAAGCGTTGCTTCAATGAAACTTGAAAGAATGTTAATAAATGAGTGCAGTACATGATATCATATTCCCTTTTAAAAAAAAAATTCAAGTTTTATCTTGTTCTATAACGGAATTCAATAGTTTTTATAAGCTTTGATATCGATCGTTGTTGCATAAATAAGACTATCTCTTTTAGAGATTACCGCTTTGTCAACACAAATTTACTTCTTTCTGAATTGTATTGTGTGGACTGGAGTGAATGCTGGATATATCCATCTACCGATGAAAAACTTGATTTCTTAATGGGAATTTTAAAGTCAGCCTTCGAGAGACATGTCCCCATTCGTACAATCACTAATAAGTCTATGTCCTGTCCATGGTTTACCTCAAAATCTCTGAAATCAATTAAGTTACGAAATAAACTTCATTCCATATGGAAAAAGAAACCCACGTTGGAAAATTGGAATGCCTTTAAATCGGCTCGAAACAGAGCGACGCTTGTTATCAGAAATGAAAAACGAGCTTATTTTAACAAGAAACTAAATTCTGGCCTCTCAACAAAGGTTCTATGGCGTAACATTAAACGACTTGGTGTTCATTGTAAGGAGAATGTCGAATGTTCCTTAGAAGCAAATGTGGTTAATGATGCTTTTCTTCTAAACTGTGTACCACACAGTGACACTATTAACTTTATGTCCAGGGATGATCTCTTGTTTAGGGATGACTGTTTTCTATTTTCAGCTGTTAGTGAATATGATGTTGCAATGAGTATATTTAAAATCTCATCCAATGCAATAGGGCATGATGGTTTACCAATTAAATTTATTAAAATTATACTACCTTGCATTCTTGGGACACTAACGCACATTATTAATCATTGTATTACCACGTCTTGTTTCCCAGAGCAATGGAAAATTGGCACTGTACTACCTGTCGCTAAAAAGAACCGTCCTTGTAGTCCGTCTGATTTTCGACCAATAAGCGTCCTCCCTGTATTGTCTAAAGTTTTTGAGATGCTTTTAGCTAAGCAAATAAACGAATTTGTAAGCAAGCATAACTTAATATCTCCGTTTCAATCAGGCTTCAGGAAAAATCACAGCTGTAGTACTGCGGTACTAANTTAAAAAAAAAAAAAAAAAAAAAAAAAAAAAAAAAAAAAAAAAAAAAAAAAACGTGTATATACGATTTTTATCTGCTTTGCCTAAAAGTATGTCTTTTTTTATAAGATGAACATATGCATTATATGTACATAAGTATGTGCAATTTCCATTGATTTCTTAAACATTCTACCTAAATAATATGATATTTTATAGTAGGTCGACAGTTTTAGACCTAATACTTACATTACCATTATCTCGATTTCTTAACGTTTCGTCATAATATAATTTTATTTTGTAAAAATTGATTTACTACAAATTACTTGAAAGCATACAAAGTACATGAGTATTGATTTTTATAGCACAATTTATAACGTATTCAATATCATATTTCCTATTGGCTCGACGTCAATGAACATTTCATTACAATGTGTAATATTCATTCATTCTAACATTTTTCCCAAAGTAAAAAACCAGCCACGCTTTCGATGAAAATTTACCCGAGAAAGAATTCACACTTACTTACCCATGGACCCATATTTAATTTTATAATAGTATTAATTACATTTGCATTTACAATAACATACATATGTATATTTAATATATGTAATATATGTATATGTTAATGCATAGATTATACCAGTTATGTATATTACATATGTATGATTATATATTTTTCGCTAATCATGGACAATAAGTTTCATTGCACACGATTCGATTTACATTTAACAAATGCGTAAATACTTATAAGCCGTTAATATTGAATTGAAATAATGTTTATGCATATATTATATATATATAAATTAATATAATTACAATCTAACTGTATATAACTATTACAAGATGGGGTATTGAATATAATTAGTGGCGTTCAATATCTGATATTGATTGCATAACAAAATGACAAATTCACAAAATAATGATTACGTTAATATGATACATACATGTATGGTGTAGTTAGCGTGTAAAATAGAATTTTTTCCCCGCCACCTAAACATGGGATTGCAAACATACATATGTACATAGATAGCTTATTTATTTACAAATAAAAACGAATAGTACAAATTCCTGAAAATGTATGTATGTGTTTTTTATCAATAATCTGTTAAATTAACTTATACATACGTGTAAACATATACCTTTGCATGCGTAAATAATATATACTGATATGTATATGTATGTTTGTATGCATAACTCTAGTGGCAAAATCAACCACTTGTTATACAATTATTTTTTAATTTTAATCGGAAATTACTTATTGCTTCTCCTCTTAGTTACTAATGGTGTGTTCATGCTTAGCTGCACACTGAAATTTAAAATGTTATCATTACAAAACTAATAGTACACAAAATTTTGCGCAGCTCATCAAATAGCCACCAAACAAGTACAATAAAAAAGAAACTGAACAAAAACTAATGTTGCTTATAATAAAATCACACATTTATTGCATTATTTTTAACACCCTTATGTATAAAGGGCTTTCCAATAAGAGGTGTTGTTTTAAATAGCTTGCTATTCCGGTAGAGGCAGTAGAGGGAACGTCAGTAATAAGAATAGAAGAATACACGCTTCAACAATGCATTAAATTAAATAATTAGAAGTAATTAAAAATGGTGAAAACCTGGCAGAGACAGTTCGTAAAACTAAAACAAATTGGGGGGAAAGAATAAAGTTGTTGGGGCAAGTTAGTGATGAGAAAAATAAAACACGTGAACCTCGCTCAAGAACAACTGAAAATATTGCTGATGTAGCCATAAGTGTTGAAGAAAAGCCAGATTTGTCCATTCCTCGTCGCTCTTTCCCATTAGCGGCTCGGAAAACCGCTTCTTCAACATGTAATTGTTTAGTGCGGTTTATTGTGCGGCTAGCTTTTGAGGGCGTACAACAGCCACTTTGCGATATGGTGATCAAAAATTTCGTAAAAAGGATAAGGGTCACATAAGAGGAGATGTGGCCCCATTTGGCTACATTTTTAATGACATATCTCTCTTTTTGCATTGAAATAAACATTCGATCATTTATCTCAGAAAATACCATCTTGCTTTGAATAAGAAAATAACACCTCTTATTATTAAAAAGTGAATAAACAAAGTTTAAACATATACTCGCTCCTAGCACAGCAAACTAAAAAAGTTGGAAATACATATAGTTTAAAAAAACCCGCCTTTTTCACAATAATACTGAGCTTTTCGTCAATTATCGTTTTGAGCTTATTTTAAAAATTATTTTTAACTTTTTTAGCTTAATGTTTTTTAAAGCGTATGTTTCAGATTTTCCTTAAAAATATACAATCAGAATTTGTATTCGATAGCATCTTTCCCTTTAATCATCAAGTAATTAAAGCGTAAAAGTAATATTGCCGACGTAACCACAAATACCGGTCAAATCGTCTGCACAAGTGTATTTCAGATTGAGGCAACCAAATTTTGTTGTTCGCGAAGTTGTTATGGAACCGATACAATAGCAGTGTTAAAGGACATCAAGTTGTTTATCCTTTCAAAGTTATACAAGAAGTTCATTAACACGGACAATAAATAGAAATGTATTTAAAGACCGTGGCCCTCTTGGCGTTTTCAATTGCATGGGGATATACATCTGAGTAAAATTAGATATTGTTTTTTACACAATATTCTCGATATATACACATACTTATAACAATAAATATAATGCGATATTTTCATTTTCGCCAGGTTTTCTAAGATCTTTGCACCTCAAATTAACGGTAATTTACGTAAAAATCTTATTAATTTTGCTGGGCGTTGTGTAATCACAACGAAAAATTTCCTAAATAAAAACATATGTATTTTTACAATTTTTTTCACTGCATGAGGAATAAGACTATCTTACCATTTGATCTGCGAAAGTTTCCCGTTACCTTTATCATGAGTTCTCAGCTCCATATGGACAAGATGTAGAGTCATGTATATTTGTGTTTCCATTATTGTATGTACTCTAGTAATCTTAGCTCAGCTGTATTAAATATGTATACAGCGATCAATTTTATGTGCACACGTCTATGATAATGTTAAGCTCACGCGATTTTATCGATTTGCACGAGTGTAAAGAGTAAAATGTAGTCATGTGATGGGCTCGAAC